ACTTACATTTGCATCAATTAGATGCAGACATATTCATAAATGTGTTTACATCAATAAGATTTTTGTTACAAAATTATTGTATAATTAAATGTTAAAAATAGATTTATAAATAGAAATCTAGATGAGAAAGTATACAACTGTCCACCTATAGGGTTTGATATGCAAGGGAAGCTATATCAACCAAAAATAATAATAAATGCTTTAAAATAGTCCCCTAGGGCATGGTTTGGTAGGCTCTACCAAGTAATGCTATCAAATAAGTGAATGCATATAATACTTTTTTGCAAAAAGAAGGCCCAGATTTGTGCAATCTCAATTATTTATGTTGATAACATGGTTCTTAAATGAGATCACATATGTCAAACACAAGACCCCAAAAATAAAACTTGTTGAAAGAGTTTGAAATCAAAGATATGGCAGACCTAAAGTATTGCTTTGGTATTTAAGTGACAAAGTCAAGGACAAGTTTGTATGTCCTTTTAAGTGAGGCAAGCAAGTTGGGATGCAAACTAACTAGCACACTTATGAAGAGCGAACATCACCTATTTAGTATTGATAGTGATGAAGTTTTTGTTGGGGTTTCAGGTTGTACTTATATCAAGAAGGGGGGATTGAATTGATTTGAGTTTGATCATCATTAGAAATGATCTATTTTGATGACTCAATCTTACCCTTGACTTTTCTAAATCATATGGTCTTCTTATATTAATACTTGTGAGGTAGAGAGATTTTAAAAAAGTTCAACCCACTATTTATGACTACTCTCTTAAGAACAAATCTTGTTCTTGAATTTCACTAACAATAATCATATGATCATGACTTCAGATTGTCATGATCAATTCCCTCAAAATTTAGTTTAGAATTTTTTTATTAGACTTACTACTCTAGATTGGCAACAATTAATTAATGGGTTCAAGTCTCTTGAGTGAGGTTTATTCCACAATAAACTAGAAGGATTTCACCATAGATATATTTCTAGAGATGATATTTATTAGAGGCAGATCAAGAATTTTGATGAAAAGGATGAAGCTTTTATATTCATATAAAGATGGTGGAAAATGTTGAAAGGCATAGAAAGTTTGAATTCTTCAATGATCACTGTAGGATGAATGAAGAATGTTCCTTAACTCAATACTTTCATGTATTTTGATCAACCAGCCTAGATCTCTCTCCTCTTCAGAATTTATGTGGAAAAATATAATACAAAGATGGAGGTCATATAGCAAATAAAAATGATGGCTCTCACTACCTTGTTGAATTTTTTTAATAATTATATGTAAATCACGCACAAAAATATTTTAATAATTTATATATCTCTTATCATCTATTTTTCTTAGAATAAACATAAATCTGAATGGGTAAGATATCAATAAAACATACATGTTTTAAATAACTTCAATATCATTGTATGAAATCAGCATGTGACACAATTAAGATATAGCATCTGAATCATATATAGTTGAAATTAATCTAATAGTGTGAGCACAAAATTGATAATGTCTTTTTAAACCAATAGTGTGATAATCATAAAAAATAAAATATGATCAACAAGAAGACATTGAATCAAGATTTTGATATTTATAATTGTAGTTTTGACAATTTAGAATATTGAAAGATATGTTCTAAAATGCATTTATTGATATTCAGAAAATGTGTGACATAATGAGATGTCTGAATTTAAATAATCATATAAAATAAAAAAATTTGAAAGTAATGATCTAACATCATAATCACATATTAGCGTAAGTTTCATACTCATATTTTACTTTAAGGATTCTCATTAATTATGATGTGCTAATCATTACCTTCTCATTGCGATATAATATGTAAATATTCATAGTTTTTATAGTAATATATAACATAATAATTTAAACTAATGAAATCAATCAAATATATGAATTCAACATTACTCATTTCAATGAATTCCCATCTGAATATATTATATTTAATTAAATATTAACACTTTTACCTTTACCCTCATTTATAATTAGACATAATTTGATCTTTTAATTGATCTTATAATTAATTTTCATCATCAAAATATTCCATATTTAATGCCCCAACACTTTCAAGAAAAAATAAATTCTCATATCAACAAATGGTTTGAAAGTTTTTGTGTGTCTTTGTCATATGTAATAGGTATCATTAGCTAAAATATGTTTGATATGAGATCGTATTATGCAGAGTAAGAAACTTTGTGGTATCATTAGCTAGGATATGGTTGATATTACAAGCAATCCAATATAGCATGACAAGATAAACAAATTAAATTTAGTAACACTTAGAGAAATTCTATTCAAAAGAGGTATGCCTCTATTTACACATAATCAAAAGATCAAGTTGTCAATATTTTTATAAAGAAACTATTTTCAGCCACTAGCAAGTTGCCAGATTAAGTTTGATTCTGGTCAATCTGCTTAGCATTTATTCTCAACCATTATGTGAAAGGGTAGTATGGTAGGACTTGAGGCATTTCCGCCCTCCAAGTACATAGTCTTGTACTATGTTTGACTTTTTTGTCTTTTCTCATCAGAAGAGAGTTGAGTTTGAATTTTTTTTCACATTCTCATTAGAGGCAAAAGGTAAATCATCTCATTCCACCCGAATGACATCATTGATGTAAAATTACTAGCAACACAACCACAACAAATCAGACCAACGAAATTTCACTTCTCTCTGAACAAAAGAGAGCCAATATTGTCAGAAAGATGATAGCAAAGGCATAATGCCACACTTATTATACCGTAGCCACTAGCAATGGAGCCACCTAGAATCATGGAGTGACATCAGTCATTCTTCTAACCTTGTACCTTGATGAGTTTCCACTTTCATTCTCCTCCCACTGCTTATGAAGTAACGATAACCACCGGTTGATGCTGCGAGTCTCCACAAGGACAGAAAAATAATCAACCAACACAACAATCAATGTCAAGTAGCAGACCCCTCTCTACCCCGTCGACCAAGGTCTCGCAAAAAGGTGCTGACATGTAAAAGTAAGTTCCAAATGGATCGATTTCATTGGTTCACACCAAGGCCCACTCAGTGTCTTCACAACGGGCCTCAATTTATGAATCCCGAGCCAAGACCAGTGACCTCTTCACTTATGTTGCCCATCGTAGTACTAAATAACCTTACCTTGACCGTGAACCATAGGGATTTGTGATTGCAGACAGCTTCTCTTATCAGAATAAGCTGAAACTTTGTGATGCTTCACAATATTAGTGCTTACATGATATTTTTTTAAAATATAGTGAAGTTTTTAAATCACTAAAATAGAGGATCATGAGCTCATTTGAGCAAGAAAATAAAGAGATCGAGCTCAGGAAATCCAAACTTGGAGGACAGTGGAAGCAAAAACCTCTCTTAACGTTCCACCATATTATCGGTGCTGACTTTTTGAAATTTTCTTACCACAATGAAAGGATTACACTCGGCAATTTCATCATGGATCACAAGTATCCAAGAGCTGAATTTACTGCATAGTATCCACGTAGGCTAATATGCAGTTAATTATCATGATGAAGGTTAACGCTTGCAACATTTTATGTGGGACCCCAGTCCTGGCGTTTGCCTAAATATCTCCCTCTCCCAGCCCCACCTTAAAGTCGTCACATCGAACTCCACTCCCCTTCGTTCGTAAGTGTGGCCCTTCTGAGAATTTCGGGTACCTCTTTCACATGCGTTTTATTTAAATTAATCTGCGCGTTACAACAGTAGCATCCTCTAAATCTGCTTGGTAGTTTACCCGTGCCCCTGACCGATAAATAATTAGCCGCCTCCAGAAGATCAAGCCCAAAAGAGTCAGTATTCACAGGTAGCCACCTTTGAAGGTATTTTTTTAATACAGATGTACCTTGTAAGGCTACCTAGAAGCCTTATCTCCTATTAGAAAGGTCCAATGAAAAGAAAACTTGTACTACATACCCTCGTGAGGTCGCCCCTATTTCCTTTAATGGCCGCGGATCATAAACCGCCCGGTTGCACTACAATACATGGGCATGTCTTTGGTACTATAACTTTTTTACTACACAAGATTGTCCTCATGAGATTGTGGAGCTCTGCCCGCATGATATGACAGAGCTCTACTAAGCAAGAGACTACCGACCTACCGGGGCCAACAGGCCAAGCCAAGCCAGCTCCACTCGGAGTAAGCTGTAAGAGGCACCAGAGATGGCCCCAGGTAAAAGAAAAAATTGAAAAATTTTGTTCAGAGGCATGCCGAGTATAATGGTTTAATAACCAACCTGTTAGAACTGGAATAGGCTCTTCCGATTCTTAGTTTAATAAGGCAGCATGGCTGACGAGTTGCATGAGGCTCGATTAGGGATAAAGTTGCTTAATTTATTCGACCAAAAAGGACGAATGGTGGGAACCTAGGCAGTTTAAATTATCCCCGCTGTTATCAAACTAGAAACTAAGTTAACCTAAGTTAATCTATATGAGAGAGAGGGGGTTATGATTCTCCGCTTAGCGGTCGTAAACGGGGGGGGAGGCGTTGCGCTTTATGCCATACCATATGCGGACGGAGCTGGCGAAGCCGCGGCTGCGGCGGAAACTTCCCTTTGTCTCCACGTATCCGCCGCCGATGAAGTGCCGACGATTGGAGAGGGGAACCTTCTTACCAATCTTCTCGCCGCCAGGTAGAAAGACTGCACTGGTGATCACGCGAGAGAACAAGTGGAGCGCTGAGAGAATGAGGAAGGTGTCGCGCTCGTCCCGTAACCACCCCTACCTGCGCTGCGTGGCACGCCTCCAGGAGAGATCGCGGATTCTGTAAAAACGCTGCTCGTATCCTCTCTCTCTCTCTCTCTCTCTCTCTCTCTCTCTCTCTCTCTCTCTCTCTCTCTCTCTCTCTCTCTCTTTACCTTAAGTAGAAGAAACGCCAGAAGCTTTCAATCGCGGCAGCTAGCTCTAATACTTTGGTTATTTATCTCATGCTGTGTTGTCTACCGGCTCTGTATCGCTAGCATTGGGGAAGCGGCAGTAGGTCTGGAGGAGGGATGGAGAAGGGAAGGGAGTTTAGCGGAGAGGCGCGTGAGGGGGTGAGAGTCTCGCTGTCCATGCTGCTGGTCCAGCTGTTCCAGACGGGGATGGCCGTCCTGTCGAAGCTCGCCCTTGATCAGGGCATGCGCGTCTTTCCCTTCCTTGTCTATCGCAACGCCATCGGTGCACTCTGCGTCGCCTGTTTCGCCGTCGTGCTCGAAAGGTAGGAAGTAACATGAGGAGAAGAAAGGCCAGAAAATATCTCTCTTCTCTCTCTCTCTCTCTCTCTCTCTCTCTCTCTCTCTCTCTCTCTCTCTCTCTCTCTCTCTCTCTCTCTCTCTCTCTCTCTCTCTCTCTCTCTCGCTTGCTTGCTCGCTCGCTCGCTGTCGAACACTCACATGTGCGGGTGTCTTTCTTCTCTACTATTTCGTGCAGGAAACAGGTGCGGAAGCTATGCTGGAGGGGATCCATGTGGATATTCATGAACGCATTCTTCGGGTATTGCGGAAACTCACCATTTCATCATCCAAACTATCTTCTCGATCTACGTCTCCCCCACCATCTACCCATCAATCACGTGGCAGAACTCACCGTTAGTCATCAAGAGTTCATCTTCCTCGGATATCTTTCCATCAAAAAGGTCACCGCGAAAATATTTGCCTCGGCTTTATTCTATGGCTTTCCACTTCACAGCTCATTTGCTTAAAGGACGAATTAACATCGCCCCCCTTTTCTAAAAGAAAGGGCTCTGGTCCTAGATAAGACGGCGGAAGCCAAAGGTGGAAGCTCCCATGGCGTCTCCACCTCTCCCTTCCTTCTACTCACCAAAACGGGAGACTCATATGGAAGGTGGAGGATGAAGAGGGGCCGTCCAAGTAGAGACCCCTCAAGCCTTTATTTGTGGATGGCACTGTTTCCACCCTCTCCCACACAAATCAGCTTGGTTAACGCTGGAATTGATGCCTACGCTTTTCCTCCCTTTAACCTCCTGCACCCTTTCGTTTAAGGGGCATCATTGGATAGAGGTGGGGCAGCGGGCATTTCTATTTTTTTCTCTATAGAAAGACCGAGATGAGAAACTATCATGTTCATGTATTATTGAATCCCTTTTAGTAGACTGATAGTGAGAATAGAATATTTTGGTAAAACTTTGGTCATTGAAACCACAGAAAGTTTTCATCACTTCAAGAATATTTAGTAGACTGCCACTATTTCTGTCGAAGGAGAGAGAAGGGAAAACCTAGTGAATTACATTTGACGAGAGAGCTATCATTATCTTCCATTGTCATGCTTGTGTTCATCAAACTCCGAGTCACTTGTGATTTTTCACGCAGTCTCACCTCTGGAATGAGCTTGTACTACTATGGTCTGCGAGACACCACGGCGGCCTACTCTTCAATCTTTCTCAACTTGGTCCCCATCGCTACCTTTATCTTCTCTCTCATTTTGAGGTAAGACTGACAACGATTACAAATTTCCGATAAAGATATACAGAGGGAACGAGACAGAGACAGACAGAAAAAGACAGGGAGAGACAGAGACGGAGATAGAGAGAGAAGGGGGGGGAGAAAGATAGAGAGAGAGAGAGAGAGAGAGAGAGAGAGAGAGAGAGAGAACCCTATTACTAGCTCCCTTCTTTTTAAAATAGTTATTGCCCTATCGATACAAGTGAGGTAGTTTACGGCACTCTAACTAGATATGATCTTGAAGCACTTCGCGTTTCTAACCTGGGCTACTCTTCTAAACGCTGTAGAACAGAAAAGCTAGGATTGGGGAGACCAGCAGGGATTGTGAAGGTTCTTGGGACACTTATTTGTGTGGGAGGGGCGATGATCATCAGCCTGTACAAGGGGAAAGCGGTCCATGTGTGGCCATTTCACCTCGACATTTCTCACAGCGCAGCAGGGAGACCAAGTCTCCATGATTTCCCCCAAGGAACGTTCTTTTTGGCGGCCAGCTGCGTATGCTATGCTTGCTGGTTCATCCTTCAGGTGAGCAAATGGATCATTTCCACTATTTCCTTCGCGACACTTCCACCTGTCCAGGGGACTATGCGTTGTTGTTGTTTGTTTTACTTAGTATTTTCCTTTTTGGGGATTTTATATGTAGATCTATAGAGAGTAGTCTTCCACCGTCGTAGTGATAGACATAGAATCCGTGAGGAAACCTTGCTCGTGGATTCTTTAACTAGGCCTTTCTGTACTTAATTATGTCGATAACTAAGCGTCTTAATACTCGATTATTCGCCCAGATGAATTTTACATGAAGTGTCTGGCCCACTGATGAGAAATCAACATTGATCATCACTACAATCACTGCAGATTAATTTTAGCTAATCTTGCCGCTGTCGCTTGATCTCTTGGAACTGAGCCCCGGAATGTAATTTTTTGTCTCAATAATTTACTCAGATGACGTTCATAACCAATGAATAACTGCGGATCACTAAGAGGGTCGATGATAGTTGTCGCTTTTGATAATGTCCTCTATGGTTTACGCAGGTTAAGCTGGTCAAAGCGTTCCCGAGCATATTTTGGGGGACGGCCTTGACATGCGTAGCAGGATGCTTACAATCATTCGTAATAGGTGCTTTTGTGAACAGGAAGAGATCGGAATGGGTAGTGAGAACAAGACTTCAGCTAGCTACCGTTATTTATTCGGTAAGATCCAGTTCACTCTCGAAATTTGATCCGACTTCCATTGAGGATCTAAGCTATGGGTAAAAAAACATATTGTTTACAAGATCATATATTCTCAGATTTATATTAATGAATTTGTTAAGATACAATTCATTTTTACCATATTATTGATTAAAATGGCTGAAAAATAACATTTTTATGGGTAGAAAATTTGTACAAATTGCACATTATTTGAGCTAAAGTAGTATTTATAACTTCCCTATAATTATACAGATTCTCAAGATCTTGTTTTATGTTACTATTTAATGAACTTAAATTACGGATTCTTTTAAGGACAAACTAGTTTTTATACATATTCGTTCGCTTTGGAGCTACTTTTATGATTTGAATAAAAATATTAAATGAGCTGGGTTTTATCTAAGTATTAGTTTTTCCATCTGATGTACTTAAATAATTTATGATTTGAACTCTTCAGTAAATCATTTTTGTGCCCCGAAATCATACATGTTTGGAGTCGCATTAATGGCCTCAATTACAGAATAAGTATTTTAGTATCCTAAGAACTCGCCTTGGTTTTTATTTTAGTCTTCATATCATTCTATCCAATTAAAAAAATAAGATTTAAACTAACAGTTAGGTATTGAGCTGATGAAGTTAGCACGTTGTTACATTTCTTGTCGATTTTCAGTGATTTAGACACTCAAACACGCCAAGAAGAATGAATAATAATAACAGTAATAATACTAAGATGAGTTAATTGGTGTTTGGAGAAAAACCCTAAGAGGATGGTTAATTTCTTCCTACAGGGTTTGCTGAATGTTGCGGCAACGTTCATGCTGGTGACGTGGGCAGTCTCCAAGCGAGGCCCCACATTTCCTCCCATGTTTACTCCTCTCTCGCTCATCTTCGTCACCATTGTGGAGTCCCTCTTCATGGGCCTCGAGATCACCATCGGAAGGTCAGTATCACCTCCTCGCCTCCCTCCCAGAGTATTCTAAAGTGATTGAATTTCAATTTCCCCCCGGATTTTGTGATCGATGAGCCCATCGACAAAGCTTGATCTATAGATAAGACGATCGGACATCTGAGGACGCCAAAGGCCAGCCCCAAGCCCCATCGTCTTCTACGAGCCTGGGATCCACTCAGACCTCAAACAAACCCTAGAAGAATGGTCAGCCCAAGCCTGGCATATGTGTTGACTAATCCTAGGTTAGAGTGAGAGAGAGAGAGAGAGCTGAATTGGCATGTACCCACGTAAAGCTCAGGCCCAGCCTGGCATTTGTATCGACCAATCCTAGGTTAGCGAGAGAGAGAGAGAAAGAGGAAGAAAGGTCAGCCCCAACCGTGCCATCTTTACTGCCCATTCCTCAAAGAGAGATAGAAGGGAGAAAGAGGGGGAGGGATGGACTGTTGTCATGAGATTTAGACGTCCTACCTAAACTCACAGAAAGGTCAGCCCCGGTCCGTCCATCAATTTGCAAAAATCATAGGTTGACAGAGAGGAGAGATGTGCTTCACTGAGGGAGTTGGAACTTTCCAATTAGACTCCCAAAGTCAAGATCCAACCAAAAGAATCATCCACTTGCCCTCGTGTCGTCTTCCTCGCTGATAAGTCAACGCAACATATCGTTTTCTTTCGCAAGTAGGTTAGACACTAAATCAGTAAAATCATCGAAGCCTGTCTTTAACTGATGTTGAGGCAAAACCTAAAACGATTTCCTGAATGGTCGCAGCATATTGGGGATGCTTCTGATTATAGCCGGCATCTACGCGTTCCTGTGGGGGAAGGCGAAGGAGACGGCGGAGTTGCCGCGGCTGCCGCCATCCCACGGCGTCGGAGCCGCCAGCGCCGGCTTGGTGCCGGCGGCCATCCCCGATCCTCCACTCAAACCCAGAGATCTGCCGATCAGAGGGCCGTAATGACACGTAAAGCATTCGTTTTGGACGGCAAGACCACACCGAATAGCAATACCTCCCATAGAACAGAGGCAGTTTGATACCATCTCTCTCTCTCTCTCTCTCTCTCTCTCTCTCTCTCTCTCCCCCTTAGTTGTATGTATAGCATGGAAAATTACGTCCACAAGGAAGATAGCACGTCCACCAAGTTGTCCACCGACACCTCCATGGCCTCCACGACGGAGATAGCACGTGCATAATTCCCCGCCGCCTAAGTTCCCTGCCTAGTTTACTTACCCTTAACGCCGCAAGGAAGCCCGCGGCGCCGAAATCTGGCCGGAAATGATGGATCGGGGGAGAGCCTGCGTGCCGTACGTGTCGATGCTGGCGTGCCAAGTGCCCTACGCGGGCTCCAACGTCCTCTGGAAGCTCGCCCTCCAGAGCGGCCTCAGCTACCTCGTCCTCACCGCCTACCGCCACGTCCTGGCCGTCTTCATCTTGGGGGCCCCTCGCGTACGCCGTCGAGAGGTTCGCCCCCGTCCAGTGTCCCGCCGGCGGCAGGCGCACACTAGTTTGACTCCTCACGGCGGCGCTTGCTCCTCCTGCAGGAAAGAGGGCCACCGTCCGACGCGGCTGACAGCGGCGAAGATCTTCCTCCTCTCGTCGCTGGGGACGACGGTCCACCAGAACGTCTACTACGCTGGCCTCCGCCGCACCACTCCGACCGCCGCCGGCGCGCTGAGCAGCGTCATCCCGGCGCTCACTTTCCTCCTCGCGGCCCTCTTCAGGGAGCCCGCCGCCGTCCATTGGAGATTCCGCTGGTTCGTCGCCCACTGGAAACTGTTGCTCTCTCTGCAGAATGGAGAAGGTGAGACTGGGCCATGCCAGGGGACGATTGAAGGTTCTCGAGACAGTCTTATGCGCCGGAGGAGTTCTCGTGTTTACCTTCTGCAAAGGGCACCTATTCGGAAGCATCGTCGGGAGGCCGCTGATTTCAATGGAGGAGCACGTGGGGTTATCATGGCCCAATAGGCCCAAAAATCCGTAATGGGCTAGCCGAAAGCTTACCGGACCAATAACCTGCTATACTCACCGGTGGCAGGGAACCGTGCTTTCGGTGCTGGTGTATTATCTTCAAACATGGTGCGTCTGTGAGAGAGGCCCTGTTTTCGTGGTTGCATTCACGCCTTTGCACGTCATCATCCTGGGAATCTTCTCCGCCATCTTCTTCGCCGAGCGACTTCACCTGGGGAGGTAATCGATGGCAGAAAATAAAAGCCCAGAATTTCCTTCTTACGAATAATTCAGGGTGTGAAAATTCTTGCTTTGTGTGGATTTTATGCGCAGCCTGTTGGGCGCGATGCTGATAGTCGTTGGGCTCTACTGCGTGATATGAGGGAGGACCAACGGAAGCCATGAGATCAAGAAGGATGTGGATGTGATCCCAGGATAAGCTATCCAGTTTTCATTCGAAATATGGTCGCTTGATGAGTGAGCTCCTCGTTGGATTGTTTTTTTTTTTTCGTTCTCCATTTAAGAACTTGGATTCGATGATGAACTCGGAATTGTGAGATCAAATGAGAATGGAGGATAGAGATAAATCAATGATCGGCTGATAATTTTACAGGGTAATAATGAACTGAAAATATTTCCATCAGGTTCATTAAAGCATAAACACGGACAATTCTGAGTTTATGGAGCATACTTTGTTCAGACTGATTGTGGTTCGTTATCTAACTGGTCTCAACGTAGGAGCAGATGAAGGGGAGGCTAGGCGAAATAATCATTGTGTTAATAGATTATCATTTACCTTCAGTGCATGCCTGTCCGGTTTCTAGGTTTCCCGGTTTATCTACGAATCTATGAAGCGGAGATATTCAATCGGAGTATTTTTGGGCGAAAACGTGGAGAAAAGTATTTTGTAGGAGCAGACTATGTTTTCCCTAATGAGTTTGTCATGACTGACCTCGAACTAGAGACGAGAGAAGAGCAGCCACGGAGGTTCTGCCCTGTTTCTGCCGACAAAAGGAGTAGCGCCGCCAGTGGAGAAGAAGCGGGTTTAAGAGTCAGAACACGCAGGAACTAGGGCTTCCTATTCTCGACTCGATATAAAATAAACCAGTAGTTACCTCAGTTAGTCTACAATGTTCATCTCTGAACCTATGGGAGAAGATTCCAGCATCCAGCTGGTCCAAAGAACAACAGCTGTTTCAAGATCAGTGCGGTTGGGATCACAGGTAAGACCGATGGGACAGGATTGGGGAGTTCTTCAGAGGAGAGATTACCGAGGAAGACGAAGGAGCGGCGGCTCAAGAGGTGAGAAAGAGCAAGGACGGGGGAAAGAAGAAAGAAGGATGGAAAGGAACGGCGGGACGAATCACGAGTCACCATGGTGATGGATTATTCGTCTAAGACGACGACGACACGACGGAGAAGCATCACCAACACTCTCGTTGCCATACTTCTAGCTGTACCGATCTCCATGATTCAAAGCGGAATCAGAAAAAAATAATCCCGATTAGACTTTACCTTGCTACCGTAGTAATTCCGACCTCCCTGGACCAGGACGCTGTGCCGCAGGAAACCTCTCTCTCTCTCTCTCGCTGCCCCATTCTGCATTACCGGGTCCGGACTAGGGTTTGAAGGCGTGGGGGGGGTTCATGGCGACTAACGGTCAACCCTGGGCACGTGTCATGCTAAGAAGCTGTTAGTTAGAGGATTTCACGCCACGTAAGGTCGTGCGCAACTAACTTTCCCGCCTTTGACTCAGGTCTCCCCGACTCATTACCGGCACTCTCCCGTTGGGCCTCCCACTCAGAGCCCAGTGACTTCACAGGCCCGTTAAAAGACGGATTCTCCCAATCCGAATAAATATTAAATTTAGATATGCATTTTAAGCATAATTAATCCTCTTAATTATTGTTTTGGTTTCCAAAGTCAAGCTCTCCACCGTCCGATCTTCCACGTGGCCGGCGTCGATGACATATTGATAATGACCCCCCCCCCCCCATTTATGACGTCATCGTCATTGGATGCTCCCCCCTCCTCCCGGTAAAAGCGGCGGCGACGGTTGCAGCCGCGAAGTCCCCGGCGGCGGCCGTTTCAGTGTGGCCCGTTACGTGCGGTTGTGAGGGGTAGTGGGGGGTCTATTTTTAATATTTATTAATAAATTCTTATTTCCCTCCTCCAACCTCAAAACCCCGCCCCCTGCGGGACTTCCAGCTTTCCTTCTCACTCTAACAGACGCAGACATCAGAGAGAGAGACAGAACCTGACAGACCCCGTCTTTCGCAGGAGATCTCTCTATCCCCGACACCTCTTCTGGCGGCGAAGGCACCTCCTTAATTCCTCTCTCTCTCTCTCTTCCGCCTATCTCTCTCTCTATGTCTTTCTCTCTCTGACCTCTCTATCTTTCTTGCTCGTTCAGGCTGCTGTTCTTTTGGCGCGATAATGGCGGCTAGTCTGTGCTCCGATTGGGGCGGAACCGAAGATATCGTCTACCCGCAGCTGCTGCAGCCGCCATCTGCGCCGTCCCGCTACCTGGAACCACCGCCGCTGATCTCGCCGGAGCTGCCCCACATGTCCATCGTCGACTACCTCCTCTTCGACGACCAACCGGAGGTTGACGGAGGCTTCCACTTGCCCGACGGCCAAGTGAACGATGATCTCCTCTCCTTGCTCTTTCCCTCCTCCGGCCACTCTGAATTCTACCTTCCACCCGGTTTCAATCTCTGTGGTCCTTCGAGCCTCCTCTCCGATGGAGCGGCCTTCGTCACCGCCGCCGTTAATCCTTACACTGACCTCACCGGCGCCGCCGCCAATCCTTTCCCTGAGAAGGAGCTCGACTTCCCTCCGCCGGAGAGCTTTGCCCCGGCGCATTTTCAGAGTCCGGTGGGCGGCGCCGCCACCGCCGGCGGCGAGAAGCCCGGCGGAGGCGGATGCCCCTCTGCGCAGAGCGCTGCGGCGAGGCAGCGGCGGAAGAGGATCAGCGAGAAGACGCAGGAGCTGGGGCATCTCATCCCCGGTGCCGGCAGGATGAACACGGCGGAGATGCTCCAGACGGCCTTCAAGTACGTGAAGTTCCTCCAGGCGCAGATCGGCATGCTCGACCTGGCGGGGAGCTTCTCCCCAGAGGATCTCCGGGAGCGGCGGTCGGCGCCGTGGGGAGAAGCGGAGGTCCTGCAACTCCTTCAGCGGCTGCTGGCGGAGCCGTCGCTGCAGGAGAAGCTCGCCGCTGTAGAGCTCTGCGTCGTCCCCACCATGGTGTTACTGGTGCTGTCCGAAGACCGTGGTATCCTCTCCCGCCCTTCCATAGCCAGAGAACTCCGCTGCGTCCTCCTCCATTAGGGTTAGGGTTTTACACTTCTGTACGTAGCCTCTGCATTGAACATCTCTTATTCTTTTCCCCCCCTCTTCGTTGTAATTACCTCGATGACCATCAACCAGGGGTTCACACGTCCCTCTCTCTCTCTCTCTCTCTCTCTCTCTCTCTCTCTATGTTCATGTAGTTACATGTAGGTAATCCCCCTATAGTGGTCCAGAAGTCTTGATTTGTTGACTGTGGACCTTCCCCTGTGAGGCCAATTGGTATCATAATCATCATCATGATCACCATATGTAATATAGATATAATGCATTTAAGTATTTTTTTTATTTTTTAAAAAAATGATTATGAATACTTTAAACGAAATATTTTCATTTAAATTAGTTTTCCGCCTGCATTGGTCAAGAAGTTTCGTTTTGTTGACTATGGGCCCTACCTTGTGGGCCCGATTGGCATCACAATCATGACCGTGGTCATATGATTTAATATAAATATAAATAATTTAAATATTTATGAGGTTATTTATTTATTTTAAACGATTATGAGCACTTTCAAGGAAATATTATCATTTAAATAATAGCCCATACTCGCTGTACGACGACATATTGGGCTTGCACAGCCCATTGTAAGTATGGGAGGACGGGTAGTGGCCCAATGGTTCTTGGCTGCAAAATCGTGCTCCTTGTCACGCTTTTAACTAACGTGGACCATCAATGATGCCCAAACCATGCAGGGTTTTTGGGCAAAACTTGCCGCCGCCTCCATTCTCCATCGTAGACGGAGCTCCGCCGTGGCGGCGGGAGGGAGGCCAGGAGTGCGCCGGGAGCGTGTGTGCAGTGGTCGGCGGTCGGGATGCTCGCTGGCGGGACTGGCGCCGCCGGTCGGGGACTCGGAGGCGCCGCCGCAATGCTGAATCTGGTGAGGCAGTTCTCGAGGAAGTGTCAGAGGAACCTGAAGAAGATCGACCCCAAGGTTCCGAGGGAGGAGGCCGTCACCATCTCCGGCGAGCTGTACCGAATCATCAAGGAGCACGGCCCCTTGACCGTCTCCAATACCTGGAACCATGCAAAGGTATGCAAAATCCCGATCGTAGTCTTGTCCTGCATATCTGGTTGGCATGAGCAAGAGATTCCCGGTGTACCTTTGTGCTCATGCTTTGCCTGGAAACTTTTGGGTTAGTCAGCCAGGAAATGTGAATGAGGATGATCCGCGTGAGAGTGGTGGGAATCTGTCGTCTACGGATAGATCATGTACTGAATTCATGTGATCTCCGGTGACTCGAAAAACCATGCCGCTGATTGTCTAAAATTGAGCGGGGATGTGAGGTTATCCTTGTAGACCTTTGGGCCGTGTGGCCATGTCATACTGTTGAGAATCTTTTGTAGAGGAGATCGTATAGTGCTAGAAGGCCATTCTCTCCTTCCTCTTCTGCAATGTTTATAATGAAGGTTTTCGGTTCAAAGGAAGAGTAATCGTAAAACTAAAAAGAATTGGCACTGAGCTGTCGTTGAGGAACTATTTTTTCGATGGTTTTTGTCATTCAGATTGTTAGAAAATCCCAGAAAAGGAATTTATATGTGATAACATTGTTTTTTAATTTGGCCGGACTATGATAGGTTGGATCAGTTTTCCATGATTTTATTCCCTAATACGTGCCAAAATCAGTTAAATTTTTTTCTTAATGAAATGCGCGGTTCTGAGAGAATCGAGTTGGGACAGCTTCAGAGTCATTGTCCCCAATCGAGATGCATTGAGTTACTCAAAAGACAGCTGAGTGCCAGCCCTCGGCGCACTTCTGAGAGAATTGAGTTACTCGAGGCATCTCAAGGTGGGGCGATCTGACTCTGAAGCTGAGGCTCACTTGGTCAATCCTACCCTGTAGATGGATAAATAAATCTAAAGAGAATCAGCCTCCACACCATCGTCCTGCCCAATTAGCCAAAACGTCTAAATGCTAAATCCGTTGTGAAGTTCTTTCATAAATTTGGAGAACTAGTCCAAACATTGTTGGTTCGGCATAGCTTGAACCATGTATTCTACTATTTACAGTAGTCCTCATTTGTCAAGGTTAGGTTTGTATCTTTCGAAAATTACCAAATGAATCCTCAAGAAGTCACCAAAATCTGTGGACCCTTTAAGAAAAGGCCTTGATTAGTTTTGATTTGGTGTAAAATCGCATATGATTTAAGCTGAATGAGCCTACTTGGAGTAGCAAAAACTAGAGAGAATGCATCAAGGTAGCTTCTATTGTCCATGGATGAAGAACAATCTGATCCCTCATAGGGAAGTGCTATGATCGGGTCATTGGAAACAACACCTTCACATCCAACTTTCACTCTCACCGAGATTTTTATCCTTCCAAAGCTGCAATTCTCAGCCCGAAAAAATAATATTATGTCAATAAATCATTTCTTGTTCTAAACGGATCACCTTCATTCTATTTTGTTGTGAGATTGCATAAGATGAGCCCCGATAATGGACAACCAATTCTGAGGTACTTGTATATTTTGGAACTGAAATTTCTTGAACGAAATTCAAGTTTTTAAGTGTCATTTCTCAAATAGCAAGCTCAGTACGATTGGGTCTTCGTTTCTTATGATAACTCTAATTGCATTGTTTCCCACCAAGTCATCCCCAGGTCTAGATTTTAAATATGATGGTTCAGTACTTCCCAAATCTCCCCCTCACTAGTAAATGCAGATCTTATGTAGTAAAATTTAACGAGGAATGTTGTCTCTCCATAACCAAGCTTTACATCCTCTTGAACTATATCCATACTAGTTTTCAAACTAGATAATAGATCATGTCCGAAAACTAATCGATGTATTACTCTTGGATAGGAACCAGCTATATGACATGTCAATTCCTAAAATTATCTCATTTCAACAGTAGAGAACCCACTGTGTAGATCCATAATGTGTTGTCCCCGCTGTCTATTCATCGCTTATCTAGCTCTGCCTTGAAGTTAGGCGCTACTTCGTCGGGTAACCTAAAGCCATTCGAATGATTGCATATCTAGATAATTGTGACCAAGAAATATGGTGTAAGTCATTCACTTTGGCTAATGACCGAGAATCTTCTCTCTCTCTCTCTCTCTCTCTCTCTCTCTCTCTCTCTCTCTCTCTCTCTCTCTCTCTCTCTCTCTCTCTCTCTCTCTCCCTCCTCTCTCTCTCCCTCTCTTACTCTCCTATAACATGAAGGAGGCATGTATCTAGTTGATAAGATCCCCCCCCCTGGTGTGCTCCCAAGACCACACGAATTTCGTCTCATTTGTGTCCCTCTTTGAGCATGTTGTAAGACTACGCTCTTCCCTTAAATCAGGCACAGGGCACTAACACCCTGCCTTAGTGATCTTGAGTTCAAAGCAGACCATTTATGAATGAGACCATTGATGAGCAGCTACCATTTGAAACTTCTGCATGCTCATTCTGTGTCCATTGCAATTTTACCTGCAACTCGTCGGCCTGTAAATTCTTCTGTCCTACCCATTCTTTCTAGGGTTTTGAGTGTGGCAGTGTTCATGTAGGTTATGTTAGGCCTAGCCACCATGGGTGGGCACCTTCATGCTTTCTGGCTCTGTCTATGGGTACCATCACCATTGATGTAGATAGGATCTCTGAGATCTCACAGGGCAGAAGTGACAGTAAAGGATGGCACTTACAGCTGTGCCTCAGACTTTTCTTTCTTTAATGCTTGATCTTATTATATTTAGATCCATATTAATAAATGCAACATTAAGTTTTTGTTTTCTGGTTCACATATATTTTATGTTATATATATATATATATATATATATATATATATATATCTTTCTTGTGAAAAAATAATATCTTCAGGTTAATGGGTTTAGAGCTAAATAAAGCAATCACTTACCCCTTTGAACTGGATGACAGGAGGCCGGCATCAATGGGCTCAACAGCAAAACCCACATGAAGCTGCTGCTGAAATGGATGAGGGGAAGGGAGATGCTCAAGCTCTTCTGCACCCACGCCGGTTCCAGTAAGAAATTCCTTCACTCTACCTTGCCCGAGGATCCTCAGGCGGCCCAGACAGAGAAAGCCCCATCGACGCCCGAGACCCCAAACCCCTCTAGGAAGAAGACCCGGCAGGCCAAACGATCCACTCTGGGGAACTAGAGACGCCCACGGCAGTTCATCCAGTTAAGTATATTCTATTTTCGCTCCCTTTCTTCGTTCCAGGCTGGTGGGCCCCTCATCAAAATGTCCAACCCCTCGAGGCCGTTGACTTCTGTTGAGTCCGAACGTGCATCTTTGGAATAGGAACATTCAGACCGTTGACTTTGTTCATGCGCTGACCGTTGTATGTTCTTTTTTATCTGAGAACAATGGCACTGCTTTTGGATCAGACCGCTTCTCCCTTTTAAAGGGCTGATTTTTTTGAAGATCTGACGATATATGGCGTCCTGTTTGACTTTTTTTAAATGCATCAACACCCACCCTGAACTATTTATGTCATCATGTTGGTGTTTATGTGAATTCAGTCATCCGCTTTTTGTTCCATGATTTCGGGCTAAATGGGTGCCCCCATCAAAAAGTCCAAGCCCCTCGAGACTGTTGACTTTTGTTGAATCTGAACGCGAATATGTGGAAAAATAACATTCAAACCGTTGACTTTGCTCATGCGCTGACTATTGTATGTTCTTTTTGATCTAAGTGGCACTGCTTTTAAATCAGACCAGTTCTCCCTTCTAAATGCCTGATTTTTCAAAGATCTGACGATATATGGCGTCCTGTTTGACTTTTTTTAAATCCATCAACACCCACCCTGAACTATCTACGTCATCCTGTTCGTGTTCACATGTGATTTGAGTCAACGGCTTTTTCTTCCAAGATTTCGAGCCAAATGGGGGGGGGGGGCATCTCTCTAATAAAATGTGAGAAGAGGGCTGATGAAAATATTTTTGCCTGTATTCCTCAAATCGCCCACCCGTTCATTACTCATTCTCTGCCCCCAGATTAGGAAAAAGATATGATTATCTGGGTGTTTTTATCAACGGGTGCGATATATTTAAATCCATACTATATAAATAATGTTGGGTTGATATTATATGAATTTAATCCCTTAGCATCATATATTTGGCCGCTAATTGATCAAAGTTTTGGTTCTCCAGCCAAAAGAGATTTTTAGGTCACTTTTTAAATTATTTTAAAAATATTAATCTTATATTATTACTTTAAATAGAAATATTGTCAGCTATAAAGACATGTAATTTTTTTATAAATTAAATAAATTGGAAATCCTTTCATGAGTCTGGAATCTACAGCGAGGATGCTAATTTTTCATAAATCGTTTGGCCGATTTTGGTATTTTTCCCATTTTAAAAGGTGGGAATTTATTTATATTCCGATTAACCATCATCCAAGATGTAGTTTTTTTTCAAAAATATGACGTCATCGATTGGCCGGTGGTGGCCGAACTAGGACTTGAACGATCTTAGTCGGTTCCTGGGGTGTCGACCCGAGCCGGACGAGCCACACCGATCCTGCCGCGTCAATCCGAGTCAACTCACTGCCATAACCTCTCTGAAGCATCGGAACGCTAACTATATATGTAATATATATATAAAGAGGCAGTCAGCAACCGATAAGGCGGCCGCGCTTCGTCGTGCTTCCCGCTGCTTCCCCCGCTCCATCGCCAGGTTCCTGACTCCCCGACTTTCTTCCTCGCCTCCCCATTCCGTTGGACTCTGAGCCGCCTTCTTCGAAGCAGCAGCAGCAGTCGAGTTCGCGCGGCCTTCTCATCCGGTGAGTATCTTGTAACTTGGCTGAGGAGGCCTGGCTAACTTTTCTCCTCTAGCATCCGTAATCTTGACTGAGGGATCGTGTTCTATTCCGCTCCTCATTGGATTCCGGGAGTTTTAGGGCTCACTCTGGTGTCTAGTTTCCTCCTGGAGCCCATTTTGTTCTCTGGATTTTAGGTTTTTTTTGCTTTCCGACTTTTTACTTTACTCGAGTTTGTGTTTCTCATATTTTTGGATGTTGTGAATTGTTTGTAAAGGCGGCGGGGGTTTGTGCTTCCATGGCGGCTGGCGTTGTGCGCGAGTGGTTCGGTATCCAGCAATTCCCGGCTCCCACGCAGACCAAGCTTCACGAGTATCTGGGGAAGCTCAAGCAAGAGGTTGATGTTTCTCTTCCTTTCTCCATCTCCTTGTTTTCATTGATTCATTTTGTTACACCGTTTTCAGGTTTCCCATTTCTTATCTTATTTTCCACATACAGAATGTGAACACATTGACAATTCTTGTGATGGGGAAAGGAGGCGTCGGCAAATCTTCTACAGTGAACTCCATTTTGGGGGAGCGGGTGGCCACTGTCAGTGCTTTCCAGGTCTGTTGGAATAGTATCCGCGGCCTGTTTTTAAAGGAGTTTCAATTAAAGTTAATTCACGAATTTTGTTTCGATCTCCTGCTATTTTTATTGCTCTTGCAGTCGGAAGGGCTTAGGCCTATGATGATCTCTCGATCTCGGGCAGGCTTCACCTTGAACATTATTGACACCCCTGGGCTTGTAGAAGGCGGATATGTCAATGAACAGGCCCTTGAGATCATAAAACGGTATGTCTGGAATCAATAAATTTCTGAGGACGCGTTTATGGTCCCTTTTTCCTGGCTTATCAGACATAGCTCAATATTATTATTTTGTACCTATCTTACTAGAAAAAAAATCTTGGTATAACTTTCTAGATGGAGTATACCCTTTGAGTGTGGAACATGCCCCCAAAGTATGGGTTTCGTTCTAATTTCCGTCAAAATTTTCTGGCAGGTTTCTTTTGAATAAGACCATTGATGTTCTTATCTACGTTGATCGATTGGATTCATATAGAGTAGATAACTTGGATCGACAAGTCATTAAGGCTATCACTGACAGTTTTGGTAAAGCCATATGGAAGAGAGGCTTGGTTGTCCTCACGCACGCGTACCTTTCACCCCCAGATGGACTAAGTTACGATGAATTTTTCACCAGACGCTCAGAAACCCTTCTTAAAATTATACGCTTGGGAGCCAAGATCAGAAAACAAGAATACCAGGTTCATTGCCCTTTTCTTTTCAAATTCATTTTTTATCACTGGAATCTTCTATCTTAGTTCATTCCTTTGCGCTTGTAGTATTTTTCTGGTTGATGAATATATCATGTCTCATGGTCTGTAAAGCTTGCCTGGCACTGGATCTACTCAGAGGTGATAAGATCGAAGCCTAATTAAGACCAAGTCTGTCTAAGCTGGCCAGGATCAATCTTCTGGGCTAGCACACTGCATTTAAACCCTCATCCAGAGCATGGATATACATTTCGGTGTCTAGATACTAAGTTCCTGAATATATCATTAAAAATTTATGTCTTGCCATTTTGTATTGGAGCATTCTCCCAGTATTATATATTATGGAGAGATATCCTCATTGGGCTCCTTATCAAGAATTTGTTTTATCTTTTTCTCTAAAGAATAGATATCGGTGTGAGAGAGTGGAACAGATGGATTTTCTGTAAATGTAAGATCCTCCCTGATGTCAAACATGGTCGAGTAAATTAGGTCAAGGAAATATTAGCGCCGGGCATTGTTTATGTGTTTACATGTGGAAGAACAATGAACTGCCAGATTGCGCTATGTTTCTTACTGTTCAGCTTTTTATGAGGTACTTGTTATTCTCTTGTCTTAAATCATACTGAGGAAACCATGTGACTCATGATTGAAAGCAATCATCTGATTTGGGTATAGATCAAAACTATGATGTCAAGATCAACTTTTTTTAATTTCTCTTCCCACCAATCAAATGTCGGCCCATAGTTTTTCCTTCTTACCTATTGTATTTGTGCCCTCTGCTTCTAGTTTTTCCTATTACCAATCGGATTGCATGGTATCCTAGACCTTCACCATTAGTTAAAATAGTATGATCCAGCTTTCATGGAGGGTCTTGGAAAACCACATTTTTCTTCTGTGTTTCTCTTACCCTGGCAGGCATTTTAAAGACATTGAAAGGATTCTCATTTTAAAGACATTCCGGGAGTTATAATAAACGGAGAAATTAGTTTCTAAACATTTTCATTGATGATTCGGAGGTTGCAGGGGGGGGGTTTTCTAATTAAAGTTATTTTTTCAGCCTCTGGAATCAATTTATTCGTTATCATTAATACTATTCTAGACTCTATACCCTCCAGTTCAATTCACAAAAACGCTTCTACCTCATCGCCAGACCCTTGATTACATCAAATAATGAAACACGCTTCAGTTACAGACGATGACCCTGAGCATCGATCATTGGTCGAAAGAAAACTCATCTTCAGCCCCTAACAGCCTCTCAGATGATATTCTGACTTTGTTTTTGAGCGATGAATGGATCATAATCTCAAACGAACGGAGCAATCAGTTTCTATGATTCCTTTCATAATTCTGGTATGCGCAAGGTAGGCTTTCAACTGATTCAGCTAGACTTTTTAGCTTTTTGCAGCCAATTTCTTCACCAAAATTAGTATCATTCTTGAGTCTGAAACATGTTTGAGCGAGATTCAAAGAGATTCAAGCAACCCTGATGAATTCATGCTATCAGATTTTTTGGTTCTATAGCTTTCCCTGGTGTTTTCTTATGCGCCGTCTTCCTCCACACCAAATACTAATTTGGGAAACTTTCTTCTGTATATTTGAAGGACTCCGCCATACCCATAGCTCTGGTTGAGAACACCGGGAAGTGTGCCACAAATGAGGGTGGCGAGAAGGTACCATCTCTCTCTCTCTCTCTCTCTGTCTCTCTCTCTGTCTCTCTCTCTTAATCTTATTGAGAAATCGTCTTTGGGAAACCAGGTTCTCCCGGATGGCACAGTGTGGATCCCCAACCTGGTGAAGACCATCACCGACATCGTCTTGAATGGGAGCAAAGCGATCACCGTTGACCAGAAGCTAATCGATGGGCCGAACCCGAACCAGAGGGGGAAGATCTTCATACCCCTCATTCTCGCTCTCCAGGTGGGCGAGCCGCCCTCTTCCTCTTCCTCCCCCCCGATTTCTTCAGATTTTCACCAGATGGGGCCGTCCCTTGACTGAAATCTGCTCTTCCTCCGCAGTATTTCTTCTTGGTGAAGCCGATCAAACACAGGATCAGGGAGGACATCGCTCGGGAGAAGAAGCCCCTCTGGGAGCTCCGCGACATGGGTCTGGCCGACGGCAAGTTCTGACCATTTGTGGCTTGGCTGTGGCGTTCTAGGGTTCTTGTAGGAAGAGGGGTGGGAGTGGGAGAGGAGCTCCGTCCTGTGGCTTCATGGCGAGATATGCATGCTCCCATTTCGGGAAATTTTCATCCTGTCTGGTTAGATTGGATCTTGCTCTGCTCGGAGCGAACCCCGCGGAAAGTGGGGGGAAGCAACTAGTTGAACACCCTTGTTTACCGAGAATGTGATTCTGCCGATGCTGTCTTTTCCAGTGCTCTCTCTCTCTCTCTCTCTCTCTCTCTCTCTCTCTCTCTCTCTCTAGGTTAAATGCAGACTGTACAGCCCACGATTCTGGAAAAAAGACTCAAATCGATCAACGTATAAAGGGCCACATTGTCCGATTGAATTTGTTTTCTATACAGTAATTATATAAATGCCGAATGTATTAAATTATTTCGATTTTATTATCAAAGGGGTGAATATGATAACTAATGTAAGATATATAATACTTTTCTAAAAATATTACTGAATTTTAATATTATTGGTCATTAATAATTAAAATTTAAATATGAGTTAAAACATGATATTTTCCAGGATTCACATAATTTATCTATTAAATTAACGTGATATAAGAATATATGTAAAACAAACGAAAATCATATAATTAAATTATAAATCGATAGAACCAGGCCAGAACTGTGGAGGCCCTCAAAGCAGTAGCCGGGAGTGCTCCTGCCGGCTCTTGGAAGCCGAAGACGACGAGGAAGGGGGAGGGCCGCCGGAGGAGAGGGGACCCTCCGACGGGGATCGAGGTCGGCCGCCACCACCTCATAAGAGCAGGACTGCGAGCCATCTGCTATGAAGCATAATCTCGTCAGTGGTGGTTCCCCTTCTCCCGCTCGTCCTCCCTCTCCGGCAACACTCTTTGTCAAGCTTCCATCCGGCGGGATTCCTGGTTCATTTCGTTTCTCCCTGCGAAGGCAGATCGATCGAATGGGGAATCTGAAGAACGCCTGCATTGCCTTCCTCGTCCCGTTTCCTTCTCTCATCTTCTTCGTTACGTTCCTCCACCGCTACGATTCCGCCATCGCGACCTCCGCCCCCGCGGGCGACCTTTGGGAATGGTGTGCTGGCCATCCTCTACTCCTCGCCAACCTGCTCTTCTTTGCCAACGTCGACGTGCTCTTCTGGATCATCGGCCTGCTCCAGTCCAACAACTGGGTATCAGTTGCCATCTAGGGTTTTCTATTTTCCTTTCCTCTTCAGATCCGCTGCCTGAGATGCTAATCTCGTGCCGGTGGGGCTCTTGAGCAGATGATAGATCTGTACTGGACAGTGATCCCGGTGATGCTCGTCCACTATTACGCCGCCCACCCTCGGGCCGTGGCCGACCCGGCGAGGTCAACGATAGTGACGGCGCTGACCTGGGCGTGGAGCCTCAGGCTCACCTACAGCTACTTCAGGAGAGAGCAATGGCAGTGGGGCGCTAGGGAGGATTGGCGATATCACAGCATGAGGAAGGATTATGGCCGTAATTGGTGGTGGCTCTCCTTCTTCGCCGTCTATCTCTCCCAGCAGGTAATCCTCCTCGTCTCAGTCCCTCGCGCCGTGTAGCTGTTTGTCCAAGCGTCAATCCTCCAGTAGGGTTTCACATTCTTGCCTTGAATTTCTGCCAAGGTTTTCTCAGTTGATGGAGAATGTTGGGCATCTCTCTCACATGTAGGTTTTCCTGATCGGCATCTGCCTCCCCATGTACGCCGTACATTCAAGCAACAGGCCCTGGGGCGCGTGGGATTCTCTCGCCGCCGCAGTCTGCATCGCCGGAATCACCATAGCCTACTTCGCCGACACCCAGCTCCACCGCTTCGTGACTAGGAACAGGGCTCTGGAGGAGCTCGGGGCGCCCACCGTGCCAACTCTGGACACCGGCCTTTGGCGGTGCTCCCGCCACCCGAACTACTTCGGGGAACAGCTATGGTGGTGGGGGCTGTGCCTCTTTGCCCTAAACGTTGGACAAGGGTGGACCTCCATTGGAGCAGCCATCAACAGCCTCAGCCTGGTTTACATCACAGTGCTCGTCGAGCGGCAGATGCTGAGGAAGAAATCCAGAACCGAGGCCTACAGAGAATACCAGAGGACGACTTCTGTCTGGATTCCCTGGTTCAAGAAGACGGTGAAGGAGACGAAGACTAAGACCAGATGATGTTCTGTAAGTTCATGTCTGTTCATGCTGGGTAATAATGTGTTGTTTCCGAATTATTTTATGGAATAAAATTTCTGCTGGTATTCATGACTTCCCAGCTTTCTATCTCAGAGGGGCAGTGACAGGAACATTCACCTGTTGTCCATCAAAGGATGATCTTCCTTGGTAGGAAGATTTGCGGAAGAACTCTTAGGTTTTCATTGGTAGGAAGATTTAGTGCAGAGCGGGGAATGTGATTTATTTGCATCCGACGATCTTCTGTGACTTCTTGCTGTTCATCTGTAGATACCATCATGCTTGTTCATGCTGGGTAATTATCTGGTGTTTCCGTATTATTTTATGGAATTAAATTTTGCTGGTATTCATGACTGCCCAGATTTAAACCTCGGTTTTTTTGGGAGAAAGATTTCTTTTTTTAGTTCCAGAGGGGGGGGGGGGATATGATTTCATCAAAGGATGATCTTTCTTTCATGAAGTAGATGCATATAGTGTATGTATACATGGGTGAAGATCCAAGTGAATCGAAACCACTTGCTGAAGGTGGAGGAGGATCATCAATTCCTGAGCAAGCAGCAAATGTAAGGATTACAGGGATTTTATTCCAGATGTAGATGTGGATTAGGTTTCAGTAGCGTTACAGCATGAACCATCTTTCAGACTTCTCCGGGGGCATCTACGACGAGATCCTAGATTTCTGCTTTCTATGGAGATTTGGGGATTTGAATTGATATCTTGGGATTATACAGAACAATAAATGGCAGGCGATGCATTCAAGAGAAGAACACCCCGCTGATGATGGTCATAGGAAGATGAACCGGCATTTCCCCTGGTTATGTAGAGCTGGAAGAGGCTGCTGCGGCAGTCTCCTCCCTCTTCTCTGTGGTATTGGCGTCTGGTTTGACGATTCCATCTCCCTCATCATCCTCATTTTTCTTGACCAGATCTGCCGCCGCCGCCACCACCACCGGCTCTGCCACTGCTTTATCTGTGGTGGCTTCGTCGGCGACTGTTTCCTTCTCTGCCGCATCCGGTTTGGGAAGATCTTCCTTCTTGGGCTCCTCATGCTTGGGCTCCTGTAAATCTAGGGTTTCCAGTTCCTTGCTGATCTCTGCAGCGACAGGCTCTGCCTCCTTCGGCTCTCCCTCGCCGGAGCTCACATCCCCGGCGGCGGGGGCCTCTGGTTTCGAATCCGAAAGATCGATCAGCGGCTCCTCCTTGGTTTCCCCTCCCCCATTTGCTCCGTTTGCTTCTACTTTCTCCTGTGATCCCAGGAAACGGCCGTCACCGATCCCTCGATCCGCAGGCCTCGGGAAGGAAATCGGAAGAGAGGAGGAGCTCAGGAGATTTACCTCGACCGGCGCGGGAGCGGCGGGGATGCTGATGGACTTGGCGAGCAGCTCCGGCGCGCTGGGATTGTCGGCGGGTGGGTGGCCGTCCGACGCTCTGGGCTTGCTCGCGCAACCTCCCATCGTCCCTCCCACCTGTACGGTGGCGGGGAGGATGCTCGGGAAAAGAAGAAGGAGAAGGCGCGGCCGGTGCAGAGGACGAGCGAGGCCATGGCAGGCGGCGGCCTCGTATATAATGGCACCGGCGAGAACGGGGGGAAGCTTCCGGAGCTCTGCTGATGGCGACGGGTGTACAAGCTCTAAATTTAGGAGGGACGACCGTTGCAGCCAGGAGGTGAGGCGGAGCGCGCGACCGTTGCGGCGGGGGTTGGTGGGGCCCTGCCGTTGACCCTATTAACGCTTTCTTTGGTTGGACGCCCGTCTCGTCTCCTCCCATTCTTCGCAGCCTCCCATAGAAAATAGCGCCAGAAGCAGGAAGATGAGAGAGGAAGAGAGAGAGAGAGAGAGAGAGAGAGAGAGGATGCTGGTAGAAGAGAGAGAATGGCAGAAAGGATGCTGGTAGCAGAGAGTGAAAGAGAGGAGGTTGGATAAGTGCTTCTGGGCTTGATCGTACGCAGGCTCAAGCTGGGCCCAAATTACGGCCCAGTTTATGAAGTCATCTGACAAAAAATATGTATACAAATCCTCATTTAGGTCATTTAAATAAAATTTATTAATACTTTTAGAGTATTTTTTGAAACCTATGAGTCTCGTATTAATTGATAAAAATTAAATTTTAATTGTGAGAATTTAAACCTCTAGGAAACTAAAAAAGGAAAATTCAAGATGGGGAATTTCCCAAATTGGCATATTTTCATAATTTGTATTTAGTTAGTTTTCCTGATTTTAGTGTTTTGGTACCCACGGTCCAACCTAAACTGGGTTGAGATAGTGTTCTTGATTTTGATTGGCTAATATAAGCTAATCTTTGGAGATTAAATATTTAATTTGATTGATGATTGAGCTGATCATATTAGTGGTCTCAAATCTCAATCAAGATTGGGGGGCTAACTATGATCAAATCAATCTGTGATAGAAGCATATGATCAAAGTTGAACTAGTTTTGATGGAGCCTACACCTAACTAATCTTTGACCTTGGCTTAAACATAGTTAAGGATATGGTTGGGCTCTTGTGTACCAGCACAACACTCTCCCTTAGCACTTAGCCATCTGTCTTCACATAATGGGCATTGCCCCCGATTATATAGGGTTGGGGTTGCCAACTAGTTGTTTGTGCTCTACCTTGACTCTAGTTGTTGTGAAGCAATTGCATTCTCTTTGTACAATTAGGTGGGCATTATAATTCTACTATAATGTTCTCTCCATATTCTAAAATTTTCAAATTTTGCAGAAAAATAGTTTCAAAAATAATTGAATGATATATTATTGCACATGTTCTTTTGCACATTTTTCTATGGATCATACTTGACTTTGTAAAGTCACTTTACAAAGTGAGTTCTCATGTGTCATTTTTTCCAATTATATGTAATTTCTTATTTCATAATATATTTTATTTGAACATGTTTATAGCACTTTGATTCTAGAACCATTAATGTAAAATATATGACTCAGCTCATTTAAAGACTATAATTTTCTTGAAAGAACCATTTAAAGATCAAGAAAAGGGGTCTAATTGATTTACTTTTTGTCCTCATAGAAGATCTCTTAAAAACCAATCTTATCTCAAGATAATAGGTATATAAGTTTCTTATTTCATTTCTAATATACTATGTTTTTATAGCAATATGTCTCATGCCTTTGTCCACTCTCTTAAAATAAAATAGTTCTTAGATTGTACCATTTATATTATTTGATCACATCAGTCTCAAGAGAAAGTATTATTTTTATCCTCCAATGGACGACCAATCAAATGCAATCAATTCAATTGTTTCATTAGGATGAGTACCTTAAAACTTCTTTATATTTTTTTCTTCTAAATTTATGATTGTAAGATGGTTGATCACTGTTTATTATGATGGTTCTTATTCATAATAAGTTAAACTTTAATCTTATGTTCAACCCACAACAAATAATATATTTTATCATTGCGGTGAACTTCTAAAAATTAATGTTGACTTGATGTCTATTTAGAGTTTTGAAGAGCATAATGATGTTATTGAGGTCTGTTTAAGGTTCTTCTTATTATTTTTTCTTAGCTTTGATATTTTTGACATATTTTCTGGCACAATTATGTTATAAGAGATGAAGCTAGTGGATGTTTAAAATATAATTAATTTTGTTGATCTTTTATAATATTTATTTTAGACTTTATCAAATTTTAATTATGTGTGTTATGTCTTGCTAAGAATTTGAAATTTGAGGATGCATTTTAGTGAACCACATTATTTGTCAGGCATACAATGGAGGTGACCATAATGGAACAAGAGTTTTGAGTAGTGCCATGTGCGTTCAAAATTTATTCTTCTTCTTGTCACCTTGTTCTCACTAAGGTTTATTTCACATTTTTCTTTTATTTTTTTCTGGACTATGATCTTTTTAGCATAATGTCATGTGAGAGGAATGGTTTAGGAAATAGAGCTAGTAGACATGTAAAATATCACTAATTTTGGTCATATTTTTTAAATATTTATTGATGTGTTAGTTACTTGATTGAATTTAAATGATACTAGTATTCTTTCTGTTGCTAAGAAGTTTAAATTTTAAAATGAATTTTACTAATTACATATTTCACAAGATTACTATAGAGATATTTGCAATAGAGAGAGTAATAAGGAGTGATAGTCAACTTATGATCTAATTCTTCTTCTTGCCAAGTTTCTAGTAAGCTTGATATTTTTTAACATAGTTTTAAGTGCGAGAAATGTTGGAAGCAACAAAGCTAATAGGTGTCCAAAATGGCATCAATTTTTTTAGTATTATTGAGTGACTATTTTAGTATCCATTAAATTAAATCTAAATTATACTTATGTATTATGTGTCCTTATGAAATCAAAATTTGAGTGTGTATTTTATTAACCACAATATTTTGATAGGTATACACTAGAGATGATCATAATTGAGTGAGGATTTTCAACAACACCAATCAACTTACAAATGTATTCTTCTACTTATTTGTTTTCTTTCATTGAAGTTTTTTTAGGTTTTTCCTTTGATCTTTTGTTAGCTTTGATCTATTTAACATATTAAAATCAGGCCCAAAGAATGTTGCTAAAAATAGAGCAAAAGTTTTGAGCAGCATGAAACAACTTTGAGATTCATTCTTCTTGTCACTTTACTTTTTATTGAGGTCCATTTAAAGTTCTTCCTATAATTTTTTCTTATATTTGATATTTTTAACATATTTTCAAGTAGAATTATATTGCAAGGAATGAAGCAAGTAGTGGATGTCTAAAAATACATGAATTTTTAAATATTTTCTAATATTTATTTTAGTGTTAGTTACTTAATTCACTTTAAACTGTCCTTATATGCTTTGAGTTGCTAAGAAATTAAAATTTGAGGAACATTTTATTAACCACATTATTCGACAAGCATATAATAGAGATGATCACAATAAAATAAGAGTTTTGAGCAGCACCAAACAACTTCTAAATTCATTCTTATTCTTGATAGTTTGATTTTTATTAAGGTCTATTTTAAGTTTTTATTTTAATTTTATGTTAACTTTGATATTTTTAACATGTTTTCAAGCTTGAAACTTTTAATTTAATATGACATTGTTGACAGAAGTATGTGTCATGAGGAAAAATAAGAGCATGGAGAGATGAGTACACACATGATGATAGGCATAGTGGGAACAAGTGGCATAGTAAATGCATGCAAAGTAGTGTGTAGTATAGGGTATATGAGTCCATACATTGTATGGGAGCACTACAAAGAACATTGCAATACTGATGCAAGAATAAGGAGTGTTGAGAGAGCAAGCTAGTCACCCAACAACTAACATGTGACTTGAGCATGGGTGCGATGACTAATTGACAACCCACATCCATATATAAATGGGGCAATGCACATTGTATGGAAACATAGTGAATATATGAAGGGTTTTTGACATCTTTGGCTTGTAGGGTTGTAAGATAGATGGAGGAATACTAGAAGAACATATAGTGATGATAAATAAAAGCCCAACTATGTTACGTGTGGCATCATAGTAGGAATAAAAAAAGAAGAGATATGACAAGTAAGGAAGAGCTTAAAGCTTAAAGCCTAGGGTTGACAAAATCAGAGTAATAGCTTCATCAAATATTTGGACTTCACATTGAGGAGCAACAGCAAAAGATGATAACCTCACAATTTTAAAAATGGCATCACAAGATGGAGGAGATGTAGTGACCCCTAAGGAGACAAGCAATAGCAAGTCCTACATGGAGTAGGTAAGTGTCAAGGAGGTCAAAGAACACATGCAAGACTTGACAATGGACCTCTAAGTAATCAAAAGGATATTAACAAAATCCCTAAGAAGATTGGAAACAAGTCAATTATTTGAGTCCCAAAATTACAACACTTTTAAGGTAAAAGAAACAAGCTTTGATAACTTTATAAACCTTGAGGATACTTAGAGAGATATAATGCTAAAGAACACTCGAATGATTAGTCACTTTTTGGTAAACAATATTAAATTATGGTGGGATGAGCACTCGAGGTACAATAGCTGAACACCTATCAACACTTTGGACAAAATTTTGATAGTAGTTCATCCTCTAATTCTATCTGATCAACTAATGCAAGTGGCTCAAAAAGTAACGATAAGCCTCAAACCTCTAAACCACCAGTGGAGAATATTAAGAAATACATGTGTTGGTACATAAAACTCATACTTGATGTTAGGAATATGTCTAAGATAGACCAAACATTTTACTTCCTTGCAAACCTCTAATATAGGCATATATCAAAATTAAAAAGAAAGAGTATGTGAAATTTACAAGCCATAATAGTAGCAATAAATATTGGTCAACCTACATTGACCTTAGGAAACAACCTAAAAAAATGATAATAAAAGTAAACAGACAAGGTGGACATAGATGTGTGAGAGATTGATTAGATAGAAACCTAGTAAGTAGTAATAAAATTCATATCATTTTAGAGATCTATTAGCTTTTTTCTTGCAACATTCTTGGTGTTTATAAATATGTTCAAAATATCTAAGTTAATAGAATAAAGAAAAAGAAATATAAAAAGGACAATTAAAAACAAGGTCACAAGAAGAAGAATGAATCTTGAAGTGACATGATGCTGCTCAAAACTCTTGCTTGATGTGATCATCTCCATTGTATGCTGGTTAAATACTATGGTTCATAAAATATGTCCTCAAATTTTAAATTCTTAGCAAGACATAACACAAGTAACTAACACTAAAACAAACATTAAAAAATACTAAAAAAATCTGTATTATTTTCAATATTTGCTAGCTTCATTTCTTGCAAGATAATTATGTCTGAAATATGTCAAAAATATCATAGTTAAGACAAAATTATAAGAACCTTAAACTGACCTCAATAAAAAGTAAAGTGACAAGAAGAATGAATCTCGGAGTTGCTAGGCATTGCTCAAAACTCTTGCTCTATTTTTTACAACATTCCTCGCACATGAAATATGCTAAAAGGGTTGAAGTTCTAGCTCCATTGTATGATTATTAGCTCAATAAAATAAAAAAATAAGTCAAAGAATAAATATGTAAGTTGATTGAATTTGTTGAAAGTTCTAGCTCCATTGTGAACATCTATAATGTATACCTACCAAATAATGTGGTTAATGGAATCTGTACTCAAATTTCAATTTCATAAGGACATATAGTAAATAACTATAATTTATATTTAATTCAATGAATAATAAAATAAGCACTAAAAAAATACTAACAAAATTGATGCCATTTTGGACATCTATTAGCTCTATTGCTCGCAATATTCCTCATACCTGAAAATATAATAAATATATCAAACTTACCAGAAAATAGAAAGAAAACATCAAATAGACCTAAAAAACAACACAAACTAACAACAAGAAGAAAGAACATATAAGTTGATTGCATCTATTGAAAACTCTCACTTTATTGTGAACATCCTTATAGTGATTCTGTAAACGAATCATACAAATTGATGAGGTCTAGCACTTCACTAGCTTTGTTTCTTAACAATGTCATACTAACAAAATTGATGTTTACATTTTATTCATTCCATGTGCTCATTTTCTAAAATAATTGAGCAAATATTAATCTAAATATATACATATTCAAGGAAAATCCATGAGTATTGACAATCTAAATTTACCCACTGATCGACCCTACAAACTAAAAATAAAATCCAAATTATTCTATGTTAACAATCATGCATATTGTGCATTAAACATGGCATCACGATGATGAGATGGGGTATAATTTACAAAATTCTTGAAAAATATAACTTTTATGGCATTTAATTAAGAAAAATTGGTGATGAGTGGAGGCATTAATATATACTTCCACTTTATATGATCCCAAATTCTACCAACTCTTCTGTAAAACATGAACTATTTAAATATGGACATACCCTCAAATGTGGTTAATAAAAATCTTAGAGTGTCCACAAACAAACCAAATGCCCAATTCAATTGTACATTTGTAATCTACCAAATTAAAATCATACATTGACTACCCAACCTGATGAGGGGTCAACTTGAAAATTAAGTAGCTATTATGATGATCGTCATAATAAATTTCATAGTTTTTAAGATAATTTTTTGTGCTAGTTTTTTTCCCCAATAAGCCCTTTCCCCATTTTATTGACTGATATATTCTGCCTAATTATTTTTAATACCACTTGAGGAGCAAGGTGGTGACTATAAGGGTTTATAGAGCATGCATCAAATGAGTATTCAAAGACTTAGGAGTTTATTGACAGCTGGTAGATTATATGAGGATCTAATTAGGGGCGCTTATGAAAGGTTCAGAAAGGTTGCTAATAACTACCAGTCGAGTGGTGGTAAGACCCACCTGTCAATTGACTGGGCCCAGGTTCCTCATCCTAGTCAGCAAGAACCCAGCTCCACGTCCTCCTTTGGGTTAATGAATAGCAGCCATGTGTCGGAGCCAAGGGGAGTGGGCCCCAAAAAAATGCTGGGCAGCCGAAACAACGGCTGGGATTGCCGCAATCATGGCCCCACATCGCCTAAGACTAGGTGAAGCATCTTGCGCCACGTGGCTTCGCAACAGTTCCCAGCTTAACGCGCTAGTTATCATGAGCGTGTAGTGTTGTAATATTCAGTCTTTCATCTTGCCACGCATCGCTTGACCGAACCCCCGGCCTCCACTTGCGACCAACACCCCGGTTGAACGACTGCGTCTCTGACCGGACGCCTTCGGTCCCCTCCCCCTTCCCGCAGAATCGCGAACAGATTCTGGGCCCACATGTCATGTATCCTTTCCATAAATAAGAACCCCTGCGGCGTGACCGTCGCCGGCGGTGGTCATCGGAGGAAGAAGATGGAGGCGGGGCCGCCATCGAAGGCGGTGGCACCACCAGCCCTGTTGGGGAAGTACGAGCTTGGCCGTCTCCTCGGCCGGGGCACCTTCGCCAAGGTCTACTACGCCCAGGCCGTCGACGGCGGCGGTGCCGCTGTGGCGGTGAAGGTGATCGAGAAGGCCTCCGTCGCCGCCTCCATGCAGCACCGCGTCCTCCGGGAGATCTCCGCCATGAGCCGCCTACAACACCACCCCAACGTCCTCCGTCTCCACGAGGTCATGGCCACCCGCAGCAAGATCTTCCTCGTCATGGAGCTCGCCGCCGGTGGCGACCTCCTCTCCGTTGTCTCTCGTCGCGGTCGCCTGCCGGAGGCCGCCGCTCACCACTACTTCCGGCAGCTCGTCTCCGCCCTTCGCTTCTGCCACGCGCGGGGTGTCGCCCACAGGGACCTCAAGCTGGCGAATCTCCTCATCGACGGCGCCGGCTACCTCAAGGTCTCCGACTTCGGCCTGTCCTCCCTGGCGGAGCAGCGGCACGGCGGCGACGGGCTCCTCCGCACGGCGTGTGGCTCGCCGTCGTACGCCGCGCCCGAGGTGGTGCAGCGGGGGGGCTACGACGGCGCGCGGGCGGACGCCTGGTCCTGCGGGGTCGTCCTGTACGCCATGCTCGCCGGCCGCCTCCCCTTCGACGACGGCAACCTCGCCGTGATGTACCGGAAGATCTACAACGGCGAGTACCAGTTCCCCGCCTGGTTCTCGCCGGCAGCCAAGCGGGTGATCTCCGGTCTCCTCGACCCCGATCCGGAAACCAGGCTCCCCCTCGATGCCCTCCAGGAGCTCCCCTGGTGCAAGGAGTTCTCCGCGCCCGACTCCGGCGGGGTGGTCTTCTCCGGCGACGGCGGTGCCGCCCCCGCCGCCCCCATCAACGCGTTCGACATCATCTCGCTGTCCTCCGGGCTGAACCTCTCCAGGCTGTTCGAACAAGGGACAACGAAGAGCTTCACCTCCGCCGGCGGCGCCCTCGCGACCATCCTGGGGAGGATCGCCGGGGAGGAAGAGCAGTCGGAATTCGGGAAGGCTCCGCCGGAGGGGGTGGCGGCGGTGCCAGAGCTGAAGCCGCCCGGTGGTGGCTGGAGAGTGTTCGAGGGCTTTCCCTGGAGCGGCCCCCGGGACATGGTTTCGGGCTGCGCCGGCTGATCGAAGGGGGTCTGGTATACTCACGCCATTAAAGCTCCTCCCCCGTTGACCAAAACTATGCCCCCCTTCACATTGTTTCTCTCTCTAGAAGCTCAGATCAAAATCGGGAATGCGCTGACTTCTCACCCCCCGAGTTATTTTCACGGTCTCAATGGGCGGCACGCACTCCAACGCGTTGACTTTGTCACCCTTCTTCATCTAGACATATTTGTTCATCCGCATGAATTTCTGTGAAATAAATAAAGAAAAAGGTTCATCGTTAAATGGCATAGAATTTTATGGGTAATCAGCCGGCGCAGTGTCCTATTAAATTAATTGCATAAAACTATTTTTTCTCTCTCTCTCCTCCCCTGCCCTCTTTACAATGTATATATTTATATAAATAAATATAAATAAATAAAAATAAAAATAAAAAAATAAATATTATATATGCTTTTGTATAAATTAGCTCTACATGAAGAAGGAAAACCATTTGTTGATCTAGTATCTGAGAGGGAAATTTTAATTTATTTTTATATTAAAATAATTTCTATTGAGAAACTAAAACCCTTGAAGAGGCTGTAATCGATCGGAGTTAGTGGGCCGGGAACCGACTAGTTATTGAATTGGGCCCGGAGAAAAGCCCGAAACTACGGGTTGGAATCGGAAATGCCTGGCCCATTTAGGCCCTTCATATCCCATCTCGCGGGGAAAATGATTTTGAAATCCGCTGCCTGGGGATGGACGAGAGCTGTTGTTTGATTGGGATTCGAATTTCGTGGGGAGGGGGGCGCCGGGGGGGGGGGGGTCGGCGAATCTCTGCTATGGCGAATCGCTTGGCTCAGCTTCAGCCGGGACGGGGGTGACTCGGTGGCGGGTCGACTCGCCCGCCAAATCGAGGGGGACTTTCCCGCTCGAGGCGGGCGGCGGAAGGGGATGAAGCCACTGCCTTTTGGTGGCCGTCGGTCCCCCTCTTTTCTCGTTCCCTCCCAGCCACGGTACGGCGGAGACCGGCCGATCCCTCGCCACCGTCCCCCACATTTGCGGACCGGTCCCCGGTGGGTACAACCCTCTTGTTCTCGCTTCCCCCTCCCGCTCCTCCACGCTCGTCCGCTTTCCTCTTCTGCGGCAGATCTCGCTCGCGGGACGTCGCATTGAGGTCCGCGGGCGTGGAGAGGTGGGGGGTTTGGGTTGGATCATCCCCTCGCCGCCGCCTTGGACGCCCGCGGTTCTCGCTTGATAAGGTTCGTGGAGCTCTCACTCTTGGAATTTTTTTCTTCCGCCCCCCTTTTGGGAACGGTTATCCGTTCCGCATTGTTATGTTCATAGCGGAATTGCGAGGACGAGGCATTTTAAGTCGTTCATGTAGTGTATCTCGTTAATTTTTCTCGAGAAATGTGAGTCGGAGGGCGACGAGTAGGGGGCCACGAATTCTGTTTCTGCACCTTATTGTGCATTGGGTTGAGACCGGATTCTGCATGGTGAAGAAAATGTTCGGATTTCGAGGCTTTTTTCCTGTGGTGAATTGGATCGAGTGAGATCATTCTTGGTTGTATGGAAGAGAATCAGCATTGGGTAAGTTCTACCTTCTAATTTACGTCGAGCATCTGAACAATGCCGTGTTTCTCTGGAGAAAATGTTACTCGGATTATCAAGTCTATGAATTTTTGTGTGTAGTGAAACATTATTGGGTAACTTCTAAGACTTTCTCTTCGTCCCCTAGTCACTGCATCTGTTTACCTCAGAAATCGGTCCCCATGTTTGGTGCTTGCAAGAGTATAACAGTAACATTGTTCGATAGATTCTCTATCTATCGAAAGTCACATTTTGTTTACAGAGGAAATCTAGATAGATTCTCTATAAAAAAAAATCTAATTTAAGCACATCTTCTGTGCTTCACCAGGGAAAAACGAGGTGGTTATCTTTTCATTTATCATCCTTTTACCATGGCACTTTATAAGTCATTTGGTTCATGGTGAATTCTCTGCTTGTGGTTATTTTCTTCTGGTATAACCTTATTCCAATGCTTTGCATAATTTTTTTTCTTTGTTTTTGATGCAATTAGTCGTCCAACTATTACTTATCTTTGTCTTTCACCTTATTATCGAAGCATACAGGATGTAGCATGAAGTGTTATGATGTTTTCCGAGCATCTAGATGCTGTAAAGTAAATCTGTATTATACTAGACTCCACCCCCATTCAGTTGTGATATTTACAATTTTCGACTGGGCATGGGCTCGATCATTCCTGGAGGCAGTCAATTAGTTAACCATAGGCATACAGTTAAAGGTTGTATACCAGATATGCCAAGTTATCATTGTAAGCCCTTGCAACAAACGATAAGCAAATATCAAAAGCCCTGATTCAAGACAATATTGCTTCATCCTCCCAAGAGGGGTGCTGAAACAGTTGACTTTTGACTCACTCCATAGTAGAGGATCAATAAATCAAATACTAGATAGTAAGTAGATGTTTTGAAAATAGATGAACTCTTGATATAGGTATTTTACTCTACTATAACATGATTATTTTAATGCACATTTGTGATTGTGTCTTCTATTATTTATTTTTCTTGTTGTTGCCGTTTCTGATTATAGCAGCTGGTCAATGCAGAGACTGGCCAAACTGGGAACTTTTTTTAGAGGTGGAGACGGCGTGAACAGGGGGAAGCCTGGAGCGTCCAGATATCTGCACACAATTCAATCTTCCATAACGCGACAGTTCTTTGACCGAAAAAAATTGCACAGAATACAGGTAACTCTTTGCTACGTTTAGGTGAACATCATTTAGTGATGAATGTTCTCAACTACTCGATATTGTCTGCTCCTAGGAAAGTGACTTTATAAGAAGTGAAAAATCTCCAGTTTTCTTTCTATAAACGAAATATCTAGAAACTGACTAAACATATCATACTGATATACTTATCATTTGGTTTACTTTCTTGTTCACATCAGTATAATTGTCTGGTAATGATTATGATAAAAGTGAATTGTTATTTTCTTTTTCAGATTTTTTTTTGGTGTAATATTGTTGCTTTAACTTAATGGTGGAGATTTAAATCTTACTCCCTTTTATTGTAAGTTGCTAAAACACTAGTCATTTTTGGTCCAAAACCTCCGATTGCTATCATCTTGATGCATGTGTATCCTACTGATGCTTACTGTGCCCACTAAGTGTCAGACGATTTCGAATTGGAAAAACCTGATTTTACGCTACTTTAAAAAGAAAGGTTTTATCTGCTATACATGTATCAACATGCCATAAAAATAGTATTCCTAAAGTTGATTTGTATTTTTCTGCTAAGGACCTTAATCTTCCTTATCAGTTTTTTTGTTTTTATGTTTTCATGTTTAAATACCTTCTTAAGGAGAAAAATCCTGTGCAAAGTGTCGCCTTGACCTTGTTTCTGTCAAATTTTTGCAGTCTGAAGATAACTTGAAGTCATAATGGAAAACCTATGCGTTACTGTTGACGGTGAGAAATCTAGACTTATTGTCCTAGTCATCTCAACAGTAGTTTTTGGATCTGAAATTATTTAATAATCAAATTATTGCTCGTGCTCCTGCAGCTAAACGGCTGTCTGATGTCTCTGTGTGGTTGAATTCACTCTTCCGTGACTTGAACTTACCTTTGGAGCCTAGTGAAGAGGAACTGAGAGTGTGCTTGTTTGATGGAGCTATTTTGTGTGGGATTTTGAATAAATTGAATCTGACATCTGCAGAAGAGGTCAGGATATGCGTTTTTGCTTCTGTACATAAGCTGTCAAGATTCTATTTTACATCCCTTTTGAATTAATTGTTTATGCTATGTTTATGAGTTTGAGAAGTTTTTGAAGAATTTTTGAATGTTCTGCTTTATATCTTTGATCCTCTTTTTAATGCAATTTATTGTTTTCCGGTTCAGGGGCAACATGGGAACGAGTACCAACTTGGAAAACGTTCAGAGAATGTCAAGAGGTTTCTTTCTGTTGTGGATGGAATGCGTTTGCCAATCTTTAAAGAACTGGACTTGAACCAGGTTAGCAAATGCACACGTTCGAATATAAGTCAGATCAATTTATTTATGACTGATACCGCAAGCAGAAGGCATTCATTTCCTAATTTTTCCTTTTGATGTTGCTTTTTTCCGTGCTTCATTTCCAATCTTGATTTCTTTTTTAACATAATATCTTTGATCATTTTCTTCCTTTCATGTCAGCGCAGGGATCAATGTCTTCTGTGGTAGATTGCCTTCTGTCCCTTAGGGCATATGTGGAGTCTGCAGAAGATGTTATTAGTGCTTCAAGCTCACCGTCTAAGAGTGGGTATTTGTCGAGGAAGAGGTGGAAATTCATAGAAGTCGATAAAATAGACAGCACAGACGTATCCAGAGGCGATTCTTCTCAAAGTGGGCAAAATTCTCCAGCTATAGGAGAGGGGAAGCGCAGGAACGTTTCAGATTTGAAATTTCAGGGTGTTTTGAGAAACTCTGTGACATCAGGTGTGCTAATGTTTTCCATTGATTATACTCATCGTCACTTACATCTTGTCTTTAGCTAATCAGGGTCATTGGTGACTCAAGACAGTACATAATGTTTAGGTCACTGTGGAAGAAAATGCAAAGGACTCATTCTTGAGTCACTTGAGACAGTACCATTGTCAAAGTTTCCATAGGTGGATAATGTGGTCTGAACATGCTGCTTAGGTTTCTAATTTTGGTGATTAAAAACCAAATTACTGCCCCAGGGATTTGCTCCATGTGCACTTTCGTAACATTCTTCGGCTTGTATCTCCTGAGCCAAAGAAAACCTTTTGTCAAGTAGAAGATGATGAGGGTGAAATGCCAGAAAGTAGGATACTATTGATTGACTTTGTCAATGTAAAGAGGCGTTCCGAATATATTAGGATTTTGTCGTTCATCTCTTGTCAATTTATTACATTCGCTTGAGATGCAAGATAAAAACACAGTTCCATTCATCTCGAAAATCTACATACGTGATTCTTGTGGAAATGTCCAGTTTGTTAGTAACTCAATCAACATCAGACCAGTTGCTTCTATAAGAATTATAAATAGTTAGGGAACCTAGATTTTACTGGCACTTTAATCCTTGTATCTTAATTTACAACTGTGTAGATAGGTGCTCTCTGTATTCTCATATGAATGGCTTAAGGAATTTTGGATTCGATCATAAGATTCCTTTTTTTAAAAAGAACTCTGGAGATTGCATGTGATAGAATCGGGGCAATCTGGTGCTAGAATATAGCTATGATGGTTTTCAGTCTATGTTGATGGTTTTTTTGAACTTTTCAAATTCATGAAGTACTTTCACTTTACATCAGTGAAATGATATGATATGATATGATGATTCTTGACCATTTTACTGATGGATATGCTTCTAAACGGATTACGGAGCATTCAAAATTGTGTGCATATGTAGCATGAATTACATGTTTTACCTTTCTGCAGAATCGGCCTCTGCATTGTTACACCATGTTGGATACAAGTTTCATGAGGTTTTCCAACTAAAACAAGGGCGCTACTCAGAACTTTCTGCTTCCAAGATTTCAGAAATGATGAAATCAAATGGATTAGATGTATGCCATTTGCTCTGATTTTTGTCCTTGTTATCCTCCGTGTGAAAACCTTGATCTTACATGTTTTTATTCTTGTTATCTTTCTGCTTGCAGAATGCACCTACTCAATCACTTTTGAGTGTTGTGAATGGGATTCTCGATGAAAGCATTGAGCGGAAGAATGATGAGATACCTCATGTATGCTAGCTGATTTCCTCTATAGCTAGTTTTCTCTTCTTGAATGACAGTTACATTGCTGTTATTTTTTTACTTGTTACTATCTGTTCTCCCTTAATTTTACATGTTTCTGATGCTTTTTCCTGTAGCGTGTTGCTTGTTTACTAAGGAAGGTTGTGCAAGAGATAGAGAGAAGGATTTCAACTCAAGCAGAGCACATAAGAAATGTAAGATGTGGCTGAACATCTATTATTCCCAAAATAATAAGATTTGACGTTAACATATTGTGCCATTTGCAGCAAAATAATCTCATTAAAGCACGTGAGGAGAAGTATCAATCAAGAATTAGAGCATTGGAAACACTTGCAACAGGAACAAGTGAGGAAAGTCAGGTATGCGCCTTATTATCAAACTATTATAGACGTTACATTTTTCGGATTATTCTTAGAGATTTGACGCAAAAATGTCTTTTGTTGCAGATGGTGACAAACCAACTCCAGACAATTAAGGTTCTCTGAGTGTGTCTTTCATCAATTACTTGGTTGATAATACCTTATTCGTTTGAATACATTAGAACTAAAATTTTCAATGCACATCTTCCAACTTTAATTACTGTTGGGTAATCGAATAATTTACTCTATAGCCTCTTTTACCATGCGGCCATGCAGTAATGACTTTGTTTCTTCATATCTTTTTGGGGAAATATCATGATTACTAGTTTCTTCCAGATTGGGATACGCATATCTTGTATAATATTTAGGTACTACAAAATATCTGATGGGGTTGTTTATGCTGTCTTCGTGTTTTAGATAAGGCTGTGGGCCACAATAGAATGCTCTTATGCTCTTATGGTGAGAGTAAAGTAGGCTTGGGTTCGGATTCTTCAAACACTTTTCTGATGTTGTATTTAATCCAAAAAAAGCAATTCCGATATATTTGCCTTGTTGGTGGTGAATGTAATTTTTTATGAATCAAAGTTGAAACAAGGAGTAAAAAGGAAGGTGAGAATGTCAAAAATAATGCTCTTTATCTACTTGGGTAGTGGGAGATTCCTGAGGAGTCTCTGACCTGTGGGTATGGGTTGGTCTTCTGTTCATACTGCCCTTCTTCTCCATATCTAGAATGGTATGTAAGTAACCTAACAATGACAATACGGAAATGTGTTCTGATTGAGATGTCTAAGGTGAGAATAAGGGTTAGTTACCTCAACATTGTGCTCTTTAGATCACTTATTCTTCTAGGTTATCGGTGGATTCCAACTGTGTTCCAGCCTAGATATCACAGACACCCTAGGCCTCTGTGCCTGTGCCACTGCCATGGTTGCTTTTCTAGCAAAGATTGCCGAATTTTTCCTTTCAATTATCATGTTGCTTGCTGATAGACGTTTGCTCTCTTGCAACTGGTGGGAATCAACTCATTATCGTTGATCTCTGAAAATGACTGGCAATGACTTCATTGTTGCTTTACCTTTGGTATTTGTTATTCATAAATGGTTTTTTCTGAAAGGGTAAAATATTTTCACATAGCATTTCGGAGGAGAATTGGCATTGCACCTTGTCAATATGGCTCTTTCTTGAAACTTGCTTTCCCTCTGTCATCGAAATGAGTTTTACTTCTGCATCATACTTGTCATTCTCTAGTCGATGTTAATAAATTTTGTTAGACTTCGGCGCCAGACTTTATCAAACCTAAAATCAGACCTTAGATAACTTGTCTGGTTGGAATGACGTTATTTCAGGTTTTCTAATGAACAATACTTCTTTGTATAGCATAGCCAGATTTAATGTGCGTTGGCCAACCCAAAAATGGTCTGCAGACTTTTTAATTCTCCTCTGATCACTTGTTGATGCATTATACTCTAAAAATACATATTCACATCAATGCATCATCTCCGAATCGATAGTCTGATTCTTGGTCAATCTCAAAGCAATCTGAACCAATTGTTGGTTATCCAGATGCGGGATCTGATTATATGGTTCATTGAATGCCATTCATTTTTTTACGGATTAGTAGACTATCAGCACCAGCCTTCAAAGCTGTGTTAGCTTTAACTTATTCATATCTAATTTCCAGCTGGACCATCTTAACTTTTCAAATGATAATTTTTATCTTGTATTGCTGACAAAACTTTAGAAAGGATGCGGGAAAAAACAACTCATATCAGTCATTAACTTCTACCGGTTAGCACATCTTGTGTTAACCTAGTTTTGAAGATCACTTGGATGAGTGAATATACCATCACTTTACACGTACGTGAGTGACTAAATGACAGCCTTAAAATTCCGTCATATTGTTTCGCTATGGATATTATTTCAAATAAGGCATAGTAATTATTTGAATTGTTTGTGATTTTGAGATGAGCAGCCCCGGCAACAAGCTGATGATTGCATTTCATTTATCTTCTCCATTAGATTTATTCCCTCCGTAGTGTTGGAAATGCTTTTTCCTCGTCATTTATATAGTTCACTTACTTTCCAGACAGAGAAGATTAAACTTGAAGAGAGAAAGAAACATGAGGAACAAGATCGCTTCAGGCTGTCAAAAGAAAAGGAGAACAGTGACCTCATGGTTACCGAACTTAAGCAGGAGATGGAAAGGAAGAGTAAATCATATGAACAACATTCTATGCTGTTAGAGATGAAAGCGAGAGAAACTCAAGCTGAGCTGGAAGAGAGAATAAAAGAAATAGAGGTCCTTCTGCAACAATCTAGACAGAGAGCTGAAGAAATCAAGGCAGTTGCTGAATCAAAAGTTCAGAGCTGGAATACGAAAGAGCAGATATACAAGAATTTTCTTGGCTCTCAACTACAAGCACTTCAGGTCTGGATTTTTTTGTCATGTTTATGTAAGTTTCTTGTCCCTGTCTGAAACGGAAAGGCATGGCAGGGCTTGAGAGTCTCTTCCAACTCCGTGAGAAATGAAGTTATGATCGTACAAAGGACATGCGAGGATGAGTTTAAAAGCCTGGGTAAGATGGATTTTGAAGGCTTTTCTTCTTCTTCTTCTATGCTAAATGAAAATCTAGATTTGCTGATACTATTTGCTTGCTTTCGTTTTGCAAAGGGACAATGTTCAAAGGATTAGCAGAAGCTGCTGAGAATTATCATTCTGTTCTTGACGAAAATAGAAAGTTGTTCAATGAGGTTCAGGAACTGAAAGGTGTTGGTCACAGTCGATAACGTCCTGGAAGTTTGATTATGATTACCTTTCACTCACTGTTTTCTTTTCATCTCTTGGCTAGGTAATATAAGGGTATATTGTCGCATAAGACCATTCCTTCCAGGTCAGAATAAAAAGCTATCGACTGTGGACTATATTAGTGAGAATGGTGAACTGCTGGTTGTCAATCCTTCCAAGCAAGGGAAAGATGGTCACCGGATGTTCAAGTTCAATAAGGTTTTTGGTCCTGCTGCTTCTCAAGGTGCCTATCTTCACATCTCCTTCATTACGTTTTCTTCAAAAAAAAATTTCGAACAATAACCTGACGTTGTTCTTCCATATGTGAAGTTATAAAACCTTAGATTTTTGAGATCCCTTGGTGAAATTTTGCACTCATCACTCTGAATTGTTCAAACTTTGGCAGAGGAAGTATTTTTGGACACAAGACCTTTAATACGATCAGTTCTTGATGGCTACGATGTTTGCATCTTTGCTTACGGTCAAACTGGATCAGGGAAAACCTATACAATGGTACGGATATTACCTTTTTTGATTTAAAAAACCAGCTGAATCGAGTTAGAAAAAACTAGGCTTTGATGCCTTCTCAACCTGTTCTTTTCTAGGACCAGGCCAACCCAGCCATCATCTGGTTTCTAACTTCTGGCTTCCAATTTCTTTCACGCCTACTGCTTAATGGTTAAACTTAGTCTCATTCAGCTATGCCTGGTGGTAATTCTACGCTTTGCTTTTTTTCCAGAGTGGTCCTGATGCATTATCAAAAGAGGAGTGGGGTGTTAATTATCGTGCTTTAGATGATCTCTTTCATATATCTCGGAATAGAAGAAATACTATCAGTTATGACATTGCTGTCCAAATGGTCGAGATATACAACGAGCAAGTTCGTGATCTGCTATTAAGTAATGGCATGCAGAAGAAATATCCTTTATGTCAGTAGACTTCTTTATTTACCGCTTTGCTTTTTTTGTTATGGATTTGAGATTACTTCCAATTTAGGTCATTTAATCTTCGGCTTGCACATTTGGTGATTTCGATTTTTTTTGTTTTTATTATATTTCATTTTAAGTGTATTTTCCTTAAGTTGGACACATTAGGAATTTGGAGCAGTTCCCAGCCCAATGGCCTTGCTGTTCCCGACGCAAGCATCCATTCGGTGAAATCTACCGCAGATGTCCTTGGCTTAATGCAGCTTGGCCTAGCAAACAGAGCTGTGGGCGCCACTGCTTTAAACGAAAGAAGTAGCCGGTCTCACAGGTTTCCCTTCCGCGAATCCAACTATTTCATGGGAACCATTTCTACGATTTCATATGATTTTCAACTGTTTTTCCTTTGCCCGTTGTTCTTGATTGCAGTGTCCTTTCCGTTCATGTTCGTGGACTGGACATGGAGACTGGGGCTTCCTTACGTGGAACTCTTCACTTGGTAGATCTTGCTGGGAGTGAAAGAGTTGATCGCTCTGAGGCAACTGGAGACCGGCTAAGAGAAGCCCAACACATCAACAAGTCCTTGTCTGCTCTCGGGGATGTCATTTTCGCACTGGCTCAAAAGAGTTCTCATGTGCCATACAGAAATAGCAAACTGACCCAAGTTCTTCAGACTTCTCTCGGTATCTCCTTTGTGCTTCTCTCTCTGCTGCTTGAAGTCGGTGATCATGTTTGTCTTTTTTCACATGCCATAATTCTATTTCAGGTGGTCAGGCAAAGACCCTTATGTTTGTACAGATTAATCCAGAGGCAGAATCATTCTCTGAGACTGTCAGCACGCTCAAGTTTGCTGAAAGAGTCTCTGGCGTTGAGTTGGGTGCTGCACGGAGCAGCAAAGAGGGCAAGGATGTTAGAGAACTGATGGAACAGGTCTGGACATTGTTTACTGCTATATAACGTTAGTTGTCCCGACTAAGTCATCTGGTACTCAAAAGCTGCTTCTGGGGCACCCTTTGAGTTCTCTTACCATGAATGGAAACTGCTACTGACTAGTGTTAAACTTCTCTAGAAAAGGCAAGTTACTATGCAGAATCTCAATCTCTCCCTGCTCCAACCTGAAATCTGTAATGTTTCACCTTTCCATTGATTTCTTCACTGGAAATGGTTGTTACTCCACTCGCTTGCATCCCGTTCAGAGCCCGAGAACCACACTTTTCAGCATTCAACGACTCTGTAAACTTTCTATCATCTCCTTTTCTTTATTTTTTTTTCTTTTGTGGTCTTGGATCTTCATGAACAGAGAATATGCCTTCTGGGTAACTCCATTTCTTCGGATTATCCTCGCAAATCTTGTTAACACCTCAAACATGTTCTTCAATCCGCAAGTAGAGAGAGACTTTTGTCTTTTTAGCTTTCTGCAACTGAAAAGGAAAAATGTGCTTGCTGTTCTATCATCTTGATGGCTCCAGAAGCATGCCATCAGTCTCTGATATGATCCATCCGCCATCGTGATCTATGCAGTTTTATGTTTCATAAGCTCATCCCGTTCTCGCAGGTGGCATCCCTCAAGGACATGATTGCTAGAAAAGATGAGGAGATTGGGCAGCTACAACTGCTCAAGGATCTGAAGACTCAGCCCCTGAGAATTGAGAAGCAGGCTATGAACTCCCTGAGACATTCATCCTCCTCTCCTGGGCAGCTGTCGCTCGGCGGAAGCCGCAAGCTGGTGGGTAGAAATCACGGAGGGCTCTCTGACAAAGGAGCTTCTGACTGTGATAATACTTCAGGCGACAGTGATAAGCTCTCTGAGACTGGTTCTCTGCAATCGATGAGTGATTTCGGCAGGCAGAAGGAAGCATTCTGTCCTCCGAAGCAGGCTGGAGAGAGTGATCATCTGGGCTCCGGCTCTGCTGATTCTGAGGAGAGAGTGAGCGACATGTCTGACGGCGCCCTTTCCATGGGAGCAGAGACAGACGGATCAGTCTCCGAATCCAGCAAGCCTATGGAGTTCACAGAGAAGATGTAAGTCCTCAGCTGTCCTTGGAGCTTCCGCTCTCTTTGTCTCTAATCACTACTACTAAATTAGGTCATCTTTATCGTTAAGCTCTTAAGATTCTGAATGGCCAGCTCAAACTTACTGAATGCAGATCATCGAGGAGTTCTCGGCCGTCGCAAGCAGGTCAACAAAGGCCTGGGCTGCCATCATCAGCAGCTCAGTCAAGGATGGGCGCTCAGAAGGCTCCAAGTATTTGTCTAATCCTCTCCAAGAGACCCAGGAAAAGAAAAAAAAAAAAGAAGAGATTTTTCTCCACGGCGTTGTTCTTCTTCTCTGTTCTAATTTTACAACTAGTTTTTTTTAATTAAAAAATCATCATAATTACCCCGCAGGTGCAAGAAAACCTGCCAGCGGTCAACCTTCCTCGTCTGCAAGGCCGGGCAAAGGCTGGAAGTAGTCGCCGCAAAAGCATGATTCCGGGGGGGACTTCACACCTACTTCCAGAAATGGCAATTTTACTCTGGGAGCAGGAAGAAATGAGAGCCCAATACTAGTGCGAATCCCTTCACCCCCATCAAGTCTCTCCCCTGGTTTTCTCCCGCCTTTCGATCATTGGCCGCTTGTAATTTATATACCGATGTATAGCAGCGCATGCTCTGGGCGGTTCCCAGATTCCGCAGGGGGCTGAGCCTTTGTTGTGCTCTTCCAGATAGAGCTGTCTGTACCTGGTCTGGTCTCTCTATTTCAATGGGATCCTTTGCCACGGGATTAATCTCTCTCTCTCTCTCTCTCTCTCTCTCTCTCTCTCTCTCTCTCTCTCTCTCTCTCTCTCTCTCTCTCTCTCTCTCTCTCTCTCTCTCTCTCTACCTCTACCTCTACCTCTACCTCTTGTAAAGAAATGGATGCGAGCAAGGGAACTGTGAAACCATGATCTTAAGAAATAATTGCAATGGTGGGTAATGGTTTATTTCATATTTATGTAATTACATGGGATTGGATGATGGTCAGCGGGTATTCCAGATCCTAGATGGGATGGAAGAGGGTCGGGCTGACCAAGGCACATCTTTCTGGATATGATTGAGCTTTTGTCAAAAAGGTGACACTTTTAGTCTAGAGTTGACCATCGTACAAGCTCCAAGAATTCTGGAATCCGGAGGATTACTTTGATTTTCAAGAGGGTTGAATGGCGTTTTACTAAAGAAAGGTTTCTGAAATTCTGGGATGGGTTTTTTACGCCGTTTTTTTTTTTTGAGGATATAATAATTCACGAGCAAATATACAGAATATTGGAATAATTTGTGCCAGAAAAGGCCCCGTGGATGGTGCTAAATATCTTATATATATATATATATATCTATATTTGTACGCTTTTCCTCTCTCTCTCTCTCTCTCTCGCTCGTGCTCACACAGACGCACGGTCATATCCAATCTGCACTGAAAAGCTAGAGCATACCGTTGGTCCGTTGGCGCGGCGGCGCCTTCTCTTCGCGTCTCGCGTTCGTCTGTGTTTGCATTTTTCTGGGGGCTCTCTCCCCGCCTCATGCTTCAATCAGTGGCCGCCGGGTGGACATCCGTTCGCGTAACCTTCGGCCGCGGACCTCGCCGCGTCAGGTTCCGGGTTCGCGCCCATGTCAGTTCGCAGCTCCTGCTTGGCGGCGGCAACGGGCCCCCTCCACCATCGAGGGCCTCCGTCCTCCGGGATAGCCTCCGGGTTCTGGAATGGGACAAGATTTGCGACGCCGTCGCATGTTTCGCTGGCACTGCCCTGGGCCGGGATGCAACCAAGGTGGGTCGGCTCTGTCCATCCCCTTCCCTTCTGGGTTTTGATGTTCTGCGAATTGAGGTCGTCTCTTTGGTTTTCCCCAGGAGTTGCTGTGGAGATTGGACTTGAGTTATGAAGACAGCAAGACCCTCTTGGCCGAGACGGCGGCTGCGGTGGAGATGATCAAGTATGGAGCTGGCGGGGTGGACTTGAGCGGGGTTGACGTCCTTCTTGTGAGTGCTCTCTTCCTATGTTTGTGTCCCCTGATTCTGAGAATTATCGTGAGCTAGATATCATGCCTTGAAGCATGACAAAATGAGAGCAAAAGAAATAGAACAAAAGGTGCCTAGTTTTTATTGTTTCAAGAGGATGTGCTCAGTGTAGTCGGTTGCCTGGGAAGCTCTGGTTATCACTCAATGGATGTCTTTTTTTTTGCCTACACCGGCATCATGTACCAAATCCTTCCTTCGAAGTTTATCTTAGGAATAGTTGCATTTGTTTTTAATGAAGGCCACTTTTGGTTCAGTTTTTTTCATCAATTCATATTATTACCTACGACAACATCTGCATGGAGGAGAAACGGTGTTGTCTGAGTTCAGCTTATTTATTTATTTTTAAATTTTTCTCCCATTTTCAATGTTGATGTATTCTATTAGCCACAGATACACAGGAGAGAGGATTTCAAATTCTTGGGATATTCTATAAGCGAGGAGACACTTGGTCCCAGAGCGGCTGCTGGTTTAAACCCCTCCTTTGCTCAGTGACCTGGGTCGGGTTCCTTTACGATGTTTTCTGCAGCATTCAAGCTATTGCATGCATATGTAGGTGTTAGTCTCATTCTTCAGATTGAATCATGTTCCTTATTACCTGACTAGAAATGGAGAATTACAGGAGAACCATCCACAGGGAATAGGTCAAAAATGGATTGGTATGTCTTAGAAATCAATTCCTGAACCTCTTGTTTTTAAAAAAAATAAAAAATAGTGGTAAACTCACCAGTTTCATGTCAGAAATATTTATTAGAAAAAGGTGGAGTAGGATGCCTAGGTCAGAAGGGGATAATTATTGGAAAGTGCGTTGTCTCATGGTACAATTGTCCTTGTGAAAGTGTATTTTTCCACAATCTTAATTCTATCATTATTGACAACATAGTAATAATGGGAACGACCCCCTCCTTAGTGCATTGTACTTCCTCATACCATAGTAATAATGAGAAGCCCGGTTTTGATCATATTAAAGCCTTTTTTTAACTGTAAAACCTGAGAGAGGAGGGTGGCATGTTAGAAGAAAGAAGGCTTTGAGATTTTAATGGAGAGTCTAGCTAAGCTTAGTTTAGACAATGGTAATATCTGTTGGCCCATTGTGAAATATTCTGTCTTTCAACTTTTATAAATCTCATATGGGATCCGTAGAAACAATGAAATGGCACATCCGTCTTTATGGTGAGCCTTTTCTTTCTACTTATTGGGTAACCATTCACTTGGCCGCATGATGTTGGAAGATGTGAGCACAGCAGGATTTATGATATTGGGTGCTCAACATTGTGTGAGAACTCTTATTGTCTTTCTGAAAGCTAATTTTTCTTGTTTGACTGATGCGGTTCACACATTTCTTTGCATCTCAGCTAATAATATTATGAAAACACGTTTTCCTCTTATAAGTTTGAATATTTTTCCATCACTTGGATTCTTTAAATGTCGTTTCACTCTTTTGTCAGGTTTTGGATGCTAAGTTGGCTGCCTTATATTATGAACGTGAATAACATCCAATATGGTACTGGATTTTTTTCTCTTGAAGGTGAAGTCAGCTATTGGTCGTGCCTCCCGAGGTCTTCCTATTAGTGGAATTGAAGCAATGACAATCTGCAGCCTGCTGGAATTGGCGGAAACATTGCAAATGACTGTCAAAACAGCAACTAAGGAAGATCCGGATTGCTACAATCGGTTTTTGCCTATTGCACAACTGGTAAGTTATGTTTTGCTGTGTTGTTACCTCAGTGAGCACTGCCTTATCACCATAAGATATTTCGCTCCTGTTGTTTTGGGTAGATAATGGAGCTTAATATATATCGGCCATTTATCAAGTTGGTGCAGCAAGTGATAGACGAGGATGGATCTGTGAAAGATAGCGCGGTCTGTTCTTCTTCTCATTTTCTTTATGATATTCGTAACGTCTAGAGAACGTGAAATTTTAGTTCACTATTGTGATACTCTGTGTGGCAAGCTGCATTATGTGAACCTTGATTTTAAAATTTTACTCCTTTTTCGAATGTTCCATCCTTTCTTTCCTCATCTTCTTTTGTTAACTAGATGATGTGTGTGAATTCCTGTTAGATTGGATCATACTCGTTCAGAATTCGCTGATTTTCATCGATTGATGTTAGTCTGTTTCATAACGAAATTGGATGATTCAAAGCTTATTCTAGATAGTTCTTATTACTCTAGGAGGCTTTTACTACTTGCTGGTTACGTCTTGCACTAGGAATAACGTTACCAACGAGTGAAAGCTACTCCAAGTTGATTTGACATAGTAACCATGACCTAACAAGTCAAATAGGCGAAAAATAATTAATGAGCGATAGTCTTAAGAGGTTCTCATATTTCATATCCTTCATCAATCAATGTATTAGCTTCTTACACATTTTTATTAAAACTTTAATCTTCTTGGTTGGTAATTACAGACAATTTTATTCACTCGTGCTTTGGATAGTGCAAGAAAATGACATAAGTTTCTGTTTCTGCCATCTATAACAATTTATTTAACAGTTACTGTTAGACATCAAGGGCTAAATTTTTTCTTGTTGCTTGTTCCATGTCCTAGTAACTTTTTTTGTAATATCTTATGGTTAGTCCGTTTCCATTTTTCATCTCAGAGTTCCGAGTTGAAGCGATTGCGAGATCAAGTACGAGGTCTTGAACAAAAGGTTTATGAGCTTCTTTAATTACTCAAACAAAAGGTGCCTTTTGTTTGTTTCTGATCTGCTTATTTTATTTTCTTTGTAGTCCTGTTACTACTTTCTTTAAATTTACAGTATTTAAGGCTCGCAACTCCTTGCTTGGTGTGGGTGTCTTGAAGCCTGATTGGTATGCTTTGATTTTGGAACTGTGTACCAATGCTGGGAGGAAATGACGAGGGAGGTGGATCAGATATCTGTGGAAATATGGATTTAAATACCTGTAGACATATGCCAAACAGTTAATGTCAAAGATCTAGTATAAACGGTTCTTAAGAAGATCAATGGTGAGGCTCGTCTAGTTGAGATTCCTAACTCCAGAGGTGTCTCCAACACCTTCAATATCCTTTGTTTTTTTTGGACATCACTTGCGTGGTCCTTTAACCATGTCTCTGAGGTCATGATCTCTTCAATTATAAGGGCTCACGTTAAGATTTTTGATACATTAAGGCTAAGAATAAGGAGAAGAATGTGCAAGCCAATTGGGTTACACCAAGACAACTGTGCAGCGAATGTCGTTAAATATAAGAGTATATTGGACAAGCCCTACTTTTATAATTCATTGGTGTGGGAGAAATTAAATATAGAGGAAGTATAGTGGGGGTGATTATGATGGTTCTTTCCTTCCCCTGACATGACTCACGGATTCACTCCCCAAAAAAGAATTAGTACCCATGGAGAGTTTGAATGTCTCAGTGCTTGTGCAAATCTTGGAAGCTCTTGTAGAGTAAAAGACTTAGCCCCACTCTCCGTCCAGGCAATGGCTATAGATTATGTGATGTAGGTCCTGGTGACCGGTGCTGAAGTTTTTGGTTTGTTGATTTTTCTTTGATAGTGGCTCATCCCATGCGAGCAGTCCCTGGGAAAGATTCAAAGAACATGTTAAGGAAATATGCCTGATGCCAACTATGGCAGGCCATAGTTCTGATTCACGTTGGTCTGATGGACTAGTATGGAGCCGGCTGTTGGGCAGACTATATTTTTGGCCTGGGCTGAGGTTCATGGCTACAAAGGGTATGGTGCACTTCACACACTATCTCTTTTTCCAGTCTGGTGTGTAGCTTTCCACTTTTTCTGAAAGGTGGCAGTCCTTAGGCATTGTCCTATACAAGGTGGGATCAGGTTAGTGAGAGCCCAGCATTATTTTTTGGTGGGGGTTGTTTGCATTAAACTTCTGATGTAAAATTAGATAAGGAAGTTTTAACCTGTCAGAAGGAAGAAAAGTGACTCTTTTAAGAGTGTAAAAAAATGGTGGAGTGGTTCTCCATAAAGGCAGTAAGATTTATAATTGGGGACATTAACAAAACATCCTCCTTTTTTCTATTCTCATCTAATGGAGCTGGGTTGTGTCCAGAGGGTGCTAATGATGCATGGAACTTGGAATTGGCTGATTCATATGGATTGCCACTAGATGCTCTATTTTTTGAGGTTGATGCGGGGGGATGTTTGATCCGTCCATTGTTATTTAAAAGTGATGTAGGACAACGCTTAGACAGATGAGATGGACCCAAAATTTGTGACCCAAGTGACCTGAAAATGTAAGAACATAGGGAAGAAAGGTTGAAAGGCCCAAAACTACTACAGAACCCGAATTCGAGCAATTAGGTCCAAAGCCACATGAATAATGTGTCAGATTCGTCGGGCTAGTAACTGTTCCGTAATTAATTCGCTTTCATATTGTTTTTCTTAGCTGAACCGACTTTTTAGGGGACTCATAACTGATTTCGGCCTATTTAAAGGCCAGCATGCTGTAACTTCAAGGGGGAACAATAGTATACCATTTTCATTCTGTTTGTGAGACATATTTGCTTACGGGTTGAAGCAATCCTTGTGGATTCAAGGGACGTTATTCTGATCCATTTTGATCAAGGGCCATCTGGGACGATCCTTGTGGACTCAAAGATTGAAAAGCTCGTGCCTTGTAAATTTCAATATCCAATTTCCCTGACTTCTATTGTTTGAGAAAGGGCACCCAAGATATTCTGCCTCAACCTTAACTATGCTGATTGTAGACAGATTGTCATGTCTGAAGCCATTTAATCAGATCAACCAGTTTATGATAAAAGTGCTGTCCATTGCAGGAAGGACATGGAAATGCCTCTTGTCAATGGGGGGAAGAGGAAGGAATAGAGGGGGGAAGAGGAGAGAGGAAAAAAATCTGAAAAAAGGGACACCTGAAGTGCTGATTTCTGACATCACCTATTTCTGGTGCTTGTTACGACTGCCGTTGCTGATGCTAGCATGTCGCCCCTGGAGTTTAGCCCCGCACACTGCCCTGATTACGTACCAAAGGTGATTCTGGATCATGGTTGGACTGGTGGGGGGAGAGTTAGTAAATAGGCAATTTTTAGGTCCGAGCTTTTATTTTAAGTTTTGTTGCGCTTATGCCTGTTATTAGATTACACTGTTATTAGTAATCTTATCCGTTTTCTTAGATTACTCTATTTCAAGTAATAGAGTTTTCAATCAAATGTGTTCTTCCCTCTGATAAACTGATGTGAACATTTTTCACCTGAACCACATCGCAGCATCTGACTATGGGTACCATGCTGCAATGGGTGGTGAGCAGAATTTTCTATTACAGGTGTCCTTCCGGAATTGTCTTGTTTTTGCTGCTGTCAAGCCTGACATTGGTGTCCTCTTCTTCTGTTTGGAGAAGCAGATAACAGGCTAGAAGATTGTGGCTTACACTTAAATAAGGAAGGCTGTAAACCAACTGGCGTTGCTTGATATAACATTGTCATCCAATTAATGTGAATTTCCATCTCGTGCTGAGCTTTAATGTGGATGTTTTAACAGTAAAGAGAGGACTATATTAGGAAGTATTCATAGCTTTTCATGTAGGCTATTAACTCAACCGTCCAATTACTTGTCCATTAAAACAGAGGGGCTTAAGGACTAAGGCTTTATGATGTCCAGCCTCCTGACATGGTGTTTGAAATTATGACAGTACTCACTAACCTGTTCGCTTGATAACAGAGGAACAGAATTGCATGGTACAATGAGCGTACAAGAAGGGCATGCTAAAATAGCTTATCTAATAGCTTGTCTGCCTTACCTTGAATGAAAATAACAGAAATGATCCTTTAAGGTTTGTTACCTGCTAGTCTACTGGATGTTGTCACATATGTGCAATAAGGGTGAAATTTCTGATAACATGCATAACAGGCGTGCACTTGCATTCTTCTGTCTTTAAAACTGCGCAAACTGTCAGTTTCGAAAATATTATAATATCTTAATGTTGATATCTGGTGCTTTTTTTTTATTATTATTCAGTTGTACCAGCTAATGGATAGGTTGATTAGGAGCAATGGTGGTGAAGCTTACTCTACGGTAAGGTGCTGGTGAAATGGATGATTTCTTTTTGTCCTTGTATTTTATGTAACTTTCGATTGTATGGTTTTTAGGAGCTTAGTATTGTGAATGGAAGATGGTGCGTCAAAGCAGCACTTGATCAGAATTCAAAATTTGAGGGGTTATTACTATCCAGGTGTGTTCCTTATTTCTATGTAAAGTATATATTATTGCACAGAATTGCTGGTACGATATGATTATGAAACTGCTGAATGAAGGAAAAGATAGGCTCTCAATAAAATCATTGCAAAATCTTATAGCTACATTTCATGAGTGAAACTGGTCACCAGTGGCCTAGGTTTCCAAGGAAGGTAGTAGTTTAGTTATCCATTGGAAAAAATCATGATTTTTGAGTGGATAAATGGGTGTTACAAAATTTATCGTCTTCTCCTAGACCTTCTGATTTTACATCAATAGCCATCAGAGAGAAGACAAACGGGGAGGGGAAGCCACATTTGTGGCCACTTGGGGGGGGGGGAAGGGGGTGGGGGTGGTGTTTGGGGGGTGAGAGACGAGGAGTGAGCAGTGTTAGTGGGAAGAAAACGGGTGGCACGGATTAGGCTTTCTTTTGGAAGGGTGAGTTAGTCTTTTCTTAAAATTGATTAAAAAGCAACATTTAACCGTGGTTAAACCATTTATCATTAACAGCGACTAGTTCTTAATTTTGGAGTATATAGGAAGTCAGACTGCCGAGTAAAAGTACAAAGGACATCCCAAAATTGATTTATCTTTTAAGGAACTATACTAAAGTTAACTCTGTCTCCTTACTTGATAAACTTGGTTTTTGAGACATTCAATGATGTATTTTGTCTGCTAATTTACTATGCTAAAACTATTTGATTGAGAGATGTAATAATTGATAATGCCGAGATCAATGTCTGAATGTAAAGTAGACTAAAAGAAACTTAGATCACTACAGAATAAGTTTTAATTTCTTTTCTTCTAAAGACAAGATGATTCATCCATAATTACATCCCACATTAAAAATAATCTTGAATAAATTCTGTTAGACGAATTCATATTGGAAAATATGCCTACAAGGGTTTAACGTGACCATTACTTCAAGTGGAATATTTATTTTTAGTTCTGTTCCTTCGAAAAAAACATCTTTTATGTGTGTCAAAGACTATTTTCACCTATTCTGGAAATGCATCTGATTAGAAAAGTTGACAATCTTATCTTTCATATGCTAATCCCGGAACACACCCGTATGTATATATTAGTATGACCGCATCTTTTAATTTGGGAAATATGAGATACTCTAAGGTTGTTTATGTTGAGAATGTAAACGAAATTCTACTTTCAGATGACTAATGCAGGTGCTGTAATGCTGTTGTAATCGGTGAACCTGAGTACTAAAAAATGTGTGTTATGTAAACATAACAGAAAATGGACAATTTTGGCGTGGGAAACCCTTTTAACTCGGATGGTGTGAAACCACAAGACAACTAGGATGACATCCACTAAAATGAAATGGAAGATGTGAGAATCGATTAGATTAAGGGTTGAAATCTGAGGAACTCAACTTTAAAGAAAATACGGAGTTAATTCGGACCAAAGGTTGGGAACTAGTATCCAGAAAACTTACTCTGGAGATAATCAAATCCTGAGTCTGATAAGTATCGGAGAACAGTCTAAATCGAACAGGAAAAACCCATTTCTCCTTATCCCGTCCTCTCTCTCTCAAAGAATTTATATGTATATATATTCTTTTCTCTCTTATTTTCCTCTCGTGGCTGACACACACCTTTTTCTTTTCTTTGTTTGCCACCTCTCTCTCTTTCTCAAAATAGGCTTTAAGGAAACAACCCAAATGGGATCCTTGTGGTGGATCAAAAATGGATCCCACTGAATTTTTAGATTGGATTCATATGCCAACACAATATTCTATAAGATATATAACATTGGCTATTTATATAAGCGGGTTAGAACTTTGTATTGAGCATATGTTTAATCTTCTCTTTTATCAGATTATAAAGAAATGTGGAAGTGATATCATTTTCCTCCAATCTTTTGTGTCCAAATTTATATTGTAGGTGCTGAGCTACTTGAGCTATTCAGACTAATGTGAATTATTATTTTCTTTCTTCTACTGGGCAAGCATTGAACCATGCAGCATGCATATAATGAGATTGCTGTGAGAATATAATCAGAGCTCCTTTTAATATTTTTAAAACTTAAAATTTATCTCTTTCTGATTTATTGGAACTTCTCAAGTGGTCCGGGTGTAGAAAGCTTCATTGAGCCACTGTCTGCTGTTCCTCTGAATGACGAACTACAACAGCTGAAGTCGCTCGTGGTTAGAGCTGAGGAAGCTGTACTTTCAAAATTAACTGATAAGGTTTGATGGCACTTTTCAATTGTGGCGGATTGTCCTCACTTTTTTTTTCAAGGACCATTATCTGTTGTTTACAATTTCTTTTTAAAATTTTCAGATGGTGGCAGAGCTCGATGGGATACAAACTCTGTTGGATACAATTGTACAACTGGATGTGGTAAGTGCCATTTATCTGACCTCTTTCTATAAACAATGTGCTGCGAATGGGATTTCCATTTACATGGGAGTATCTTGCTCTTCTTGATTGTTCTATTAAATTCATGTTAATTAGCATGAATGCGTTAAATACAAGTTCAAATTTTGGTATTCAAGCGGTGATAAATTGATGACTTTGTCAAGACGAATTATAAGGCTGACTCAGTTTTCAGCTTTATATTAAAGTTAAACAGTCAAAGATTTGCTTGTAGCTTCATCAAAGTAAATAGCTCCTTACACAAGCCGAATTCAATTTTTCAGTAGATTGAGATGACTTTAATAATCTGAGATAAGGACGAACGAGAAGATAATTTCACCATTGTTGGGCGAAATTATCTTCTTGTTGCCAGAGATGAGCACATGGTATGTTTGATCGCAACTCCAGTCTCTTGGAGTTCAGCTCAGATCACTGTTCTCTGAGTAGTGTATCTCCATTTTACTGATAGGGAATTTCACCCCTATTCCTCTCGCCCAGGAGTCTGGTTGCAAGATTATCTTTCTCATTTGTCCTAAAAGTCAGCTTCTTTTCCTCTTTTTGTTGCAACTAAACCCATCTTGCCCAATAATTCTATTGCTGCCTTTTCTAGTCAATCATCATTGTCAATAGACTTTATAAAATTATGAGGGGAATGGATCCCCTTTCTGCTTGCCTTATCATTCGATATAACAGGGGCTTTGTTTGCTTCGAAGAGACATCTGTCTTTCCCTGCCATTCCTCTTAAACCTCTCCCTTTCAAGCCATGGGACATTCCTTTCACGTCCTCTTCAATCTAACCAAGTCTTATGGAACAATTGGCTTGAGGAATTGTGGAACATCAATGATAGGCCTTGTCTTCAGGCTCCAAACTATCTCAAGGGCACTATTAATGAAAAAAATAGGCCTGCATGATAACTACCTTGCTCATTTGTGCCATTATTATCTTTGAACCTAATTGGTGTATTTATTTCTTGAATGTTTGATCCTCAAGAAACGTACATAATATAATATTTATCTTTGTTATTGATTGCTCAGACTTTGTATGCGCATCACAAGATTTAAATAATTTCCTTCAAGGTTTTCACTTAATTTATATTACCATATCTTCTAACGGTAGTGACAGGAATACCTTATTCGGCGGATATTCGTGGAAGAACAACCTTTATCTCTGGTCACTCAGTCTGTATTATTTCCGTTTTTTTCTCTTCCTCTTGATGAATTTTTAAGCATTGCTTTGGTGGTGAAACGTAGGTATTTGCCAGAGCAAAGTATGGTCTTGCCTTCGGAGGAACCTTTCCTGTGTTATCATCTACGGGGAATGAGCTCACGCACAGCAGAAATGCCGGCAATCTTTCAGCGGAAAAGCCTGACAACTCTAACCAGAACAGCAGGAAGTTGTACCTGAGGAAAGCTTATCATCCGCTTCTGGTTAAAAAACATCACGATAACTTGCAACAAGCTAGAAAGGATGTCACTAATGCTACTTCTGTAAGCTAAACTTTAGGTGCCCTCTAAATTTCTTCATTTATCCAGACCATGCTATGGCAACAAAGTGTGATAAGCTCTCTTCGATGAAACATACATTTTCTATCTCACTAATTTTTTGTCTTATCTTCAAGACTACAGGGGAATATGAATTTGCTCATATGAATTTGCTTTGATCGGTTCCTGTAGGAAATGAGAAGGGCAAGACTACAGGGGAATAGTATGGTATCAAAAGGTGATGGTGAATTGCGACTGGCAAATTTAAAACTCAGGGTAGGAGTTAAAGGAATATTCATGTTAGTGTTATTCTTCGTTTATCATATTAATTGTAACTTTCTGATCTAGTTTATTCCTCCACAATGCTTATATTAATTCAAGGTTGCTGAAATTGAGGAACGCCATCCTGTACCAGTTGATTTTCTTGTATCCGGCAAAACAAATGTGCTGGTTATAACCGGTCCCAACACAGGGGGTAAAACCATTGGGTTAAAGACAATTGGCTTGGCGTCCATGATGGCAAAATCAGGTTTGGCTTGCCTTTGCATGTCGTGCATTATTGAGAATTCCTGCTGTTTGTTTCTTTTCTTAAGGTTCCGTGTGCTATATGGCTAGGAGTATGAGCTCTGTTGGAAGAAGAATCAAGCTCATCTTGCATAGGTTCACTGTATGAGTTCTGAAGTTCTTGCATCATCTGGCTTCATCATCGTTAACAGAGTCTCTCCCAATTTGGGATACGTCTCCATTTATCCTTTAGATTATATAATCAATTACCCATCTTACATACAGCTATCAGACAGTTCATTCATCATATGTCCTTGCTTATTCTGGATGAGAATCTGAAACTTTCCTTGCTATATCTTATCCAGCTTTATCTTTCAATGATGTGAAATCTTTATTGGGGACATTTCTTTGTATTTTCTAACTGTTCATTGGAGGGTGTTTGCTCCAGAGTTTCACTGAATGGGTCACTTGAATGCTGATCCAGTGTTTCTATTTCTTTTAAAAGACATCACGAGAAAGGTGTTTATCTACTGCATAGTTGACTGAGTAGCTTGCTCAAGTAAACCTGACATTAAGGTGCTGTCACATCGGTGACTGTCGCCGTATATACTGGTTTTATTGTGATTTTTTTCGCTTCTTCATTTGTGAATTGTGTGGTTTCTGTTCATCGGAACAATTTTTTGATTTATACATCTTTTGAGTCATTTGAAATGATGCTCCAAACTGGGGTTGACTGATTTACTATTCAGTTATACATTTTATACAAGGTTATACATCCATGCTTTTAGAGTTCAATTCATTGTGAGAAATGATATTGACATATTTGGGTTCACCTGGTTACTGCTGACTTTTTCATTTAAATATAACGCCTGGTACTATTTAATGGTATAACTTGCCTCATTCTCACGTGGATATCATGCATCATAACCTGTCTTAAGCTAAGCCAGTAGATATTGGAGAATTTTATCATGTTTTATACAGTTGGTTTTTCTATTTCAGGTCTCTATGTTCTTGCTTCTGAGCCTGCTGAAATACCATGGTTTGATGGTGTATTTGCCGATATCGGTGATGAACAATCATTGGCTCAATCTCTATCTACATTTTCTGGACACTTGAAGCAGATCAGTGTAAGTTCTTATCACTTTCCATGAGTTTGCGATTGAATGTGTTTGCTACCGTAAATATGCCTGACAGGATATCATCCCTAATCCCCTACTGTATTGTGCATTTACATATCATGGGGAATGCTAACAGCTTTTCATTCTGCATAATGAATCTATGGTTGGAAGTTTAGATTATGATCTAAAATTGAAAAGGGGTTTTGCTTATTTTGTTATCAGGAGAATAGCGAACTACATCTGAGAATAAAATTGGTTCAACTCGATTCTTTCTGATGACAAAGTGTTCACTATGATATGTAGCAACTTGAATTTTTTTGTCTCTGTATAATTGGAAGTTAAATGCTCTTCCAGATTTATCTTTGATATAATTAAGAGTTCAAATTGGTGTGAGTTATTCTTTCCTGATCTGTGGCCTGATTTTGATATTGGGTGAAGCTGACATGGGTATCTCCATGCAGAACCTTAATTTGTTGTATTGGGCTTATGGGATTTCTTTCACCCTATCAACTACTAGATCTCTAATATACCTGATTACATGATAAGAGAGAACACTGGCACTTGGGGGCGTCCCCTCTACAGAGTAGTACAAGGATTTTACGTAGGTACCTTTTCATGGGATATTTTTGCAGGGTTGGACCTCGATATTCCTGTTACATGAAATAATGTTTTGATATTTCTTTTTGACTGAAAATTTTCCAGTTTCGACCCTAGATTAATTTAGTGCCTACTCTTTGGCAAGAAATTTCCCTTCCTCAGTTAATTCACCTGTTATTTTCTTGATTTTCATATATCATATGTTGACTGTGTAAATGAGTTAAATTTGAAGTATGAATATTATCACAGTAGGTTTCAAATGGAGGCAAGTACAATATAATTGGTGTCTCCAGAAAGATATAATAAACATTGTTACCATTGACAGTGCAGTATCTTTGGATTTAATTCGATACCTTGGTTAACTAAACGCATTTTTTTATTGGAATAGTTTTTTTCCTTTTCGAATTTTGAACTTTGTTTCATGTTGTCTATCTATGTGCATATCCAGGCAATTCGGTCCCAGTCTACCAAACAATCACTGGTTCTTCTAGATGAGGTATGCACAATATTCTGTTTCTGACGAAATTTTGTTGCCTCAGTCGAATTCCTTGAATGAAGCATAAACAGGAAAATTTTCGGGCTCAATCATTGACATGAGGAATAACACACTTTAATGATCACTTCTTGTAGGTTTGGTAGCACAATTCGATAGGGAAATGTGTGATTGATGCTTTGTGTTCGGGATCAGAAACATGGAACTCGGTTCCTTTTCCTTTTATATTCGTCCTGGATGGTAGCATTTTGGGTTTGTCCATGGCTTCCAGAGTAGAAGTGTAGAACATCCAAATAAGTTTTCTTCAGAAATTTCTCTGTTTTTAAATTTTTCGCCACAGATAGAATTTATCCTATGAAAATTTCAATGTTGTCAGTTCCTTTGAAAATTTTACTGTAGATCCCAGCTTATCCGCTCAGTTATGAAATGAAGCTTGTGATCGAGTGACCGTGTGGCCGATTTCCTTTGCTTATAGATATATATTTTGTATTGGGAACAAAGAGACTTATGCACCCCTCTGCAAGAGTCAGTCTGGGTTTTGATAAAAGAAGAATAATGTGCTAAGAAGCGGAATAATTGACACTGAAAAGGGAGAAGTATCCCTGCCATCCTTCTAATATGATTTCTTCCTGCACATGTCACCATAATTTGTGTGAACATTTCTTCGATGAATGCATGTCTCAAGTCTTAGTTGACTTTTCATTATACTGTTCTAATCCCAGGCACCAACTTTTATTCATAAATGGAAGGAAAACGAAAAATTAAAGACAAAGCAACAAATGAAAATGGTAGCATGTGTAATAATTATGAGTTGAAGTCCCAAAACATTAGTTTAAACGTGACACAACATTTAAAGTAAACCCGATGGCAAAAATGGACTCACTTGAGTCCCAGGAGTCACCATGGTTGTACAACTTGTCCAGCAAGAAGGCCTACCCAACTAGTAACCTACATGTAAAAAAGACAGACTAGTATGCCAGGCTAAACTTCATGAGGTACGAAAGTAAAATGGCGGAAATATTTTGTTGTGAAGAGTTACTCCACAGGAATCCTGGATGTGGAAAAAGATAGTTTTTGGTAGATAAGCTAAGGACTAGTTCATCAGGCATGACGAACTTCAGAGACGGGTTGAAGATTTGGTTTTCTAGGTATGATTAAGTTGAAAAATAGTGAGAGACTTTGATTGTCAAGTTTATAGCATAGAAGAACTGAAGGAATTTTTCATCATTGACAGAAAGTTGAAGGGCTGGAGCCATTTTATACGAAAATGGATTGGTCATAAATTGATGATCTGGTTCATCAATGTCAAAGTGCTGATGATATGAAAACCTATCCGCTAGGCATGATGAACCGATCAGCAGGGGACCCGGCTTGAAAGGTAGGAAAACCTTGGCCAATTAAGGTACAGAGAGCTCGACGGAGAATACTAAGAATCGGTTCATGTCAAATGATAACAAAACAGGTGGATTATCCATCATCTTAAATGATAATAACAGGATATATTTGTTGTGCCATGCCAAATTGCAATGTCTTCTTCTGTACATTTCAGTTGGATAAGGATCATCGATACATGTGTCCCTAAGGTCTCATCATTGGTCTCAGGCCCATCTTCCAATTGTGAACAACATGTGAAGCACATGACATATTACAGAAGCATTGACACGATTACTATGGCTGGGCGTTTGTCTCCTAAACTGCAAGTCACCGAAAATAAAAGCTACAAAATTATGTAATTGTGTGTGTGTATAGCATAACAGTTCATGAAAGTCCAAAAGAGAATGATAAAACTACAAAACTGACCCAGGAACATTGTTGCTCTTCCGAGTTCTTCTTGATCCATCCATCACCATCTAGAGTAACTTTCCCTTGGAATCGTAGTGACTGAGTATGTAAGCCATTGGTGCCGAGTTTAAGTCATCCACCACACATTGAATTAACACGAGTTTTGCACATACACATATGCCATATGAAGGAATGGCCATTGAGATATTATTTAACATTATTTTCATTTCATATCTATCCATGCGAATCACCTATGTGCATGAACGGGACAGAAGAGACAGATTATAACCCTTGTGATCCATTATTGGGTTTCCTTTTCAGATTCCTTCTATGTTCATGAATATGCCAAAGAACTAGGTGGGGAAGAATACAAAGAATCGTGAATAATATCATAATTTTTTTGCAAAGGATCCTTATATCATCATTCCCATTGTTTGTAGTTCTTACCTTGTATCCGGCGTTTCATTGTTGTTCCTTATGTTGAGCTTCTGTGAATGTGTTCCTCAAGTCACGGGATCTGTGCAGCTTGTTGCATCGAATCTACGTATAATTATAGAATCATGAGGAAAATCCTAATCTTTCTAGTTTCAGGGTTAATTGCACTACCATAAGACAGATTTTAGCCTCACAACTGAGTCAAGTCTCTCCCAAGAGTTGATTCCGCTATTTAATAATAACAGTGTTCTAATAGCTTTGCTTCCCACTGTTCCTACACATCTTAATTGCATTTAGGACTATCCTACAGATCGTCTGGGAATCCTATTAATTAGGAATGAATAAAATGAACACGGCACAGAACAGAACAGATTCCTGGTTATGTCAGTGCAATTCTTGTTGCCTGTGGGCAACAGTCAGTCTGCACCCAAACCATAGTGCTGAACTCCATACTCTGACCTAGTTGATCACACAAGGCATTGGTGTGATGCCACATTCTGAACTAATGGAAAGTCTGAATTAAATATACAATAAGTCATAGATTTACTCGCGCTTTCTTCATTATAGCAAGCTGATGCTCTGATCATCATTCTTCTGCAGTCCACAATCTTCCTATTTTCAGAATTTTATCGACTTAATTATTTTCCGTCATGGCTGAAAATACTTGAGGCTTCTTTTAAACGAAATTTTGAACTTTTTTTGATGTATTCAACGCTAATCTTTTCTGGGGCATTCTTATGACTATACCATGTCGCATATCTATTATGTCTGAAAGTAGGATAACCTAGTTTATCTATGAAAGAATTGCCTTCTGAGAAATTCAATCTGAATATTTTCTCACCGTTTTGGAAATATTAATTTGGCATCCTTATGAAGATGACTTATATAATTCTACGACTTTTTGATTTATTAAAAATAAGAGTAACCTGCCATCAGGGCTTACAAGTGTATCCGTGACTGTGCCAGGTTGGTGCAGGTACCAATCCCCTTGAAGGAGCGGCCTTAGGGATGTCTCTTTTAGAATCATTTTCTGAGATGGGTGCTCTGTTGACGATTGCAACGACTCATCATGGAGAACTAAAGACTCTTAAGTATAGGTAATTATTTTTGGTTTCTTTCGAATGCTATTGAAGTATCTTGGTGCCTTAAACTGTTTTTGCCTCATGGGGTGGATAATACATGAATGCCATCCGTCTAACAAGTGGATTTATTATAGAGATTGGAAAGTGGTTGACGTGGTAAAACATGTTTGAGAATTTTCAATAATTCTGCTTGAAAAATAACATACTGCAAAAGGCTAGAGAGTAACATGTCAATATATGCTGAACAGTGTTATGATATCTGTATTCAAGATAGAGGGTGTGTGAATGAAGTATAATAAATCATACGTTGAGGTTATACACCAAATAGAGACAGATCATGGTATTGAGCAATGATGCAATATGGGTGGAACATTAAGTGAAGTGTTGCACTCATAGGAAACACAGGCCACATAAACTAAAAGTGGAAAAGAGAGATCACGCACACAATCAATGCAAGTTGACATGAGGTGCAAGAGCCACATAGAGTAAGCTTACAACAAAACATTTAAGCAATTTGTGGACATCCGTTAGACACAGAAGAGTATGGCTTTGAGTTATTTATTAAACATAATTGTCACTAAATCATGATATATTCATGCATAATATACAGTTCACCTCGTTGCATGCATATAAAAAATATAAAAAGTTTACTTCAAAAGCTTCACTATCTTTTAAGTCAAACAAGTAGAGCATCATATAAAATGTTTCGCTCATTTATGTTATTCACATGCTTCGATTTAATTCATGAAAACCTACTGTAATTAGAGGGTGAATATTTTGTGTGTGAGTCACATACAACAACCGGTAACGAGATTAATCAGTCAGATGACCTGAGATTTAGCATGGATTGACCAACCATGGATTGTTGTCAATGATTTTTTCAACACTTGTAGTTCATAAGGTTCCACACTAAATTTATTTTGAGGCCTATGAGCATACACTTGCCTAACTATTATCAGTACATGCTGTGAACAGTCACAAACCCTGGGAAGAAATGGAGAGGAAAAAGTCAACACACCATTATGTACAAATACCAGGGCCACAAAGCAAGGAAACTACCTAAGAACTAGTAAACCGACAAACTAGAAAACAAACCAACACAGTGGGAAACTGTCCAACTAAGAACCGAACTCCTAATTATATGTTCTTTCCCACAGTGCTTATAGTTTAGAGTGAAGTGTCGCTCATATCCTATGTTATTTTCCGCATTGGGTTTCTCGTAACTTCATTTTTTTCTTTATTGTTGTGCCGCCATTTCTTGACCCAAAACACATGTTCAAGATCAACACAACTTATAATAATTTTTTTTGTTATCATCATTTTTTTATGGAGTTCTCATTTTATGTTAGTGGAATTTCTTATCCCCTATCATTTCTTTGGATTCATATAATGTAACCATAGTTGACCATACATGATTGTAGAACTAGATCATGCTTTCTATAGTCATTATGCTGAGGGATAGTAGTCAGTGTAGGGATTTCGTGCAACAGTTGTATTCAAGTTTCACGAAATGATCTTTTGCAGTAACAAGTCATTTGAGAATGCTTGTGTGGAATTCGATGAAGTCAACTTGAAGCCAACCTATAAGATATTGTGGGGTGTACCAGGTTTGTTTTCTCATTCCTTGAAATGTTTTCTTCAATTTCAGAACAATAAGAGATATTGAACTCTGAAATCCTTCGCCATATTTTACTAATATATTCTCTGCAGGGTATGAACGCTCTTGGTTTTGAATTTTATTCTCAGTTTGGTTAGCCAATGACTTAGTTTTCACTTGAAAGATATATGTGAATTTGAACTATCGTTTCATCACTGTGAAATGTTCTTTTTTTTTATGAAAATATCGGCTGGATGGTGAAAATCCTCATCCATCACATCTGACAGAAACAAACCCGTAGCTCCAGTCATCCATTACATTGCATCCCAGATCATAAAAAGAGGGGAAGATTGTGTACCACACCATATCTTCCTGTTCTCACCACAGGCTCTTTGGTGTCCTTTATTTGGACAGAAGCATGACTGCAGGATCAATCTCTCATTTGATATCTGTTTTCATCTTATTATAGTATTTCCTGAAGAGATTGTACATGATTTTCACATTGCAGGCCGTTCGAATGCAATTAACATTGCTGAAAGGTTAGGATTACCCAGTGTTGTGCTGGAGAATGCTCGCAAACAATATGGAAAAGCAAGTGCAGAGATCAACGGGGTATACATCTATATCTTTTTTATCCGGAGAGTGTTCTATTCGAATAGGTTTGCCTTCCACAGAATTATATATATACCTTGATTCTTGAAAACAGCAGCAATGCATAACATGGGAACTCCCCTTGGCTCTTAGCATGATTCAAAGAGTGTCTATAGAGGAAGGATCTTTGATATTTCTGGGATAGCCAGGATCCTTGGCTCAGAAAAAGAATCTGTATACCAATAGATCTGTATCCATACTGTCTCTTATTATCCTGCCAAATCTCTCTCAGGTGTCCTTACTATTTTTAAGTAACACATCGGTTTTTGCAGATTTTCAGATTTTTATTTTTATTTTTTGGGTTGGCAACTATCTTAGACCCCCAGATATAAAGATACAAAAATACTGCACTATCTCTCAACAACCCATTCATCTGCGACAACTTTTTAGGTCTTGGTCGTGTGGCCAATGCCTTTCTGGTACATTCTGACAACAATGGATGTATAATCCTTGAAAGGAAGGGTTAAAAAATTTTGGTGCTGCTGTACTACCAGGTGAAGCGGAGAGATCAAGCTCCCTCCTTTTCTTCCCTCACTCTTACCGCGGGTTATGATAGATGAGCTTTGCAACCCAGGTTCAGGACTTTGATACAAACATCTAATGACATTAAGTGGTGAAATGTGAGCTAGAATGGACACTTGCGGGGAACGATAAGTTGAATAGAGAGAGAAAATCTTTCTATTTTTCTGTCTCATGCATTTCATCTTATTTGTATGTTATTAAATCAGTACTTTATAATTGATAAAGAAAATTTGAATACCTGGCCCTGGGAGTGATCAACCGACCTTCTTGGATTGGTTGCCTCAGAAAGCTTGCTCAGATTGCCACCAGTGAACTTTTTTATGAGCTATCGTCTGAGTAGATATTGTCATATTTTCCCCTCTGCCTCTTTCTATGCAGGTCATAGTTGATATGGAGAGGCTCAAGCAAGAGTTTCAGGCGCATCTTCACGAGTCCCAGCACTACATAAAGTGAGTGACCTCCCTGGCATATGTTCTTGTTCATCTCGCCCCATACCACGCTTTCTTCCTCTCTCTTTGGTCGCTTTCTTCCTGGACTTTGACGTTCTGAGGTTAGGTCAATGAAATCAATCAATTGTACTCTGTATTGAAGTCACACATCTGTGTCAGTGAAGTAAATGGCCCAGCATTCCCCTCGATCAGCAATGCCCGTCTCTGCAGAAATGATTAGTTCCATGGTGGACATTAGGTGACCTCCGTTGACCTCATAATGAATAACCGAGGTCAGCTTATCTCCCTTGTTCGTACTGTCTGAGGACCCGGCTTTAAATCAAGATCATCAGTCAGATCATGAACCCTGGTTGACTTATAAGCTGCATTGTCGGCATTTCTTTCTTCCTCTCAAACGTTTTCCCATGAAATCTGGAGATTATCCTTCGTGGGTTTCTTTTGATTTCATATCAGAAGCTAAGTCTGTTCTTCACAGTTGCGGTAGTTTCCCCTTTTTTTGCCTTATTCATGGAAAACTCTCCCTTCACCTCTAATCCAGTTTTCACTCTTCCATTTGCAGACTCTCGAGAAGAAACTACGAAGCTCTTCTGGCATCGAGGGAGAAGATCCATGAGCACGCCCTGGTTCAACGCAACAACAAAGTGCAGGCTATCCGTGGGGCTGCAGCCGTAGCCCGATCTCTCCTCCACACCAAGCTACAACAGTTCCGGGAGAGATCGGCCGCCCAGGCCGCAGAGGTGGCGGTGGCGGCAGCAGCGGCAGCAACCAGCAACAGGGAAGACCACAGCCTGGATTCCCCACCGGCAGCCGCCCTCCCGCCGCCGCCCAGTGGCAGCTCCTTCTCCAAGAGTACGGCCCTTCTGATATGCCTAGACTCCTACTCTCTCCAATTCGGCGGCTTTCATAGAGTCAAACTCTTGGCATTGCAGAGAAGAAGACGAAGAACCCAGCGGTCGGTGACGTGGTGGATGTTCCGTCCCTGGGCAAGAAGGCGGTGGTCCTCAAGGTTGAGTCGGCCAAAGGAGAGGTCCTTGTCCAGTCCAGCAGCATGAAGCTCAGGCTGAAGATGAGCAGCGTGGTGGTCTTGTGATGGAGAAGGATCAAGGTCTCATGAGGTCTTTGATTACTCCAGGTGCCCTCAGAAAGTCTGTAAATTGGGTTTTAAACCCCCTGAAAACTGTATTTTTAAAGCTGGAATTGAAATACGAGGGGGTTAATGGGCCATTCTGGGCAGCCTGAACAGCCCGGTGTAGCGATCCGGCCCAGTGCAGCAGCTAACTTATTGAAGCCGTTTGGCATATCTGAAGGAAAAAGATTTCCGGGAAATAGCGGCCAAACGGTGACGTGGAGAATCCGGTTGAAAGCAACTTATTTTCCGTGTTTCTGTTATCGGTGTGACGTGGTGGGCGTTCAACTTCTGTTGAACGGCCCAGCGGGGGCAGGCGGCACGCGTCTCCCGGCTACTCAACATTCGGCGTGCGGCCGCGCCGCCACTGCGCCGCCGTCGTATTCAAAGCCGCCGCTGGGCGTCGACACGTCGAGGAAGTAGAGGAGAACAACCAGGACGGCGGAGCAGATGACCATGGGAATGGGGCCGAGGATCCAGAGGAAGAGCGGGAAGGAGAAGTAGAAGGCTCGGAGCCCTAGGGACCAGAAGTAGGCCCCCCGGTTGAGCGAGCCGGCGACGTAGTTCGCCGTCACCCCCTCCTTCATACCGGCGGAGGAAGGGACGTTGATGAGGATGCTGGCGTGGCTGTAGTAGCGGACGGATTGTACCTCGAAGAGGAAGGCCAGCAGGAAGCTGCAGAGGATGGCGAAGATCTTCACGGTCAGCCCTAGCTGCGTGTTGTCACCGCCGTTGATCCTCTCCTGGCCGTTCCCAGCAACGCCTGGCAGACCGCCGCCGTTGGTCACCAGGACCGCCACCAGCGAGCAGAGCATGATGGCGGTGGAGGCCATCAGAGTTGACGCCATTATGTTGTTCCGCAGGCTTTGCACCGCCAACACTCCGGTCTTCGCCGGATCCTGCAAGGGAGGAAGGATCATGGAACAGTGGATTGCGCAGAGGAAGGACCGGCGAGATCCATGTCCCCTCGCTCACCTCCATCATGGCATGGACCCAAATCCGGCGGTTGATGGCGTTGATCCCAATGACCGTCGTCGTAGGGTGCTTGATCAGGCGGTGGAGGAGCCAAACGTGATAGGCGGCAAGGATGAGCAGGCCCATAGGCACCAAGATGACGTTCAGATCTTGCTCGTTCATGGCGTCTGCGGGGCGAGGATGGCCGGCAGAGTTCGCCGGAAGGGGAAGAAAGCGAACGGGGTGACAACGTTAAGACGCAAAACAAGCCTGGAGGATCTCGAGTTGGGGGATTTTTATAGTCTACAAGCACACGCACTGTGGCAGTGGAAGCGGAAAGTCAGTGTAGTAGCGAATAATAACCAGTGCTTTAAAGATGGGCCTTAATGGGCCTATCGGAAAGCCCATTTTAATCTTTCTGGTTAATTTTTAATGGCATGTTTTTAAAATGACATGGGGTATTTTTCCAAATAAAATATGAATCCACATCGGATAGTCTGCGCTTCAATGTTAAATAATGAGGCTTACACGGTTTGACTGTTTTCCAAAACCATACACATAATGGGGAGAGAGAGAGAGAAGGAGAGAGAGGGAGAGAGGGAGGCAGGGAGAGAGATAGATAGAGAGTGAGAGAGAGAGAGAGAGAGAGAGGGAGAGATAGATAGATAGAGAGTGAGAAAGAGAGAGAGAGAGCGAGAGAGGGAGGCAGGGAGAGAGATAGATAGAGAGTGAGAGAGAGAGAGAGAGAGAGGGAGAGATAGATAGATAGAGAGGGAGAGATAGATAGATAGAGAGTGAGAGAGAGAGAGAGAGAGAGGGAGAGATAGATAGATAGAGAGTGAGAGAGAGAGAAAGCGAGAGAGGGAGAGAGAGAGAGGGAGAGAGGGAGGCAGGGAGAGATAGATAGATAGATAGAGAGTGAGAGAGAGAGAGAGAGCGAGAGAGGGAGAGAGAGAGAGAGAGAGGGAGGCAGGGAGAGATAGATAGATAGATAGAGAGTGAGAGAGAGAGAGAGAGAGAGAGGGGAGAGATAGATAGATAGATAGATAGCGAGAGACAGAGAGAGAGAGAGAGAGAGGAGGGAAGGAGAGAGAGAGAGGAGGGAGGGAGAGAGATAGATAGATAGATAGATAGCGAGAGACACAGAGAGAGAGAGAGAGAGAGAGAGAGAGGAGGGAAGGAGAGAGAGAGAGGGAGAGATTGATAGATAGATAGAGAGCGAGAGAGAGAGAGAGGAGGGAGGGATAGAGAGCGAGCGAGAGAGAGAGAGAGAGAGCATATCACACAACAATGTACATAGAGAACTCAATATATATTCGTGCCCCCTTCCCCTTGTACCCATATAAGCTTGACCACAGAAGACGTGGTGAAATGGCTCGTGTCAACTGTACTCATTAACGTGAGTAAAATGAGGCACATTCATTACAGATATAAAGTATAGAAGGTTTTAAGATGATTCTTGAAGTGTTACGATTTTGCATCCTGGGGTATCATGTGCTCTTTCATCTGAATCGTCTTCTTTTTACTTACCCAGTACTTATTGCTTTTGTTATATGCCACTAACTCTGCGTGGTGAACAACCACAAATCTTGTCTCATTGATCTGCCTGATACATGGACAAAGTTATCATGGGATTGTTTGATATGCAATAGTTTGATTAACCCAGATGCATAAATGGCTCATGGTTTATGATTGGATGCGCTCCTATGGAGATAATCATATTACTAAGGGCATATCTAGGAAGACGTACTTCACATGAAATATATGCTATTAAATTTTTTAACAATCTGTAATGAAAATGAACATGACTTTATTTTTTTTTACATTAATGATTATTTACTTAGCTATGATATTATATCCTATTGTATCTGAAATTTATTGGATTGGGTTGATTCTCATGCTTTTTAGTTGGTTAATAGCATGAGGTAACAAGTTTGCACTTTCATAATCAATAGGAAATGATAGAATAAAGGGCGAGACTCTATGTGTGTAACCTTTTGAATCCCTCTTCCCTATGCTTAACTCAAACATCCAAGTTTACTCGGATGTGAACATCACTAACCAAATGAAATAGAAAATATAGGTGATATCATTAACAAGTCTATTTGAACACACTGGCACTGTTTCCATAAGAAAATATTAAATTAGAGAGCTCATAAAACTATGGAATCTTGGCTTCTGATGAGTGGCCAATAATAGGTGAGAGATCCTTGCTCAACTCTGATCATTGAATATTTTTGGTCGATGAACTATGAGAGAAGGTTTCTATTATGAGAGAATGTGGATTGATTAGGATGTCATGGAAAGTGGGATGGAGATGGAGCACTAGTCTTGTAATTCACTAAGTAAGAATGTCTGGGGATGAAATTGGATCGTGGACTATTCGAATTTAATGAACCAAGTACCAGTTCTTTGGATTAGAACATTGTGATAAATCAGCTTTGGATAAGCCCATCACCTGCCTGATAATGCTTGAACCAGCTCCATTTCAGTTTTGTAAGTATATATGACGAGAAGATGGCTTGACGCCCCATGTCAAGCGAGTCACTAACTCTCCTCTTCAGTGGCCTCATTGGATCTCACGAGTCTGTTTGGTGGTACCAAGTCCCCTGGCGATAAGCTCATCAAAAGAAAATGGTGGCTATAACCACACGATGAGCCCTCGCCATAGCATTGAGGCGGCGGCAATGGGTTCCAAGGCGATGAGGGTACTGGCAGGCAGAGGAGCTCCCATCCGGGGTGCTGCCGTGCCCATATAAGTTGGTGGACTGAGCATGACGCCACGGGCGGCCATGAAATCACCCCCTTGAACAGTACCCACCCAAGGATCAGGATTAGGTGTGTTCGTCGTGGCCCCAAAGGCTTGTGCCTGGAAGGGAACAAGATATCGGCGGAGACAGCGACGGCGTCCGTGGAATCCACAGGGTTCCATGACGCTTCTCGGTCTAAGCCGGCAGAAAGCATACCTTGGTGTCGGAGGTAAGATGGAGGAGCGGGGAAGCCGGTCGACGAGCGCTGGCCCGGCGGCTCACCTATCTTGGAATAGTCTATATATGATGTAGCCTTGTATTTGCATACTTCAATTTTGGTACTACTACTAATGGTGTTGTGTGAACTAATAGTGGCGTGAGAAGTTAATGTGCTGACTAAAGCGAAGAAAGGTATCAGTAAAGTGATTGCTCAAGCAGCAATTCTGTGCAAGTTTCTTGAGAACTAGGGCAGCATGGTAGAACCAGCAGCTATTCAACTGCTAGTTCCTTTGAAAATTGCCAAAGAAAGCCATGTCTAGTAATGTCTAGTAATGTCTAGTATCTAATCTTTGGGGAGATTAATAGAAGTCAAAGAAACCAGGAGCTCTTTGGATAGTAGACATTGGTCATAGGTTGAACCAATATAAAATTATGAATGCATCAATCTATATTATCTATATTAAATAAACAAATGTTTATGTTCCACATTAAATGAGATTTACTCAATTAGATTACCTATTATGATTCTATTTATAGTATTGTATGTACTCATGAATTTGCTATGTTGATCATTCCACATATTTATAAACACAATACTAGAAACAAATAGCAATCTACAACACACCATATTGAAAGGTTAATTGTGGAACTAAATTATAAATAATAATCTCCTAGTCACCTTAGTAAGTCTATCCACTCACCAATTCCTTTCAGATTGTATTAGCTGTCTTCTATCTCTTCAAATTATATATTTTAATCAACTTCGAAATTCTCAAAAATAATATTAATGAATGTACACCATTATGTCACATACCTAGTTATTTGGGAGGAATTAATGATGTAGTGGCACATTATCCACATTAGAAACCCTTCAAGTTCCCTAACAAGTGGAAAGATATGAACATATATATATATATATATATGTTGTCCTAATGTTTTGTTGCTCTCATGATCTCTAAATGGCAACAATCTATTACATGTGGTCTTCAAAATGGAGAGTGCTGCTTGCAACACTTTAGTGAACCCACAATAACCCCTATTTTGTCATAATAGAAAATTAATCTTCACCCCTCATACAAATTGACAAGTCAACTTTCAAAGCATGGCATATCTTTCAAGTCAATAACTCCTCTTGTGGGGATAAGACAAGCATTCATGTGAATGAAAGCACTTGATTACCCAGATTGTTATGTGGAAATGGGTTTATAGCCTTGTTCTTAATCCTCTACAGATTTGGCTCTTTTTATAGATAGCATCTTGGCATATATATCATGAAGATATTTCGATGCACCATTAGTGAAGAGTCATCTCTCTAATTCTAGTAATCAAATTAATCTTACCATAAAAATACCTACCCAAAGTCAAAGCTATGTAATGAAATGGCTTTCAGATACTAATGAGGACTCTGCAACCTTATCTATTGGCAAAATCTAGTTAATTGTCCACAATAACCTGTGTATCACATCCATGTGACCAGCTGTGATAATTTGATCATCTCACTAGTTGGTATTCAACCTAATGATTTTGTACTTGGGAATCATTGGTTTCTAATCATCCATAATTTTGGAGCGTTGACCTTGACAACATTGGTTTAAAATCATCAAATGATATATGGGCTTGAGCCCATTTTCATGAATTCTCTGTGATAATGGGCCCTGTCACATCCTTGTGCCCACTCCCATGACTCAGCTGGCTCCTCCAATTATAACCGTTAATCTCAGCCGGTAATTTCCCATTTAGCGTTTTGACATTAAACATGGTCAACGGCATCGGGGTGAGAGGACGTGGGGCTCTGGTAGCCGCCACATCATTTCCACATCCAACGGGTGATTCCATGCGGACTTCTGCCGGCTCGGTGTGGGTCAACGAGGCCTGTGCAGAAAAAGGAAGTCATATCGTGTGAAAATCTCTACAAGTGGTTTAATTAATTGGGCACTCTCGAGATGTGACGGGCGGTCCTCCTTCGTTGAGTGAGGAATAGCGGTCTCGCTGACCGAGTCACGGAAGCAGATCAGGAGAGAGACAAAGTGAGCGAGAGAGAGAGAGAGAGTAGAGGCTGGGACCACCGTCCAGAGGCAGGGTTTCACACGGTAGACGCGGGGCTGGGGGGGGGAGGGGGGGGAAGGAAACGAATTTCTACAAATCAGGGGAGGGGACATTTACTCTCTCCACCTGCCTGCTAGGGCGACCTCGTGGTCTCTGGGTGTTCATTGTCTTGGACGAGCGAGGAGAGAGAGAGAGGCGGTTGCGGTTGGCTGGGTAGGTCGGAGAGGTAGGGAGTGGGGGAGCCCGAAGATCTGTCTCTATCTTTCTCTTTGTTCCTCCATATTTTGCTTTCTTTAGGCATAAATATCTGCTGCTCCAGCCGCTGCTGGTCAGATCTCTGGGTCGAGGTTCCCATCATTACATGTAAGTCTCGTCTCCCCTTATTTTCTCTTCTCTGTCTCTGGTGCGGCAGGTTCGATTTGAGCTAGGATCAGGGTTTTGTGTCTCCTACCGGACTCTCTGCCATGTGGTTGCCACCCAAGGCCTCTGTTTGCCGACGGGCATGCCCTTTGCTGGCTCCTTTCTGCGCAGCTGGGGGACTGGTGATTATTTCGATTTGCAGGGAAATACTGTCGGTGGATCATGTTTTCCCTCAGATTTAAGCTGGCAGATTTCGCGACTCATCGAACCTTTGCTTGTCCTTCTATCTGTTAGCTCCTTTAGCTCCTTTATTTTTGTTTTATTCCTGAGACGGATCCCTGAGGCAATCCATGATTAGGGTTACGGTTGTCACGGACGACCTTTTTTTCTGCATCATTCTCCATGATTGGCTCTTCGTCCCAGTAATACCCTCGGCTTCTGTTAATTTGTCTCGACTGGAAAACCGGCTTTGTATTGTTCTGATGAAATCGAGGCCGACTCTCGCACTGACATGAATCTCCGGTTCCCTGTGCTATCCCAATCCCATCCTACGCAGTCTCTTTCAAATCCCTCATAGAAGAAAGGGGAAATTCTTTTTTTTTCTTTTCCTCGCTGATGCTTTTCCTCTTGCACTCGTCACACCCTCTGCCCTTTGATCTAAGAGCTCTAAGCTGGAAATCTGAGCATGGTCTTGTCCTGTTCTTGCCTGCCCTTGCAGTTCACCTGCCGATGATTATTACTATTAATGTTATTATTATAATAATTATTTCCTTGTTCAGTTACGTTAGTCCCAAATTCTTGGAGGCTGCTTCCAGTTTGTATCTATTTGTCTCTGGAGAGTTGCGTCAAAAGCTAAGAACCCTTGGACTGACTTTCTCTTATCCGCGTTTCTGCAGAGAAGAGAACTCAGGGTGTGGGGGGAAGTTAAGATCAACCATTAGCAGATGGCCATGGAGGTATATGGAAAATCTGTGGCTGCCGCGCCAATCAATGTCATTTTTTTGTCCAGTATTCTCAACCAGGAAGGGGCATTTCCTTGTCACAAGTGTGACTATAGGTGTCATAATGAACACCTCTTCGGAAATATGTACCGATGCAGGCTAACTGGAATCACACACATCTGCGATAAAAACTGTAACCAGAGGATTCTGTATGATAATTATAGCTCCCTCTGCAGGGTTAGTGGGCAGGTTTTCCCTCTTTCACCAGTGGAACAGCAGGCATTGAGGGGCATCCGCAGGAAGCATGATGGAGAGAGTTCAGAGGGCTGTGCTTTTAAGCGCAGGCGAGATGCCCAGCGGCATCCTTCTCCTTTTGAGAGATCCTTCCAAGCTGTAACTCCAATCTGCAGTCAAATTGGAGACAGCATGGACATGAACTAGAGCAAATTTACCTCTTTTCTTTTCTTTTTTCATCATTTTCTCTTTCCTTGGGATGGAGACCAGGACCTAATCTGATGAGACTTCATGGTGGATCCCCAGCTGCAAGTTCATGTTATCTGTAGTAGTATGTTCCGAAGTATGTTCCATGTATGAGGGACTTATTGTAACTCTTAACTTTACCCGGAGCTTCATCAAACTATAATCACTCTTCGATTATCCCATCTGAATTGGGATGAACAATCTTTACTTTTAGTCATCTTTCTTGCTGTTGTTGTTTGTTGATCTGTTCCTACTCGATGTGAATGCCTCAATGATCCCCTTTTTTTTTTTTTTTTTTTCTTTACTCTGCTGAGAACCCCCCCCCCCCACCTTAATTACTGTGTCCATTTTTCTTCTCAGTTGTCTCTTCTTTGCTCTCCATTTCCTTCTTCAACTTAATTACTAGCTCCTGTGATTGATCTGTTATCATTAATGCTTGCTGTCATCCCTTCTGTTCCATCTTTCATTTGCCCATCGTTCTGACCTGCTGAATTGCTGTAATTGGTTTCCTGTGATACTCATACTCATGCCCTCTATTCTATTCTCAGTGGCAGGTTCCCCAAAAAGATTGCTAGTTATGGTTTGTTTCTTTGAAATCGTCGTTCTCTCTCTTGTCATCATCTATTTCACCCATCTGATCAACTACTGACTCCATTTCTATAATTGAAGGTATTTTGCAGGATATGGCGATGCAAACTCAGAAGATCACAGAATATATTATACATGAAATAATAAACATGCTTGTTGTGGATTCTGCATCGCTTCCAATGCAAAATCTCCTGATGTTCCCTTTGTTTCCTCTTGCGCAGGGATTGAAGCGATGAACCCTAATTGATTCCCCGGGCTTCTTCTGAGCTGAGCTATACTCACCAGAGCACAACCCAGCCCCCTCCCCCCCACAAGAACCTGATGATTCCCTTTCTGTAACTGCCCCAATGAACATCGCCAGAAGGGGCTTCCTGTTCGTGCAGAGGAGAGCTGCCACTTCGGGTTCTAGGGTTCTTCAGCACAGTCCATGTTGCTGAGAAGCAGTTGGATTATTGCTCTTATGTCTTTGTTTATACGAAATATTGAAATCTTCAGTTCTCAATGCTGGTTTACTCTGTTGTATGCTCTGCAAGTCAACTGGCATCCAATCCCCTGTGTCATTTTGATGGCACGTGTCAGGTGTAGAGGTGGGTCACTAAGAGCCGGGCACGGGCACGGGCCTGGCCCTTTTGGGTGGTTTCGGGCCGGACCTAGGCCAGCCCGTTGAGACTCTTGCGTCGTGTTGACTTTGGCGGCTTGAAAGTAAGTAGAAAATGAATGGATGGAACTTAGGTTGAGTGATGAATTTTGCAGCATGATAATGGGCGGGCCTAGTTTTGGGCCTGATGAAGATTGGCTGGGCTGATTTTGTTCGGGCCTAGGCCCAGAATCTTTCTATTATTTTTCGGGTCAAATGTAAAACAGTGAAACAGTCTGGGCCATTTGGGCTCATGTTTTGTGCCCATGGGCTTGTCGGGTCAGTTCGCCGTGCTTGGAAGGTGTTTGCTGGGCCCAAAATTTAAGGTCCCTGGAGCTATAAGAAGCGTGTTATCTGGTCCTCGTGGAGGAGCTCCGTTCCCGCCACAGCCACAGAGGGGAGGGACGGTTCGCAGTCGGCGAGGCCTAGCGCAACCCGGAGATGGAGCTGGCAAGTCTGCCTTTGACATTCTCGGCTTCATCAGCGCGGCAGCCCCGTCTTCCCCGGCGGTTCCTGCCGCTTACAGCCTCCGCGAAGCTGCTGCAGGCTCGCTGGAAGGGGGGACAGCTGAAGGCAGGGGGTCGCCGGATATTTTTATACGCCGTGACAGCCGACGCGTCTGCCGTTACGGTTCCGCCTCTCGTACTGTTATTCCTCGTATTCTTCTTCCTTCGGCGAATCCTTGTGGTTTACTCCTGTCTTTGTGCTTGCAGGCGGAGGCGCTGGCGGAGCTGGAGAGGAAGAAACACGATCTGTTGAGGGCGGTACAGGACACAGGACGGGGCCTCGTAGCCACTGTCGATCAGCGATCCACCATTGAGGAGGCCTTGGTACGGGCCACGGTTGCATTTACCTCTTCATTTAATTCATTTTATATGCGAGATCACGGGAAACTCTTTGATTGATATTTCTCTTTCCACCCTTCCTTATCGTCCGCTTGGAACATCGGAGATCTGCGTCGAAGGGTACAGCGCTGGCTCGGGGGTGGATCTGGCGAAACTCGATGGTACATGGCGCCTGGTCTACACCTCTGCCTCAGATGTTCTCATCCTGTTTGAGGCTGCTGCCAGGCTGCCTTTCCTAGAGGTCCCTTCTTGATGTCCACCATTTTCGGGTTGTTATATTATCCCTTTAACATTGAATTGCCTGTGACCATGGTTTAACTCATTACAGGGAATGCTGGCGTTTTGTGTAGGTGGGACAGATCTATCAGAAATTCGAATGCAGGGATCGATCAGATGGAGGTATAGTTCGTAATGTTGTACGCTGGAGCATTTCCAACCTACTGGAGGTGAGTTTCACTCGGAAACTATGCCCTTTTAACTTTTATAGACAACCTGCATGTTGACACAGCAGCTCAATATGGATGACACGAATTATGGTTTGTCCATCCTCCTACCATTATTAAGCACGAATAAATAGCAGGCTTATCAGTGTTGAGCGTGAACTCTGTGGTTGTTTAATCTCCTTAATGTTAAAGTAAATACTGACGCACCTACAAAAACGAATGAGTTTAGAAAAAAATGATTTCAGATACTTAGAAAACATTATTTAGACAGATTTCTCACAAAGTTATCTGATCTCTATTGGTTTTACTTTTCTGTGAAAGCTTTAGCGTATGATACTCGAATCAAGCTCTCCCTGGAAAGTCTATATTTATTGTCGTATCAGCTAAGATCAAATGCATTGTTTTGTATCGATTATTTTTTCTCTGTTATCATAACATTAATGATGGATGGGCTTCTGCCTATTAAGTTCTCGGAACAAGTGATACCTACTTACGAACCGTATTCTTCTTGCAAATCCTGAATCAGCTATGACTCCCTGTTAAATTTAATTTCTTGAATTTATGTCAGAAATATGCTAGGAGATTTGAGGCGTGATTTGATGATCTCAACGGGGATCTTGAATTCATACAAATCGCAGCTCACTCGCAGCTGATGGGTATTTTTAGGAAAAATTATTCTTATAATTTCTGTCAGAAGCTATTGGAGAGTAATTATTTCATTTTTTAATCATCATAAGGTGATATTAATTATATTGATGCAGATGCTAAGTTGAAAGAAAGATAAAAAAAGTGGAGTACTACACTAGTGAAGAGGTGATTGATGGACCTTGCAGTATCGAAACAAAGGGAGCATGTGCTATTGATTCCTAGAAAATCTTTTTATATCATCTACGAAGTGTACTCATTGGAAGTCAGCATCCAAAGAAAAATATCCTACTAGGAACTGATTCTGGCCCACCAATCTCCCGTCATCAGACTTTGATGGACAGCTTCATTCAGAGATGTAGGGATTTCAAAAATTCCCGTGTTGACCTAATGCTGGCACCTTCAATCCTGTGTATTGTCGTGGATTTCAATCTGACTAAGAATGTTTGACGAGTTTGTGAAGTTCATCGGCCCATCATCATTTTCTACTCGTAATAATGGTTGTCTTTAAGCGTATTTGCTCTTTTTTTCACTTCACTTCCTATTATTTTTCAATGATCATTGACCTCTTCTGGGGGAGATGAGACCACGGAGTTCTTGAACTGGATTTCAGACAAATTGTTGGAACTGGAACAATCCAGTTTATGTTTAACCATAGGTAATTAGTTGTTTGATCAGATTCTAAATTCCTTTCCCACTGGGAAATTTGAGGGGGAGATTCATCAGTTGAAAAGTTATAACTACCTCGTTGATTTGGATTAGAAATGAACAATATTTTTTCAATTTGAAAAGTTATAAACTACCTCGTTGATTTGGATTAGAAATGAACAATATTTTTTCAATTGGAATTTCCGTGTGGGCATGACAGAGGAAAGTAAAAACATGAAATAAATGTTCTGCTATGCCATATTTAGTTCGTCCTTAATACTGCACTTCCAGGCTACCATCTTGAATCATCCTACAGTTTTGAGTGTGGATTACCGTTCAAGTTTACGATTTTAAACAGTTTTTGTTTTAACCATTTATTATCTTACCATGTTCTGTCTATCCAATGAAAATAATTTTCTTTTCGCAGGAACAGGAAGGTGCAACATTATTGGTTTCTGCAAATTTTTCTCTTCGCTCCAAGCGTAACATTTTTCTTCAGTTTGAAGAAGTAAGCTTCATTCATTGGCATACATTCATGGAGTTGAAAAATCTCAATTTTGTTTTCTAATGTGTGTAAGAGGCTGATGTATATGCAAAAATTAGACCGATGGAGGATCTACTTTTCGATATTTGTTCTTTTTATTGACCTACACCCATATTTTATGCCAGGCAGCCATTGAAAATATACACATCAGTGAAGAGCTCCAAGCATTAGTTGCACCAGCCATACTACCCCGGACATTTTTAAGTTTGCAGGTGAATCTTTTGTGTCGTTTTAATTAATATTTTTTCTCTTGGATTACTGAGATGAACTTACCTGTTTAGCGGTACTTCTGAAACTTGGACCTAAAGCCTGGTCAGTGCCTGTCATTCTGATAACATTAGGCTACCTCTCTTGCTTCTTGAACTGAGCTCCATAAGCCAACTGCCATTTGGGCTGTCGGCCTACTCCCTACATTTTCGTTTCCTCAAAGTTGCATGTGCCTGTTAAAAGTTTGAAGATGATCAATATTTTTGAGAGTGTACATATATGTTGATATCGATATTGTTGGGTAGGATCGCTGTTTTATAGAAGAACTGATAAAAGGAAGGGCCATTATCATGACCTAACTGTTACAAATATGATCAACTGACGTTTTATTTCCTGCCCTTTGCATTACATTTTTGGAATAATCATCTTTCTAAACTCCTCTTTTCCGTCAGGATAAAAGAACAGAGATATTCGTGCTGTTTTCCATTTGTCCTTGACAATATGATCAGGGTTCATAGAAATGAGAGGAAAAGAAAAGTTATCGGAAGAAATGTGCAGCTGGTGCAGATCTACACAGATGACGGTAATAATTTGAAAGAATGAAAAAGATTAATGAAGGATGAGCACCTAAGTGGGTGGCACATGGATGACATCAATAAGAAAAATGCATCACTCCAATCATTTTACAGCAAATATTCCTGTATAATAGGCAAATAGCGGAAATGTGATACAGTTTTAGAAGATTGCATTCAGTATAATGACCAGAGAGAAGCAGTTTTGTGTTTAACAATTGGAAGAACAATGAAAGCACTGTTGTGAACAGATTAGATCTAGTGTCAAACATTTATCCTTGATCCACGGATTAGATAAACATATCTGTTGCAAGTCACACCTACCTCATAGATTTTTTACTAGATCAAAGGCTTTATTTTTTGGCCCATTAGTTATGATTTTGTATACTAGAGATGCCGCTATTATATTACTTAAGAATATAATACTCTTTAATACAGCGAATCTTTACTCAATAATGGTGCCAATTCCTCACAGATACTCCAGTTCTTCCGGACATTCAGAGCTCAATTTCCCTTGAGAAGCTCAGGCAGGTACATCCTAGGAGCTTATCACCATGCTACCTCTTCCATTTCGTCTAAGATTTCGTGTCCTGGGATAGTGATCTTGATCATTTGCAGCCAATCTCTGGCGGGGCTGTATTACCTATCATATTTGGACCGAGATATGCTCCTGGGTCGAGCTGTTGGCGGTGGCGGTGTGTTTGTGTTCACCAAAGCTCAGCCGCTTGCATGAAGGTGTGCTTGACCTTCTCCCTCCACTATTTTATGCCTAGAGATAGCCTTTGTCTTTACCATTTCCTCCCAAAGTGGAAAAAGGTGAACATAAAGCTCAGCTCATCATGCGATGTTAATTTATTTTTCCACAAAACTGTGTAAATCATGGGAATACCAAAAATACAATACTCCCCCCTTTTACAATGGTAGAAAGTGGATTATCCTCCAAAAAAAAAAATTCCCCATAAATTCATATATAACATTGAGCCATCTCTTGTAATGCTCATGACAGAAGTAGAAAATCAGAATGGAACAATGACTCTTAACAAATTATATTATCAGAATTTATTGATACTTAGTGTGGTCACTACAAAAGTAAGTGGATTTAAACTATGGAATTGAACTCTTAATTATCTGCCTTATGATTAGGGTGGAAAGCTCTTCTTACTTGTGACAGTTGACTTGCTTGTTTTTGGCCCATGTCTCTCAATATGTGACGTGACTTAGTCGATGTATAGTTAAATCACACAAATTTAAAATTTATAAAACTAGAAAATATTAATTTTTAAATATTTAGAAGTATTTTTGAATAAAATATTAATTATAATTTAATAAAATTGTAAATAAATAAATAAATTAGGTCAATCACATAGATGTAATATAATATCGGATAATTTTTCATAATTTTTCTCAAAGAATGTAATTTTTTATAAATTTTAGATTAAGAAATAAAAATAAAATATATTTAAAATTCATAAATAAGAAAAATAATAATGTGGATGTTAGGATGACGTCGACGAACGACAAATACAAATGGGGTGAAAATAAAGTTTTGTCTGACAATTCTTATGTAAGTGATTATAAATAATTTAATTAATTAAATTAAGATCTATAAAAGTCAAAAGAATCATAAATGAATGAAAAAAAGTTTGCTAAATTTAAATCATATAAATTATTATTAAATGAACTAAAAATTAAATTAAAAGTAGGAAAATAGAGTTCCGACGTTGCAATGGTGATACATCGATGATGTATCGAAATCTTAAGTGTTTGAAAGAATTATTATATAATGTCTATGGCCTCAAAGACTCTTCTTGAACAAGAATGATGTGGGTAATCTCTAGATCTTTTCACAAAATCTAAAGATCAATAAAATAGGTCGTCGAATTATTTCTAGCGGTTGTCACCTGATAGAGAAGAGTTGAATGGAAGTGGGGCGTTGACGTGACTTAGTCGTTATATAGTAAATCACATAAATTTAAAATTTATAAAACTAGAAAATATAATTTTTCAGATATTTAGAAGTATTTCTGAATAAATATATCAATTATAATTCAATAAACTTCCAAAAATAGCAGTAAATTTCTAGGACGATCATAAGGATGTAATAGAATATTGGGTAATTATTCACAATTTTTCTCAAAGAATACTATTTTCTATGAATTTTATACTAAGAAATAAAAATGAAATATATTTAAAATTCATTAAAAAGGAAAATAAGGGTGCAGACGTTAGGATAACGTTAGCGCTTGGCAAACGCGAATCGGGCAGAAATAGAGTTCCACTCAATAATTCTCACGTAAGCGATTATAGACGATTTAATTCATCAAATTAAGATCTGTAAAAGTCGGAAGAATCGTAATTGAATAAAGTATATCTTGGTAAATTTAAATCACATAAATTATTACTAAATAAATCATAAATTAAGTTGAAAGCAGAAAAATAGAGTTCCGACGTCGCGGTGTTGATGTGTCGGTGATGTACTAGAATCTTGAGCATTCAGGAGGATCGTCGTGCAGCGTCCACGGCCTCGAAAGCTCTCTTTAGATAAGGACCACGTGGGCAATCTCTAGTCTCTTTAAGAAGTCTAGAGATCAATGAAATGGGTCGTCAAATCGTCTCTAGTGGTTGTCACCCGACAGAGCAGAAAAACAACGACTTTGCGGCTCTTTGGCGACTGTCACCTAACAGAGAGGAGTTGGATGAAGGTGGGGCATGTGTCAGGGAGCTTCATCCTCATGTTCGCGTAGTAAAAGGAGGTTCTTCATCGCATCCGGTATGCTCTCAGGAGGTGGCCACTTGTCTCTTAGTGGATCGTCTTCTTCCCGACGACGGCTTATTTGTTGATCAATCAGAGATACTTTACTTGATAGATTCGCAATCCTTTTATTGTGAATCATTCAACAATTTTAGTAACAATGCTCCGTGAATCGTATTGACGAGATTTTCACTGATGATCCAGCAATTATGGTGGCTTAATCCTTCACTGGCAATTTGTAGGAAAGTCATGATAATGAGTAAAAAAAAAAAGAGTTTTGGCTCTAGGAGGATTTAAACTCGCACCGATTGCCCTGCCCTTTTGCGGGAAGGTGTGACGTGAGTTTAGTCCCACATCACTTGTGCACAGAAGTTTTTGGCAAATATATAATAATATTACTTTTACAATCAAGTCCCTTTCTCGCGCGTGTACGACCACGCCTTGCCCCATAGCCGCTAGCCACCGATGACGTGGAAGGGAAGTGGTGAACACATGCCCCTATCGGTCCTAGCCACTTGAGCCTTTGCTCGTGGCTACTCCCTGACTACGCTTCCGACCCACTTGCGGACCCGACTGGCCGATGAGTGCCCCCCATTTTACTATATTTTTATTTTTATTTCTTTTTCTTTATTTATCTCAAAAGTAAGATTATAAAAATTATATAAATTCATATAAAATCACATAATTACCCAAAAATTCACGTTAATCAGTTGAAAACTACTTTTCACACTTTAACACAAATATAAGTCTATTTATCATGAGTTAAGGCTAAAACTATATTATTTACTAATTATTAACTCATGATAATGAAGACTTATCAGGCACGTGTCAAAGAGCTTCATCCTCAAATTTGCACAGCAAGAAGAGGTTCTTCATCGCATTTGGTAAGCTCTCAAGAGGTGGCGACTCATTTCCTAATAGATCATCCTCTTCTCGACAATGACTTATTTATCGATCAATTAGAGATACTTTACTTAATGGATTCGTTATCCTTTTATTACAAATCATTTAACAATTTTTATAATAATATTCTGCGAGTTGTGTTGACAAGATTTTCGCTGATGATCAAATAATTCTTGCGACTTAATCCTTTACTAGCGATCTACAAGAAAGTCGTGATTTAATCAGATAAAAATACAAGCTCTGTCTCTAGTAAGATTCAAACCCATGCCGGTCACTTGCTTGTATGAGAGAGAGTGAAATAAGTACTCTAATATCTTTATAAAATGATGTCATCATGGTATATCATTGTTATAACTAAGAAGTACTTTAGACATTAAAATAAATGAAATCATTTCGGAGGTATGACTCGGGTTTAGTCCCACATCAATTGTATGTCAAAGTTTTAGACGAATATATAATAATATCAAATTTAGAAGCAATGAGTCCCTTTCTCGCATGTACGACCACTTCTTACTACACAGTCAATTAGTCACCAGTGACGTGGAATGGGAGTGGTACACATGTGACTCCATCGGTCCAGCTACTTGAGTCCTTACTCGTAGCTCTGCCTAACTGTGCTTCTGACCTACTTGTAGGCCCGGCTGGCTAGCGGGTCCCCCCCTTTTTCTATTTTTCTATTTGATTTTCTTTTTTTCATTTATCTCAAAAATAAGATTATAAAAATCATATAAATTTATAGAAATTCACATAATTAACCAAAAATCACATTAATCAATTGAAAACCACTTTTTATAATTTAACACAAATATAAATCTATTTATCATGAGTTAAGGCTAAAACTATATTATTTATTAATTATTAACTCATGATAATGAAAACTTATCAATATGTTATCTTTATTCCCCAAGTAAAGAAATTATCAAGATTATCTTATTTTTGTCAACCTTTTTTGATGATTGAGCAAGTGTTGTCCCAACCATGTCATCCTCAAGTGGTTGTCTTGCCTCTAATCGATTGAGGAAAGTGATATGAGAAAGGTAGCTTGTCCCAGATATAGCTAGAGTACACAGGTCTCCTCATCCTTATATGCTGAATACCCTCAAACTTTCTGAATTTGTCACTCTAAATGGCTAAATTTGATTAGACCAACCTAATTTAATCTTAACTAAGTGGTTTAGATTGTGCCAAGTATGTGAGGTATTGAAACACAAGTATGTTGAAGATCACTTATCTAGATGTCATCACTCTCCTATATGTGTGACATGTAGAACAATTATAAGAAAGATTGTTCTTAGGTATCACTACTCTGTGTTCTCTATAAAGACATGCAAGATTGCCTAATTGAGTTCTCTACAAGTTATTTAAATTGATTGTTTATTGATAATTGCATTGCACATTATAATCATTTTAAAAGGTATCTATTTATTGAAAAAGATTGATTTTTCAAAACTTTTAAGGTTTGCAAATTTATTGTAATTTTTTTCTAGTAAAATAAGAAAATTCTGCCAAAAAGGGTAGTGAAGACATCTATTGTGTCTAGACCTTTTGTAAGGATATCACTCCTATTTGTGAAATATCAGCTTATAACTCATCAAATGGAGCAATTGAAAGAAAAATAGTCTTTAATTGATATGGGTAAGTCTTGTTGAATGGGATTATTATTTTTTAAAATAAAAACTTAAAATGAAAGAATGAACAAACTCAAAATATTTGGATGTCTAGGTTTGTCTAATTAGGCGGGAAATGTACAAAAATGAGACTTGGACCAAAAGTCATAGGTATTGTTTTGATTGATTACATTGAAAACACTGACCTTTCATTCTATTGCGATGAAATTGGTCTTTAGAAAAGAAAAAATCACTAATGGAATAACCAATGGGTTCCAAGCTAAAAGTAAGGGATGCAGTTCAAAAGAATGCTATATTAGTTTTATGTGTACTATATTAAAAACTTGCTTATAACTGTTATGAGTTTTACAAGATTAATAATAGAAATGTGTCTATTGTAAGTGATCATTGTATGCCCATTATGCTCCTCACAAATAAGGGTACTTCAGCCCACCAAAAGGTGAGAGTGAGATGAAGAAAAATAAAACAAGAAAATTTAGAGAAAGATCTAGAAAAGATGTACCATTCCCACTACCCTCTTCTTAGAGTTTAAACTCAATTGTTGTGTCCTCATGCATGTAGAAACATCAAACATTAGTTACGAGCCAAACTTTTAATGACACCATCACATTAGAGTTTCTCTAGTGAGAAATCAAACAATTGAAACCTTCACAAAGTGAGGAATTCTAACTTTCTAGTGTTCTAGTTCTGGAAGATGATTCTTATTATAGATCCTAAGTTGGCTAGAACTTTGCAATCAAGTGGAAGATGACTGAAGCTTGTAATTCATTATGTATTTTACTTAGTATATAAGGGAACCCAAGGACATGGGAATATATGCATTACTCGAAGAGGAGAGTAGGTCAAGTGATCAAACACTAAGATTGTGTGAAATACGTTTTATGCTGTCAATATTCTATAGCCACACCATAGATTAAGAAATAAAAAAAAGGGTATTTCTATTCAGTCCTCGTTTTGGTGACACATTGTCATATAATATGCAGCAACGAGTTGAGAGTGATTTATGCCACTAGTTACTTGTATGCTAACATTTATTGACATTTGATTAAAATATTGAAATAATTTTCTGAATGTAAACTCATCTTCTTGACACCATTATCTACATTTGATAAATCATATTTTGATTGCCCAAAAATATTTTGATGATGCCAAATCCATATATAATAAAATAATAAAATCATATTTACATTTGATCAATCATATCATAAGAACCCATTCAAACAATCATATTTGAAATAATGATCATAAGATATTTGAAAAGTAACTGATGACATTTAAGGTGTGTACACATTCTCCTAAATTGGAAAAAATAATTTTCACTATGGCAAATGCACATGTAGTTTAAAGTGTTAAGAAAAAGATTTAAACTTAACATCATATGCCAATAATTTAAGAATAAAGACGTTGAATTCTTATGTCAAATCACTCTTTACTTTTGAAATATATTATTCTTAAGACCGGAATTTGACATTATGATTATTAATTCTAGGAAAATATAAATGATAGGGTTAAAATGCTCATATAAAACCTCAATTGCAGTATTGTAGATTCATTATTTTATTTCAGTGAATATTAACGAATTACCATTATGCCTATTGGAGCTCGCTTTGCACATTTGATCTATTATTATCATATATGTACATATCATGGCTTCAACTATTTGTTATTAGGCTAGATAAACAATATACTTGTGGAATTATAGGGGCATCATCTTTGATATTTCTATTGGATTTTCTATGTGGGAAAGGGGACTGTTGAGGAGATGAAAGAGAAAGAAAGATCATATCGAAACTATTGATCCCAAGTTGGCAAGATAAACTAAGAGAGGGGTATTATTTTTAATTTTTCTAATTATTAAATTTACAATCTTTTTAGTAATCTTCCTTTTAATGAATTAGGGGTGGCTCACATATAATTTCTATATTGGAGGAGAATTTTACAATCAATAAAAGGTTTTTAAAGTACTTTAGCTTGTGTGACCTATGTCTACTTCACAAGTCAACTAACTTTAGGTTTTCACCAACCATACCTTGTGATTATAGCTGATTTATGAGCTCAACTCTCCTTTCGTCATATAATCCTCAAGTCTACATATCTATGGTAGAAGCTACACTTCCAGTAGCCTTCACTAAGACGTGAGCACATCACATGCCTCACGCTCTATGAAGCACATCTTATGATGCAGTTAATTTAACACCAATCTAAGTGCATCAAATGACACATCCTAGTTTCAGCCTAGTTCAATTGGACTAGAAGCTCAGAATGTCTAAAAGATGTAAGCTGATGCAGATTTAGTTCAACATGGTATAATAAGAGTTTGGGACTTTTCTTAAATGTCTAAATTTAATTTTCTTATTTTTTTTATTAGTTTTCTTAGTTTTCAATATTAGGCGCCCAAATAACTCATTTTTGTTTAAGATGGCCCTCTATTTAGGCCAAGAAGATTCTATCTATTCTATGAATTTTATTCTCCCTTTTGAGGCCTTTGCTAGTGGACTTCAACAACCCTATGGATTCAAAGAATGTTTTCTTGATCATTTGGACTTAGGATCAAATCCTTGTGTACTCAAGGGTCAAAGTTTCCTCATTTTATAAACTTAGGGTGAAGAACTTAATAGTAATAAAGTCATTGTGGATTCAGATCTCAAAAATCTACTACGTCAACTATGTCAAAGTATAGCTACATCAAATTGTATCATAGTAAGGTCAATGTTATAGATTCAATATATGAAGATGTTAGAAGGTAAAGTATTATTGATCAACAAAATGAAGCTTTTTAATGTATGATTTATTTCAAGGACAGCATTTGTTTATTTTCAACAATGTATTGAATGAAATGTTGAACTTATAAATGTTATATTAAAATAAAGTTCATTATGAACGTATGCACTAAAATTTCATTCTTAAGCCCAAACTACTTAAAAGGAAAATGATTTGTCATTCTCACCAAAAAAAATCAAATGACACAGAAAATTCAAAAATTAAATCCAATAATGATGATCGTAAATATTTTATTCATCATCCTATAATTAAAAATTATCCTAGATTAAGTTGTAGAAGTTGAAATATTTTTTAAATATATGAAAATTTCTGATGATCAACAAGTTAACCTAGTTACACATAAACTAAGAGGAGGAACATCTTTTATGGTGAAATCAACTTCAAATCATGTGTGAGAGTAAACAAAGATCTAATACAACATTCAAAAAAGGTGAAGGAATTATTGAAGTCTAGCTTTCTTCTCCAAGGTTAAGAACATATTTTATATCAATAGTACTAAAATTGTATATTGAAAAAAAACTCTATGACAGAATATGATGAAGAAGTTTATAGACTCTCTTCTAAGGTTGAGTTGATTGAATCTGAATCCTATATGATCTAAATTTAATTATGATCTTAGATGAGATCTTGAGTAAACGATTGTCTTACAATCAATTTGTAAGTTAAATGACATTGTTCTACCATCTGAATGTGTTTAACATTTATTGGAAAAGGAAAGTTAGATCTCAAAATTCTAACATTATGCCAAAATTTTATGCTAACAAGTCAAGATGAGCATCCATGTCATTTGTTTCAACTACTTAAATAGGAATGACCATTGCTACACCAAAATCGAAAGGATCGATTCCATCCAAGTGAGTTCTACACAAAAAAATCTTAATGTGTAAAACGCTGCTAAGTCAAATATCTATCCCAAACTTGGTTGGTGAATTTCGTATAGGCTATTGAAGAAGAAGATGATAATAGAATAGAAAGTCAAGATGAAGTTCATGAAAAAATTATTAAGAGTGATGAAGAGGACTATTCTTATTTTCTATTGATCAGAAGGTTGATGTACACACCAAAGAAGGATGATGATCCATAAAAACATTATATATTTTGATCAAGATGTACTATGAATGAAAATTCAATGATTGTTGTAATAAGGGAAAATATTTTTTCCTCTAATATGGTGCAAAAATTAGGATTGATGACATAAAAACATCATCATCCACATAAAATTCGACGCAATAAAAAATATTCTTAGACAAAAGTTACAAAGATAAATTTGGTAAAATTTTAACTAGTAAAGTTTATTTTGATCAAATTTTAATTGATAAAATATGTCACCTTATTTTACAAAGGTCATAACAATCTTGTTTGGATGTAACTCATCAAGGTACAGAAAATTACTGTCTTTAATAACAATATTCTGAAATTTTGATGTCCAATACAAGAAATTAATTTCCTTAATACTATGAAAGTGAAAAAACAAGTGATGATGATTGATAGGGCAGACTTTTTACAAATTTGACTGAAATATCTAAATTATTTGAACCTTTCAGAAAGATGGAAATATATCAAAATCTTCAAATTCTATACTTGAGGCTTTACAAAAAGTGTTGAATGAATTTTAATGCAAAATTTACCCAGTCATCTTCCTCCAATGAGAGATATAGAGTATCACATTAACCTAATTCTGAAGTCGAGTTTACCAAATTTGTCTCATTATAGAATGAGTTCCATAGACATCAAAATTACATGAAATATATAGAAGAATTGTTAGAAAGGAATTTTATTTGTGAAGGTATGAGCCCATGCTATGTCCTTATGTAGTTAGTTCAAAAAAAAATAGAAACTAGGATATGTATAGTTTGTAGGGAAATTAACAAGATGACTATCAAATATATATTTACTACTCTAAGATTAGATGATAGTTTGTTATCTTGTGTACCTCAGTAATTTTTAAGAAAGTAGATCTTAAATATGGTTATTTATTTTTAAGACTAAAATTAGAATTTATGAATGACTGCTAATTTTATTTCCCATATCAAGTGAAAAAGCACATTTATGAGAGTGATGAGTCAGATAATATAACCATTTATTGAAAAAACAATTATGATCTATTGATATCTCTTCAATTGTTGTAGACAAATTAGTCAAATTTTGAATATTTATAAACAAATTTAAAACAAGAATTTAAACTTTTGTGAATTCAGGTCATCCACAAGAATGCTGGTCAGTCTTGATATGATTTTTTTCATTTAAAATAATTTTTTAAATAAAAATAAATAAGGAAGATTAAAAAAAAAATCTTATCCACGCTTTAAGTCTTCCAAGTTACTTGAGCTCTAACTCTTTGAATTTTGATGTGTTACCACATTCAACATTCATAAGTAACTCAAGCCTAGTAAAACATTCCAAAGAAAATTTCAGAGAAAAATGGAAAAAAAAGAAACCCAAATGACAAAAAATCGACATAAAATTGAAAAAACAAGGGAGGAGAGAGAAAATATGATTGCATGCAAGGTGTCTACACAAGTAGTGAAATGGAAACTGAGTAATAGTTCCAAATAAATCACTTTGACCTTGATTAATTAAAATTTCATCAGAAAATCATGAAAATACTAGTAGAAAAACCAGAAAATGCCGATAGAGTGACTTTGCTAGTAGAGAAATAAGAAAATATTTCACAACTTAAATCTATATAAACTTGACTCATTTATGAAATTAAATTTCCTCGAATGATCTTAAACAAGCTATGCATTAGAATCACTCTCTTTCTCTAGCACAAAAGATATTGGACATTCAAATTGATTTGCAGGAGATATTGGACATTCATTCTCTTAAAATTTTGTTTTTATTTTTATTTAACTTTCATTTTAACATTATATTTCTTTAGAAAATTAAATAATTTGTTTAAAATACCATTGTATAACCCAATATTTACTTTGAAAATAAATAAAATCATCCATGTTGATTCAACTTGGACTCACTAACATTTCATAATTTTATTTTAAGAGTTCAATCATAAATTTAAAATTACATGCATTGCTTAATCTACAATGATTAGTGTGCATCAAATACAAGGTTCAACTATCACATAATTTCACCCTAACTTCTCTTTTAGATTCACAACCATAGAACGCCTAGTGCTGACTACAAGGATCATTTCTCCTGAATTATAATTAAATATTTAATCATATTTTTTTTGACACAAGGAAGAATTTCACATGAGATATTTCTAGTCCTTGGTGTTCACTTGAATTGCACTCGATTTATTTCCTCCTCTTAATATGGAAAAGTTGGCTGAATGTAAAAAATATTGGTGGTTTTATCAGGTCATGAATAATTGTTCATTGATCAATGTAATCTCATCAACTCATTGTTTACTTGAAATTTGACCCAGCTTCAATGACCCCTCAAACGTGACAAAGGGAAGAGAATGAATCTAACGTAATCAAATGATAGAATAAATGATAAAATTAGTTTGAATGAAAAGTTAATCTATCTATGGCTAGGATTATAAAGATGTCCCAAATCTAGATCTTACACAAACCTTATTGTGCATTAGTCCTAGGCCAAGTGATTCTTGATCCGTGATGATTTTGATGTGATCTAGGTAATCTCTTCTCCACGATGATCTTGAGCACAAGAATGTCATTGATCAGGCTTTGATTTCTCTTCTATTTTCTTCGACTAGCCACTACTAGAGAGAGTTAAAAAGTACCTTCCAAGAAGGGGGTGAGATGTCTTAATTCTCTCAAGAAGTAGGCCCCTTCAATTGATGGTTATGATTAATAATTGACTCTTTTAGTGGACGGCCCGGATTTTTCTATGAAAGCGATGCTCTAATCATACTCTTAATCTCATCTTAAGGCACCCTAAGATGTGCAGCCTAGATCTCATCTCTTGATAGTTGTTTTAGGTCTAAATGGGCTAATCCAAAGTGATGTGCTCTCTTGGGCCCATAAATATATTAGGTTGGCCTTCTCCATAAGACTTCGGGTTTTCATTGGGGTGAAGGCTTAAGTTTCTTCTAATTCTAACTCATAAGTCTTTGCAATCAAATAATTATAAAAAAAATATAAGAAAATCATCACTTGACTTTATAAAAGTCTGGTGAGGTTAGTCTCATAATATAAGTAAAATAATATATATTAAGATTTAAAATTATATAATATTATGAATGTCATAATGAATTAATAACACATGTATAATTATATTTTCTATCAATTAATTAGTATCTATATATGAGATATTAATATATAGATACAACTATTAATTCATAATTATGAATGGACTTTACTTTCAGTCTTATATCCAACCCGATAGAGATCATAGCAGTGTTGAACTATATACATTATGTCATATTACTTTATGTGGATAATATATAGTATATTATTGTGTATGAGTCCTTAGAATAAAAATACTAGCCTTGTCAAGCTAGATAATATAAGAAAATAAGACGTAAGCCTAGGGGATACAAACTTATTTAATGACCGATCAATCTCGGCTGAAAAATTATTGTATGGATGATATGTACCTCCTAGCACACAAAGAAGGGTTCATCTCAACATGTAAATTGGTTTCTATTTAACTTTTGAAGAAATCAAGGGCTTGTGGTGGTTGACTTGAAAATTAAATTTAAATATTGGTTCTGGTTCTTTCTTGTATTCCTTTTAATTAACAATATGCTTGGAACTGCTGCATGCATCTATTAAAGGGAAGGCTCCAGTGGTGGAGGGTGATGGTGACTCCTGATGATGAAGTTGCAGCTGTTCTATAGAAATTCATCATCGTTCATAAGTTTACAATAGATATAGTAAAAATGGAATTATTTTCCAAAGTTGGTTGTATCTAATTCAAGGGTTTGTGTGCTTTTCAGCTCCCTTGGATTGTTGAAGTTAGCGACAAATCCAGAACTCGTTGTTAAATTTATATGCTGCTGAAGATTATCAGCCTCTTTTTTCCAGTCTCTCGGTCTAATTAAGCATATTCCAAATATTATTTTTACCCAAAAAAGATTAAATTACTCTCTCTCTCTCTATCTCTCTCTCTCTCTCTCTTCCTCCCCATCGAGTCCATTGGAACAACGTCCCTGCCACCCATGAGGAAGAGGGAGAGAGAGAGAGAGAGAGAGAGGCTGCCCAAGTCCAAGCACATAGGGATCCTGTATCTGTATTAAACTATGTGATGATATTCATACCTACGACTCCGAATCAAAAGTTTTACCCTAATCAAGTTTGCAATAACATAATAAAACATGGCGTAAACCAAGTGATCACGGCTGAAGCTGTTTGGTCCTCAAGCTTCTTCCTCCGGAGAAAGGTAACAAGGGTTTGATAAAGATGAGGTTCCTGTAAAGATTGCTTTAGAAAAAAAAGGTATGTTGATCCCAAGAAACACATGGGGCCGGTTTGATAAACTAGGGTTAACCTAACCTTGATTCCGGATGTTACTTGATCATATCTTTTTTTAGTCTTTTTAGCTTGATAGCAGCCAAAGTAGGGTTAAGCGATCTGGTTTCTACTATTCTTACAATTTTAGTCCAATAAGTTAACGCGGCTTTATTCGTGTTTATCTCAAACCAGGCTCCACAAGGGTTCTCTCCTCCACCATCCGAGCTTACGGAACTGGGATGACATCTGGGTTATCCACGACCAAACAAGGATAATCCAGGCTAGTCATCCAGTTCCAACCTGGCAAGTACCGACGACTTGTGTGACACCCGACGTCCGTTTTATTTATTCATTTCGTCGTATGCTGCGGTGACGGTGAATCTCGTGGCAATTTCGTCGTATGCTAAATGCGTCATCATTTGGAGTTCACAATAGAACATCACTTGAAGGAAGCAATTTTCCTCCATGGCGAATACTTATTTTATTGATCTTGCCGAAGGCATCAATGACGGGTTGGTGATTTCAACTTTCTCTGTAAAAAAAAAATGTGAACTTTTTTATTTATTTAATCTATTCAGGAGGGGAGGAAGAAAAAGCTCATCCGAGTGAATAAGAAATCGTGAATTTATGTAGACGCTGCAACTTCTCTGCTCGCCATTATCCAATCTACCCTGATCGAGAGGTCGACCAGGAGAAGAACCCACCTTTCAGAACGGATAGGGAGGAGGAGGGTGGGAACGGCCGGAAGGATCTTATCACGGTCGGGTCAATCTCACAGGACCTCTGAAGATCACCAATGGTGTCCCCAGGACGACCGGGAGTGGTAGCTTGCACGGCTCTGCTCCCATCGTCTTCCCTAGCATTATGCAACGGCCGCTGCTGGAATTATGCAGGTCAAGAGAGAACGGACAAGAAGAAACTACGGATAGGGAGGAGGAGGGTGGGAATGGCCGCAACGGTCTTTTCACGGCCGGGTCAATCTCACCGGACCTCTGAAGATCACCAATGGCGTCCCCGGGAGGACCGGGAGTAGTAGCTTGCACGCCTCCGCTCTCATCATCTTCCCTGGTATTAATCAACCGTCGCTGCTGGAACAGTACAGGTCAAGATGGAAAGGACAAGGAGAAATACGGATAGAAAGGAGATTGGGAACGACGGCAAGGATCTTTTCACGGCCGTGTCAGTCTCGGCGGCAGCTCTGAAGATCGCCAGTGGCGTCCCCCGGAGGCCCGGGAGTAGCAGCTTGCACGCCTCCGCTCACATCATCTTCCCTGGTACTAATCAACCGCCGCTGCAGGAAGACTACAAGTTAGAAGGAAAGGACAAGGAGTAGCTCTGGATAGAGAGGAGGCTGGGAACGGCGGCATGGGTCTTTTCACGGCGGCTCCACCGAAGGTCGATTTTCGCCGGCGAAGGTCCCCGCCGGATGGATAAATCGGGAATCCCTCGCACGCCTCCTCCGCCACGGATGGGGTCGAGACAATCACCGACGAGGAAGGTCGCCCTCACCGTCCGGAGCCGGAGCCATCGCTCTCGGGCCGCCGGCGATCCCTTGCGGCGGAGGAAATAGTGAAGACGATTAATAAACTCTGCGGTTGTCCACAGTTCGGCAGCCGGTTGACACTTCCGGCGGTCCTCGTACGACTGGTTCCACCTGTTCCTCGTCGGCTTCCTCGGCTCCGTTGAAGATCCCCACCCCCCCCCACGGAGTTGGACGGGGACAACGAACCCTAAACGCGTCGGTGGGAATCCGTCAGAGTCTCGAGCCGGCCGATCCTTCATTTCCCGACAGCGACCGGGAATCCTAGAGACCACGCGGCCGTTTGATCGGCGATTCCGTTCTTCTCCGATGCGGTCAGAATCCCTTCGAGTCGTCGTCCGGAATGGAAGATCTGAACGAGAAGATCGGAGAGTATAGACAGCGACATAGACATCGTCCGTTGCAAAATCTCTGTGAACTCTACGTCTTCGGAGACTCGGACCGGGAGCATCGAGCGAGAGAAGGGATGAGAAAGAGGATGAGAAAATCGGATGAGCAATTGGATGAGAAAAATATAGGAAACTTTTATCTCATTTGAACTGCATCACGAAATATTTATCATCACCAATCTATATGTACAAAATACGTAGCAATCTCGTCGGGCCGTCCACCTACGACCGGGCGCTGAGGACGCCGGCGGCGACATGCAGTGGCGGAATTTGCCCGTAACGGGAGAGCTGCTCCATGAGGGACTGGATCTGGAGGAGGTAGGCCCTGGCCTGGCCGACGGCCTCCGCCTCCAGATCTCCCAGCTGGGAGCAGAGGCGCTCCTCCGCCTCCTCCGCCACGCGGAGGCGCTCTCTCGTCCGATCCAGCTCCCTCCGCGCCGCCTCCTCCCTCTCCCGGCTCTGCAGCAGCTCCTCCTCCAGCTGCTTGTTCCTCACCCTCATCCTCTCCGCCGCCTCCCCCTCTTCCGCCACCGCCACCTTCCCCAGTGCGCGGAGATCGCGAGCGGGTACCGCCGTCGTCAGAGCCATCTCTATTCCCAAGAGGAGAGAAGGTCCCGGGGTGGTGGTGGTGGTGGTGGTGGTGATGGTGCCGACGAGATCAACTTTGAGGAGAGAGAGACGGTGGGAGATCGGATATTTATAGGCGAACAAGTGTCCCGATTCATTGCATCTTACGTGGACGACTCGAAAAACCACTTCGCGCCACGTAGAAAGCTGAACTTTGGGCGCCCTCAAGTAGGGCCCCATGGAAGCCGTCGTGGGCCCCACCACATCTGGGGCATTCGCATATGCCCCAGTCTGAGTTGCCTCTCTCTCTCTCTCTCCGACGGTTCCACACGCTGCCTGTCTCTCTCTCTCTCCCCCTCTTCCTCTCTTGCGTGCCAATATCAACTCGCGCCGAAACATGAAACATCGACGAATGTGTGGACGGTCGAGATGGAGAGAACGTCGATCGAACGCTCGACAGGCTCAGGCGAGTTGCTGACGTGAGTGGATTCGCCATGATCGCAACACTGCCCCCCGGAAAAAAATTCATTATTCCGGCTATTTATTTTAAAATGACGTCGTAGTAAAATAATACTCACTAGATCCGTCGTGTAATTACAACCAACACTATTAAATGTCAAATAAATAATTAAAAAACAATAAATGTGCCTACAATAATTCCCTCTTTCTCTCACACTCTTCTCTCTCTGTGGGGTCTCGGTGAGGGCACAGACGGCGCCATGATCGAGAATTGTGTTCGGACCAAGTCAGAGTTTTGTATTGCTACGTTACGGTTCGGCGACCACTCACGTGATGAGCCGCCGACCTGTCTCTCTCTCTCTCTCTCTCTCTCTCTTTCTGAGTGGTGAGATTGTCTTAATTAGGCTCTACTTCACCGGGTTTCCCACCTTGAGGCTCATTTTTTTCCGGGCTTTTCCGAGGGCCCAAATGAAATCCGGGCCTTGAATGATACCCAAGTTCGAGCTGGGCCTGCTGACGTCAGTGTGTGGTATTCCGAAGCTTCTGGAGGTTCTCCCCCCCAACACCCCCCCCCCTCCCTCACACGAAGCAACAAAGGCTGATAGATCCCGTCGTGCGGCGCAGGAGGAAGGAGACATGGGGTCGGGGTATATCCTAAGGGATCCCGGAATTGATCCCTTCTACCCCCCGGGCTCTGCTTGTCCGACTCGGGCTTAGGAAAATTCCGATTGGCTGCGACTTGATAATTTGGGGCGGCCGACTCGACGCCGATCAGGTCGCTCTCGAATCAGGGAGAATCAGCGAAAGGGGGATGCAGTCGGTCATGTCGCTGTTCAAGAAATTACAGCAGTTCTTTCGCGCTAACCGGCGGAAATTTTACAGGAAACGAGAGGTTTCTCTGCACTGATTTGAGCGGGAAAACCGGATGAAAAATGGATGTCCCGTCCTCCGCGGTACCTTGTGAGAATTTATTGTCATTGTATACAATCGGGTTCTCTGCCTACGACCAGGCTCGGAGGAGGCCGCCGGAGGAGGCAGCTGTCTTCTGGTGCAGTTGCTGGGAGCGCGAGATCTGTTCCATTAGGGACTGGATCTGGAGCAGGTAGGCCCTGGCCTGGCCGACGGCCTCCGCCTCCAGATCTCCTAGCTGGGAGCAGAGCCGCTCCTCTGCCTCCTCCGCCACGCGCAGGCGTTCTTTCGTCCGTTCGAGTTCCCTCTGCGCCGCCTCCTCCCTCTCTCTGCTCCGCCGCAGCTCCTCCTCCAGCTCCTGGTTCCTCCTCAGCATCTTCTCCGCGGCCTCCACTTCCTTCCGATCCGGCACCGCTCTCACCCTCTCCAGCGGGCGGAGATCGCGAGCAGCCACCGCCATCGCCGGAGCCATCCCTCCTCGGCCTATTGAGAATATCTCAACAAGACGAAGGGGCCGGCGGAGGCTAAGAAGATGATCTTGAGAAAATCAAATCAGATCTGCGAATAGTCAGGGATGCAGGCTGCCGTTTTTATAGCTTTATTGCATGTCCCGATTCAATGAATCTGTTAGTGTGAAACGACTGGTTGCACCGCGTGGACAGTTCGAACGACGAGAACTGCCCCAAGCAATGTCTCGAGATCCGAAGCCGTGAACCACGGAAGGCGCAGTGGGCCCGTCCGATCGAAGTTTTTTGTCGTTTTACGTCGTCGCAACTCGTCGCAGCCAATTGCTGCCCTCCACGTTTCACCTGCGGCTGCTCAGCGGTCTCTGCATGCCCAAAGCTCCTGTTCCCATATCTTCCACTCTCACCGTTGGATGGACGATGGAGGACCATGATATGATAGGCCCATTACTTGGCGCGGGGGTCTCGGAAATCATCTAGAGGAAGACTACGACTTCCCTCTGCTTGACCAGGTATTTTCTTGACGAACCTTTTGAATTATTTAAATCGATAAAATTCCCCCACGACAATAAATATAAGATATTCATCTAGATATGTAATTCATAATATACGGCATAGCTTTCATGATTATTTCTGTATGAAATATTTTGGGCAGATATTTATTTTATTCTTAGAACTATTGGGATATTCATTGTTCAGCGTCTATAGGAAAATATTGTATTAATTGTGACATTGTTTTGAGAATTTTGGATATAAATATGTATATAAATACTCATCTCCAATAAAATATCATAAGAAAAACCTCGAGAAAATTAATGTCAATTTCTATTGATTAGTAGACTCCTAATTCAAGATTTAATAAATCGTCTGTATTTTACTAGGAAAGTTAATCTGTGACAAAGACAATATCTAATTTATAAATAAAATAAGGTTCTTTTTATGAAAAATGATATTTTATTTTTTTGACGTATTTCTTTATAGGGTTGATTATTTTTGAGAGTCCGTAAACTTAGTATACTATGTACACTATTTAATTTATTTAGTATTTTGAATATGATAAAATTAAATACGTAAATATTTGTCTTGTATCAAATAAAATCTGCTGCACAACAGAGCCCGGCACGTGGATCGGTAACCTCCGATCTCGGAATCGCCCGATCCGGGGAACCAGGATCCGATCCAGCTCTTTCCGCGCCGGGAGTGTGGTGGTCCGGGTGATCAGTGACCCTGGATGGGTACCATGAGGAGAGGCGGCTGAGATGACGCCGAGAAGCAGAGGTGTCGCTGGAACAGCTTACTGACAGTTCTCCGCGAAGTATTTTTATGTCTGGTTCCTTCGCGCTCTGGATATTTTCAAACTTTCATCCCCCATTGCCGGACTTCGGAAGCTTCCCATTTCCCAGCGGTGAGACGCCGCCGCCGCCGCCCCCGGCCCTCCCCGTCTGTCCTTTCTCCTCACAAGATGTGGCGGAAGCCGAAGAAGGCAGACGCCGTTCCGAAGGTAGGGCCGCAGTAACCCCTCTCTCAAGCCATGGAGTCTCTCGTCGTTGATGATGGAGCCCATGGTTTGTGAGCTAATTCCGTAGACCGATCACCATCGAGTGCTCGTTGCCTCGGTATTTCATGTGATTTTTTGACGATTTTTGGATTCTATATTATCTCTTGTAGCTGATATTGGAGGAGGTCATCGGCTTGACGACGAAGAATGCCAGCGGATTCTCTTCTGACCCCTCGACGAGTAGGTGTGCTTACCTGGCGGGGTGCGTGGTCGTGTTGTATGATGTGGGCTTAGACGCACGCACGCACCTCATGGTGTCCTCCAGGGTCCCGAAACCATTTAGCTGTGTGGCGCTGGCACGGCAGGGAAGGGGATTCGTCGCTGCTGGTGAGGTAGGGACGAGAGAAGGAGAATGTACATCACAGATTTGTCAGATTTTGTGTCATGCGACTGTTTTCATATCCTATTCAGGCTCCTGTATCCTATTCCGTAGACTTTCTGGGAGGGTAAACTTTTTTTTTTTGTTTGTTTAATTTCAAATTTTATGTAAAAAAAATCACTCTGGTAAAGGAGTTCTATACTGGCTATCACCGAAATTGCGCTGTGATAAGAGAATAGAGTTGTAACCTTACTTGAAATTTGTTGCTGAACTGCCCCTTAAATGGGCTCCCGTTTCATTCCATTGTTATTCTTATGGTTGACTGTCCAACCTGCTACCATTTCTGTATTCTTCTTCTTCATACTCGTATACTGAAACTGAAAGCAATGTATTCACTTTTGAATGGTTGATTCTTGGATGCATTGATTCCCAGGGCCCTGTATGATAACCAGAAGTTTTGATCCTCAATATTGATGTTTGATCATTAGGAGTGGATGACCGTAACGTTCATATTTCTAATCTATTACGCTTTTACAGTCTGGGCAGGCGCCTGCAATCCTACTTTGGGATTTTTCAACCGGTAGTCTACTTTCTGAATTGAAGGGCCACCAATATGGAGTTCAATCCATTGACTTTTCAGCAGATGGTTAGTTAAGGCCGTCAAACTTTTCATCACTGGAAGGCCTAATGAACAAATGAAATGTTAATTTTATATCAGCCGGACACTTTATTAGTTCTTTTTCTGTTGGACTTGTTTCCCAGGAAAAACTTTGGTCTCCCTTGGTCTTCATAATGATGGCTTTATTTGCCTGTGGGATTGGAAGAGTGGAAAATTGTCAGCAAAAATAAAAGCAAGCACCACTTTCTGTCCTCTTCTATCTGTTAGCTTTCTGTCAGAAGGTGGCTCTTTTGTCACTGTTGGGAAAAAGCACCTGAAGTTATGGAGTGTTCGATCACTGAAATCCATGAGCATAAGTGTGGGAAAAGAATCACTCTTAGTGGATGGGAAGCCTGCGAACCTTGGTTGTCACAAAAGCAGCTCTTTTGTGTCAGTCGTATCCACTGCATGCACAACCAAATCTGATGGCGGCGATTATTCTAGCGATTCATTTTCTATCTATGCTTTGACAGAGACAGGTAAAGATTGTCCTGTAAGATTCCCCTTTTTATTATCTTATCTCCTGACAGTGTGATGCAGCTTAGTTTTTACTCTATCAGGTCTCTTATGTGCTATAGATCATGGGTTTTCCATTGGGAAATGCGTGGATATGGAGGTATTGACGCTCTGCATGGTTTCCTATTTTTTATGTCCATGATTTCCGAGATTTTTATACCATTAAATTTCAGGTGCGGAGGGGATACTCATTATCTGTGTCCAACGATCTGATTGCGTGTGCGTGCAATAGTGGGACTGTGCAACTCTTTCAAGTTGGGAGTCTTCTTTATGTTGGGAATGTGAAGTATGGCGAACCAACAGCGTATTTTGGTTTAAAAAATTTAATTTACCAAGCCCAGCCATCTGAAACATTGCCCGAACATGATGATGCTGTACCTGATGCAATTGCTTGCCAATTTTTGTCACCCACAAGACTTGGTGAGTGACAAGTATCATTAACTTGGAAAGACTCTAGCATGCTTGTTTCTTGGAATTTTCTGATTTGTGTTGTCTTCCAGGTGTTATATATGCGGATCACAGTTTCTATATATGGGACATAGATCACATACAAAAGGTAAAGGTCACTGAATATTCAATTCTTTAATTTCGATATTAACTTGGATTTCCTTTTCTTCGAATATTTTGTGCTACCTTTGTATACACGGGTGCAGCTGTCAGGTTGGACTGCTTTTGTGATCCATATGTAATAAAGTTGGTCAAAACTTGAATGAATTTTTTTAATCAATCTCCTCTCCTTTTTCAGCATCAATTAATGGTGGAAAATATGGTGAAAATTCATTATAATGGAAAAATAATTGTGTATTCGATTCTCTATTTTTTTCAAAGAGCGCCAATGTGGATACATTGTAATGACTACGACATGTTAAATTATACTGATTCTTATGGCTTTTCCTAGTTTTTATGAATATTCCTGCATAGCTTAAAATGAAGAAATGATCAATTGTTTTGAAGATAGCCTACATCACTCATTGGCATTTTGTTTTTGGTCAGATGTCCCCTAACATTTCATATGGTATCATAGCTGATGGTAGTTTTTGGGTCACACATGCCCCATGAATGTTGTGTATGTAACAACATCCAAAGTTGATATTAATATGACAGAATGTGGTAGGAATATTTGTGTTTTGAGTACTATAAAAAAGAACATGACTACAAAAATGAGTCTACTATTCATATTGTCAATTGGTTTTAAATTGGATGCCCAATAGATTCAATATTTTTCTTTTTCAGGTCAGCAGGTGTTGCATTCTTGTTGCACATAGTGCTTGCATATGGGACATTAAGAGCCTCCCATTCAAGGACTGGGATATGACTGCTTCCACATATACAGATAACAGCAGTTGCCATGAGGTCTCTTTTGCAACATGCTCTGCAGATGGCACAATAAGGCAGTGGGACCTTGAGTTATTGGACCATCCAAAATGTAGTCATGAACAACGAGAATTGATTGCAAATCAACAAATGTGCAGTGCTTTAGATGATCATCCATTTTCTGTTCAATTAGGTAAAATTAGTTGCATTTTTTTTATTAGGTACATGGACACGTATCTCTACACAAGGACATATATTATTGCTATATTTTATAAAGGTCTGCTATATTTTTATTTTATTCTTATATTTGATGTTGTATTGCGGTGAATTCTTACTTTCTAATTATACTATTTGTTCCGAATCTTTCAGGTTTTCAAAGATTCATGGCAGATGTATAATTTGAATCACATTCATTGTTGATTTCCTACTTCTGTAAACTTAATGCTCTTAACCTTATTTTCTTAGTTAGCTGTGGCATTCTTGAACATGGAAATGCCGACATAGAGCCTCATGGTCAAGGGTTTCGGTCAATGGCAGTTAGTTCAGATGGGCAATACTTGGCTGCTGGGGACTGCGGTGGGAACCTGCATATTTTTAATTTGCAGACTTCTACCTATACATGTATCAAGGTGTGCCACGCGCCTTCTGGTTTGGTGCATATTGAATATAAATGCCTTACAATCTGTCATCATAGCACTTCTGAAAGACCTCATGATTTTTTCTATTTAAAAAATGTGCATTCGATTCTTGAAATTTGCACGACTAGAGTTATCACAGAATTCGCATATCAATCTGTTGTTTTTTTTTTGGAAAGCCATAAATTATTTCAGTGTGTTTGTTGGAAAAATAATTCTGGGTTTTCTTTCTGTGATAATGACAGATATGAAGATTTTAGAAACCTTTTTATGTAATTATATTACAAATTTGTTGTCTTGGTTAAAATTTTAAATTCTGGGTCTCTTGCTACTAAAAATAAATGTCAATGTATCGCATAGATTTTGAGTGGATGCATTTTCGTGTTTTGAACGAGCTATTGCCTTTATGGTATAAATTAGTTTTTCTGGATATCTGTAGATAACAGTCTACACGCATGCGATTTCATCACACAATGAGGACATGTCCAAATCAACTTAAAATGGAGCTCAAGGACTACTTTGCAAATCATTTATCAGAGATAGCAGACACAAAAAATCTCCCAATGATGCCCTGACAGTAGTTTTATGCAACTTCACCAGATTTTGGGTTCCTGATAGGTGAAAGGACGAATGAAAATACCAAAAGTTTATGTATCTGGACCATGTAATGCACTTAAATTTATCTCTATTGAGGTATAGTTTTTTTAATCCTAGGACGACAAAGATTCGCACCAATCTTAAAAAATGAACCGGATTAGTTGTCTGGAATAAAAATAGACTGAAACCATTAGCCTTTCTAGCCGACTGTTCAGTCCATCTCTTCGTGACTACCAATTCTAATGGTTGCATCATAAAAACCAGATCTATAACCCTAGACCTTTTGAACATTAAGTTTCAGAATCACTGTTTGCGGCAGAAACTTTAAAATTCCAGCTGAAGATGAAAGCCTTCTTTTTGAACAACAAAGAGCGATTAATCAAGTACGACAACGAGTTTTCCAACAAGCCTTACAAGGAGCTCTAGGTACTTTGAATAGTGAGTTACCTTTTCGTACCACCTAAGATTATGAGTCTTATTCTATGACTCATACTCATATTCTTACTTTACTATAAGAGTAATTATATGGAAGTGTCTCTGATTCGAATATTAATGCAACCAAATTTTTTTTGGGATAACAATCTGTTTTTTTAAATGTTTGGCTACGTTTTGTTGAAGGGCATTCACAAAATCATTATATTCATGAGTGTTTATTTGGATAAATTGGTTACAGCTTGGTGGAACTCGAGCTTGGTTTGCTACATTTCTTCTGTGAAGCAGACTATGCCTCGTATTTCTGGAAAAGATTAGAGTGTTTTTAATTTTTTATTGGTGGAAGAAAATTAAACAGGTTCCCAGCTGTCTGGATCCTACCCAGCATTAATTGACAGCCGAAAAAAGGAGCAAGCATTCCTGCAAAAGCAATTGTCTGACTTTTTGTAGAGGATCTCCATTGTTTTTGCGACATTTCTAAACTTGAGAATGAAATCACCTCGATTTTCTTTCTTTGCGAGTTAAATTACTCTTTTTCTCATAGATAATTATTCTTGGCCTAAATTTTGCACGTGTGAGCAATTGTATTTTTCGGATTCTTTGTTGGTAAGTTGAAGACTGAATAAAGAGCCAGGGAGCCAACAGGCTTTTTGCTTAAGAGATGGTCGCAGTTTGTTTTATTTATTTAAGAACACGCAATAAGGTAATAATAGAGAATTTTCATTTCCATGGTAGATGCTCATAAATTTTCCTTTTCCAAATTCACTAGGAAGCTCATCGTGCAGAGATCCTTACGGTAAATTTCAGCAAGAAGAAAATTGGTGATAATGGAGAGTTGAAGAGCCAACATCTTGTGACTGGCAGCAAAGATCGAATGATTCACGTTTATGATGTCCAGAGGTATGATTCACTCTTTTTCCGTAATTCCCATTTCAAAGTTTGTATTTTTGCCTGATGTGACCTGTAGCCATTTCAGGAATTTTGATCTAGTTGAAACCCTTGATGATCATTCAGCTCCAGTAACTTCAGTAATCCTGACATCTGATGACTGTAAGCTTATCAGTTGCGGTGCTGACAGGTGAGTCATTTGCGACTTCAATTTGCTTAATTGAGCGATACTGTATTTGATCCTTGTTTTCTGTGAAGATTGGAAAATGCAACTCTAGGTCTCCTGAATTGTTTCCACTGTCGGAATTGATATCCAACAGGTGTATCTATTTTCGTGATGTTCTCATGACAGATACTGGATGTAGAGTCATGCGGCGTCATAATCAACTTTCATCTCATGGTGCCATCTATGATATGGCTATAGAACCTGCAGATAAGATAGCTATCACTGTTGGGCAGGTGCTCGTCTAGTTGGAAGTTCAATTTTTATTTCACTTTACACTGTTCTAATGCAAGCATCTTTCCTTCTCAAGGATAAGAAAATAAATAAATACAACCTATCTACTGGGAAGCTTGTTGGTACATTTAAGGAAGACGTGGAACTTGGACAGCCAGTGAAGGTGGGCATTATAGTCTTCAAAGCATGTTTAGTCCTACCTTATTGATATTTATTACAAGTGATATTTCACAGGTCATGCTTGACCCCACTGGAAGCTATCTTGTTTGCTCCTACTCGAACAAGTCTTTGAGAATATATGATTTTGTGACTGGAGAGACAGTTGCTCAGGCAATGGGGCATGCTGAAGTGATAACTGGTTCTATTTTTTTGCCCGGCTGCAAACACATGATCTCTGTAAGCTCCTCGCTTATGCTCATTATCTTATCTAAATGTCAAATGTGTTCCCATTTTCATATACAAGTTGAGGGATAAATTATGGCCACGATCATGTTCACATTATGTGGCTGTATATTCCTTGATGACAAATCATTGGTGGAACAGTTGGCATGAAAAGAAATCGAACACATGTAACATGTGAATTCTATGGATTGACTGCCGCTATGTTCCTTTTCAAGCTGCCACTCATTGCTAGTCCTTAGTTCTTGTATTGATGGGTAGCAAATCACTTTGACTCGGACGTGAAATAAAATTATTCTTTATTGTCGGAATTTTAGAGAACCACAGGATCAAAGCATGAATCTAAACTCACAAGTTACTGGGTTGAGCAACATGTCTCCCTTTGGGGAAGAAGGGAACTATAGCTCATCTTCCTTTGACCATACTTTTTGATTTGAACTGTGTTGATCTCAAAACTGGTGTAAAGAGCAAAAGGCATCCCACTTTGACTCTGTAGGAGATTGGTGTGGTGATAAAAGAATCGTTGTAGTTGCTAAACCTTGGGACGCAACTTTTCACTACTTCGGTGTTCTGACCTGAAACCTAACTGAATCAGCCGGTCTCCAGTTCATTGGAATTTGGTCTGAGTCAGACAGTTCAAATTGTCTATTAGTGTTGATAACTATGTGAGGCCATGCTCAATTCAAGAATGTTGAAATTTATGAAGGTGCTGATCCTGGTAAGAGAGGCTCTACAAGTAGTCTTTATCAGGGAAAAAGGGTAAAATTTGAGTGAAAATTTATAAACGACAACATGGTACGTCGATCACATCTTGATATTAGACATCGTCTATTGAAGAAAATTTCCTGCTGAGCAGGAAGATCAGCTTTGTTGAACCTAAAAGGATTTTTATGTCATTAGTTTTGTTTCCCCCATTGTCCTGCTTGTTAACGTAAGGTTGTGAAGTCAGTTGACTACAATGGTCCCTGATTTTCAGGTCAGTGGTGATAGCTGCATTTTTATATGGAAGCTGCCTGCTCTATTGTCATCGAAAATGTTGCAGAAAGTTAAGGGAAATGCAGATCATCTTCCTCAAGCAATTCTTCCCCAATCAACATCCTCATTGGATGCTACAAAAAATACGGTGGAAAGTGGAGAGCATAATATCAACTTTGATTGCGTTTCTGAGGGAGGAATAGCGCACAAAGAAGATCATGGAGTTCCTGCTGTTGATCACACTGAAGACTCGACATTTGAATTTAGTATCTCGAGGCTTCCAAAGTGGGCACGGACCAAAGTAACAAGCAAACCCATCCTGACCCAGGCAAGTACTTTCCTATGGTTGTCTAATGAGATGATGAATTTTGCACTTTCATTGACTAGGTTTATGATAAGAACTGTTATTAAAATGGTCACATATTGAGAACCTGTGTTTGGTTCAATTTCTTCGTTGTATGATAAGTCCTCAACCATTGAATTTGTTATGTGTCACTTCTAGCTTGTTTTGGCATGTATACCCCAAGTTTTGTAGCATCTCTCAATTCTGCAAATATGTAATCGTTTATTGAACATCTACTAACCTGTGGCATGAACTGAAGCTTTGCTTCTTTAATGATGGACAGGAGTCTGATGCCAGCATTTCTCTTGAGGTTCCACTGTCAAAATCCTCCAACTTGGAAACTACACTAGAGGATGACTCTGCCTGTTTGGGAGGCTTGTCATGCGTTGGTGTTACCTTGCAACCTTCATCAGATCAAGATAACCCAACGTATGCGGATCCACCCAATTGATAAAATAATTGGATGCTGTCTCACATCTTAAACCTCTTTTTGCATTTGAATCAGAAATTTACGTGGGAGGAGCTTTCAATCCGAGGATTCAATTTTTCTCGTTAAAAGTGATTCACAGGAAACAAGCTCAAGTAATTCCAGAGGTCTCGACAACTCTCTGAATTTACTTACGTTCAAGAAATTTCCAAATTCTACATTATTTTTAAAAATTATTTATCAGATATGCACTTAATTTATTTAAATTTGCTCATTTCTCTTGAATTTACTTTATCATGAAGGGAAAGGGCTACTCGTTGAGGAATCCAATGGAAATAAAGTCGTTGTAGAAGTATCGCTTAATATCAAGTCCGAGGAACCCTCAACAATGAGAGGTCTTGTTCACCCTGATAAGGCTGCAACTGGGGTGGAGTCCACATCTAGAGAGCAGGAAGTAAATCGAACTGGAGAGAAGGACGAGGCTAGTGCCAAGAATGCCACTGCATGCTGTGAGGTGGCTGCTGAGAAGGCTCTAAACTGGAATGCAGATGCCACTAGGCAGCATGCTTTCTCTCTAACAGCTGAAGTTGGAAACAGTGTTGATGAGACTGTGTCTGATGATCCTTTCAGTCAAAAGTCTACCAATCTGTCACCAACGCTTGAGGTGAGCTTATTTTTCTTTTGCAAAAAGTCGATTTATAATCTACTATATTATTTGTAACTGGACTCAAATTTTATGAACAGTGATATATTTTTGACGGAACATCACAGCAGTCTGACTGAAAAGCACGGAAAACATGCTGTTTTTGTGTTGTCTTTGTTTATGTCCAGCTGCAGGGAGGATCAACAACCAGAAAAGGCTTCTCTGGCCATTTTCATGCACGCCGATTTCATTCATCAAACTCCAAGAGGAACGTTGAAACACTTAACCAGGCTGAGGGCGCAGATCTTGAAAGCTCATTAGATCCAGCTACAAAGAGGATCAAAGTAGCACTACAATCGGATAACAGTGACCAGGTATGCATAGAATTCACTTTAGATGCCACAGAGCAAACACATTTGTGATCGCCTCCAAAAAAGGATCTTTTGCTTCATATCAACACGTCCATGTGGAAATCTGAAACAAGAACCCACAACCACCGGAGGGGGAATAATGATTGAGACCCATGATATGAAAAAATTATAGTCATTGTCTCCCAGGCGTCATCTTGACAACAAGGAAGCTGAGGTGTTTGACAGCATGCGTATGAGGTGCTCTGCCTCTCACCTGGATACCAGTACCTGCCATGTTCTCTCTTCGAGTCTGGTGCCTACCTTTTGCACCACCCTGGCTGCATGGTCATTGAGCGCTCTTCCAGCATCGCCCATCTCTTGCAATTTCCCTATATTTGTTGGGTGCCCACCTTTTGTGCCTCCTGGCTGCCTGACCGATGGGGATCTCTCTTCGTCACTCCAGATTTTTTTTTTCTTAATTCGGCTTTGGTCATCTATCAACGATTTCCTGTTTTAAGTTCCTTGTTTCCTTAAATTGGGCTCCTTTGACATTGCCAATCTCTCACAGATCTGCCCTCATCTCATTGACAGGGAGAGGAGAGTGGCATTGAATTGCCTCCGAGCCCATCTCCTCTCATTGATTCCAGTAAGATCCCTCATTTCGATGACTCAAATCCGCTCATTAGAAGAGATCAAAGGCCCGGACCCTCTGAGGGAAATGGAATGGAGGACATAAGTGAATTCAGAGCAGCTCTAGACCACCTGGATATGGCCGCTGAGGCAGCGGTTAGCCTCTGCACCAGACTCGGAGTTCAGCAGAGCAGAGGTCAGGCATCAGAGAGTCTCAGAGGTGAGTTGCTTCGGGTATTGGAGACCTCCCTTCCGTCCATCTCTGAGAGGATGGAGACCCTTACTAGCATTGTGGGGGGAGGCAGAGTCTCTCCTGGTTCACAGATTAAGCAGGAGGCTCTGGAGCTTGGACCCATTGTGGAGAGATTTGCAGGGTCTCTTTCGGACCGTGTACTTGAATTGTTGAAGAATAAAATATGATTCCCTTGTGATTCTCTCCATCGATGATGATGACGACGCATGAATGTGTTTCAGGTGGTTCTCACAGGCTCTGGTGAGAAATTTCCCACTTTGGGGGCTCTCCCATTGGGCAACGTCTGCAGTGCTGTCGGTGGGCCTAAGTTAGCTGGGCCGGGCTCACTAGGGTTCCAACTATGGCCACATTTTTTGGGCTTTTCTAGAATCTGGATTGGGCTTGGATTTTACTAAAACTGGCTAGATTTGAGTTCTGCTTCATACTGCACAATGAATGGGTGGCCAAAGAATGGCTCTCTCTTAGAAGTGTGGTGCCGATTGACACATCCATCTGCTGACCTAGTTGCTGAGTAGATTTAGCTACCTGATATTGTGAAAATCCAATTTTAGGGTATTCTTAGTTTTTTGAAGATGTTGGATAAGTGTGAAGGGAGAAATACCAAATAAATATGTAAGATATAGTCATTTCTTCATAGTTTTAATTTATCAAGGAAACCAATTATATCCAATAATTTGTACATGTGAATATTACCAAAACATTGTTTTAGGACTGCAATCGTTGATGAGTTACCACAATCTAATATGGTGAAAGCAATGAAAAGTTTAAAACTATGATGAAAACATGCTTGATGAGCATGTTTTCATATATGAATGTTGATACTCCATATCAAAGTCTTGGCACTTCCAATCCTTGGGGATGAGCTCTCAACATTGTGGGGGGTCATCAATTCAATGGTGGAGAGAAGCCCTTTTCAAAATCTATGATAAAAGTTCAGGGTCTCAAACCAATGCCATGTTTGCCTAAAGCCACATTGACAAGCCTCTTGATTGCAGTAAGCTAGATCTTGGTTCATCGCTTCCAAATTCACATTTGAATGCAAGGAAGAGTTTGTCATGGAGACATCATCTTGTGAAGTCAGTGTTATAATGATAGGATACCAACTGTTGGGCAAGAACAACCTACAACCAATTAGCTTTCTAGACCACTAGGCACCTCTTGTAGGTTAAAGTTGACATATAAGGTGTGATTTATGATATGTCATGTTATGTTTGCCTTTGTGGAGTCCGTCTTTTTTGATGTTTATAAAGCGTACATAAATGTAAAGTAAAAAACAATATATATTACTAAATTAATGTTCCACTGATATTTGAGTATAGATAATATCTTATTCTAATGTTTGGGAGAAATTATTGTGTGATTTTAAGACCATTTGAAAATATTTTTTGGCTCTCATTACTTTCAGGAAAGTAGTCAACCCACTTATAATAATTTTTGCATTCAAAGTCGCCAATACAACATACAATGGTAAAATAATATTACGATTATGAAGTCAATAAAGTATTCAGAATTTGTTGCTTATAGAATCATATTTATGCTTCTTTAGAATAACTAAATCAACTCACTTTGTATGAACAAGATTCCATATAGTTAATGTCAAGACTAGGTTTTAGCAATCCAAAAAACTCTACAACCCCTAAAGCAAAATTTTCACATATGAGGAACATTATTATAAGATTAAGCTATGTTTCAAATATTAAAAATATCATTTATTTACATTACTATACAGTCTTTCTAGTGGTAAAGGTGAGTATAAAGGTGCACTCAAGTTGAGTTAGAGTCAAAAGCAAGAAGAAATATTTTTGGAATACTTTGGCTTTAACATATTAGTTTCAAAGAATTGATATGGGAAAATTTTGGTTAACTTAGTCCTAAATTGAGATGAAGTTAGCTGAAGCTTTAACTTTTAGTGGAATGTATTGATTACATTAATAGAACCCGAGGACAAATCCCTTAAAGAGTAGAGTAAGTTAAGGGTACCAAACCCTTATATATAGATACTATAAATAATTGATCACTAAGTGACAATGTACCTCCACAAGATTCATTGCTATCATAGCCCAAATGTCCCCAACACCTAGCTTTAGATTCATGGCTCTAGGTGACTATGTTAAAGATTCAATATTAGTTCATTGTTCTTAATTCATAGCTCTACAATGTCAAAGTACATGTGAACACTTTGGTAATATTGGCTTTGAAAATTGTAAAATAAAATAATTTGTTTGGATATGTGGAGAATGATCATCTTATCTAATAAGGATACATGGATCAATGTTTATGGTGAAATGGCAAGAGGTGGTTGCCCTAACCTTACACTATGAAAGAAGTATAATTTGAACAAGTAGCAAAATTTGAACTAGAGGCAATTATATCTTGTCTTTGGGTGATTACCTTAATGACATGTTTGAAATATGAGACATGCCGTTGAAAGTGGAATGAATGTAGAACAACATTCTTTGTTGTTGGAAGTTTTCCAAGTATCTGTTTAGGAAAGAAGCATCACTCTAATCCTCAATGAACTGATATTTGAGAATATCTACCTATCATTAACATTTTGAAGAGTCAAAATGTCTACAAAGGTTGAAATTGAAAAATTTGATTAGAGCATCAACTTTTGATATAATAAGTCATGATCAAAACATTCTTGACTAAAATTAAGCCAGTAAGTCATTCATGAAAATGCAAGAATTTTACAACAATTGAAATTAACATCATTATATATGACCAACTTCTTCACCAAAAATTTACATTCGAAGCAATGCTCCTCATGCCAAGGATGGTCGAAAGTGCTGAAATTAAATCACATCTTGTGAATCAGATTCTATTATATCATATTTAAAAATATTAAGGATAAAGACAAGTTATATCATTATGAGTTATTTATTAACATCCTCATATAATGACTTTTGAAAAAAAAAATGCTACATGGTAGAGATTATATTGATATTGAAGATTAAAATATTCCCTACTTTAAAGTTTTTTTTGATAAAGATATGACTAATAGTAGTCTATAAGGACAACAAGATGATGAAATTGTTCTATAGGACAACCCAAGGACATAAATTGATTTAAGAGAAATACAAGAAAAAATAGATATAAATCTAAAATCAACATCAAAGTCTGCAAATTGTGACAAAAAGGGACATATAAAGGTAGCAAATATTCAACCAAAAATAAAGCTGTAAGGATTAGAAAAAGAAACCATTGTTGTAATAGAAAAGAACATGAATTAGAAATGGAGCATTCACTTTGGTTGTAAATCATTAGATGGTTCAACTAAGAGAACATGAACTTAATTGAAGAGCTAAGGTGGAGAAAGTTGAAGGAAATGGGAGAAAAATATCTGATGAGAGAAAAATTGATGTGATCAATATTGAGGTATTTTATGGCTAACCAAATTGTTGTAGTTGTGTTCAGTAAAGGTTTAGAAAGATCTTGTGCTTCAGAGAGTTGGCGAAATCTAACAAATTATGATTCACTAATATTTAGACCTAAATTTATGTGACACAAACTTGCATCTACTCATTAGGAAACTATTTTGATAACAAACATAATGCGATTAATGACAAGCACAAGTTAGAATGACTTAATTTTATATATTTTATAATGTTAATAATGATGATCCTAAGTTTCAATTGTGATGTGAGTATTAATAATTCTATTTTTAGCTATTATTAGGTAATGCAAATTTTTATTGTACACTTCTTAAGTCACTCTACAAAAAAGGGGATTTCCCCTCTCACCGAGAAATGAGAAGAGGAGTGCCACAACATTCAAACAACTGTCATATTTATCTAAATGAACCAACATGTCTTTTAGTGACTAAATAAAGAAGAGTAACTAATAGAGCATCTTTTAAAAAAATAATTGTCCCACAAGATCCGAAGGTTCCTAAGCAACAATGGATGGAGTACAATCTATAGGTAATTGATGGGATCATGACTAGGCAATCTACAAACAAATATACAGTGGTAAAATAGTATGGTTTGAATTTTTTTTGTATGTAATGTATAATCACAAAAAGTTGTGGTGCCCAATCATAAGACTATGAAGCATACTACCACTTGAGATGTCTAGGTATCTGGGGCCATAATAGACTCTTGATTTTCATAATAAACTAATTGGTGGGTTAGAGCTAAGAACTTAGTTATTTGGAACAATGTCATGATAGACTTTTTAGTGTGTTAGAGACTAAGAACTGGTGAGGGTTTGATTATGATGAAGAAATAAGATTAGTAGTTTTATGTGCATTAAAGTGATTGATAACTCATGGTTATCTATCTCTTAAGACCATGAGTATGTTGATGTATTATTTTAGGAAGATTAGTGGAAACTCAAGAAGTAGGAGTTTTTGGGATAATGGATTTAAGTTTGCAGACCAACTGATGTAAAATGTTTTTGGGCATCCTTCTCTTGTCACAATTGCCTTCATTCTATTCATATAAGATGCATGGTAGAGAATTAAAAGATATGGTCTAAATAAATCATTTTTATTTTTTTAATTCTGAACATAATTATCTTAATAACTTTAAACATTACCTTTGCCCACTTTGATGTTGCTGCACTTCTAAATACAACATATAATCAGTCCACAAATTTTATAGTCATTGATTTAGGAGTCTAGCCATGATTATGTCTATTAATCTTCTAATTGACTACATTAGTAGATGCTGTGCCTTTTGATTTTTGATCATATGTTAGAATCTATGTTTAATTCATATCTTATTGTTGACTATATGGTATTGCCTTCTTTGACATTGTTAGTGGTGCTATTATTGAAGTATGATGGAATACTTTGGAATGAATATTGATACTGACAACTTAGGCTTCTTGATTTGGAATCTTGGATAACATTATAATATGCACACAAATATCTATTGAGTAGGTTTTTATTCATTTATGCATTATTTCCATACAATGTTGAGTTTTGCGTCAAGTTGCATTACGAAAAGACATTTGAGTCATATTTTCAGATAAGGTTGGAATTAATTTTCTTCCATTTCTACAAGATTCATTCACGTCATGTGATGATGAAAGTTCAAAAATTTTGTACCAAAAAACTAATAATAGAATAAATATTGCCTCATAAATGGGAGATGATTATTAAAGTGAACATCAATTTTTAGAATTATTTTAATTTTATGTTAATATTTGTTTCATTTTTGACTTGACAGCTAATATGGGTGAACTTACAGATATCATTAGATTGTAAAACATATATCGTGCTTTCAATGATATCATTCAATTAGAAACAATGCTTTTAGAGGTTGTCACGACAAATTGAGAAATTCAACTATGAATAAGGGAAGAAACAAAAAATATATAGGATTTTTAGTAGCAAGTTATTGCTCCAAATCCAACTCCGTAAATGCAACATCATTGGCAGCCGTTACTTCAAATCCTATGGGAGTCTATAAAAGGTGGCTACACAATGAAATCTGAACCTCGTCAACTCATTTTCTTGTAGAGCTCACCGATCTAAAGCAATCCATCCCTTTCACTCTCAATTGACTCTCTCTCTCTCTCTCTCTCTCTCTCTCTATCTACCTATTTTCATTTGTTTGTCCCTCTTTTTTTCTCCCATTAGTGAATCTTCCATGACATTGAATTTTATTCGTTTCTCCAAGCCATCTTCATATCCCACTGTACCATATGCATGGTCAGGTTGAATTCCCATGGATACAATTTATATCCCTTTTGTTTTCACGATTTGAGTGTACTTAAATACAACTTGGAGAACAAAGGAAACCTAGAGGTTTCCCCATGGGAGCTTGTCCTCTTGTTTGCAAGACCATGTAGAGGTGAATATTTATTTGCTTAGTATTTGCCATCATTTTGTACATATCTTTTCGGTTGCATAATTTCTTTCCTCAAGCAAAGGCATACTTCTTACATTGAATTTGTTAGGTAAGTACTGTTTACTATTTCATTGGGTTTTTCAAAATAAGATAAATTTCACATGGTGAAGAGCATACATATCGATTGATATTATATAATTATGTAACGTTTGTTTTGAGCTCCTAGTACTCCCATGACATTTCATGAAGATTGATGGATGTTTGTTGGTGAAATTTTTTAGAAAGAGAAAATGGTAGGGAGAGAGAGAGAGAGAGAGAGAGAGAGAGAGAGGAGAGAGAGGAGAGATAGGAGAGGGGAGAGAGAGAGGGAGAGAGAGAGAGAGAGAGAGAGAGAGAGAGAGAGAGAGAGAGAGAGAGAGAGAGAGAGAGAGAGAGAGAGAGAGAGAGAGAGAGAGAGAGAGAGAGCGAGAGAGAGCGAGAGAGAGATTGTGTAGGATCCTGTCAAAGCGTCGGCGCGGTTTTAGATTTCAGGGTAAAAGTGAAGACCCGATTCAATGAAAACGGTGGTTCGTCGTGTCGGTGTTGTTGTTGGTTATCCTCCCACTGAATTGACAACTATAGAAACAAAACCCATTAACGAGATGTGAGCGTAGATCCCAATACATTTAAGAAGGAATCGTCTGTCATTGTTGACATCCGTTCCGATTGAGAAAGAAATATGCGGCCAAAGTTAATGTCTTTCCTTCCTGAGATTCGTCGGGATATTACATACATGGATTCGGTGGTTTCTTTCAAGAAGTTTCCCCTTGCAGTTAGAAAATAGAGCTACGATTTAGCTGGTCGACGTGTGGCGCATCGCTCTTGCGTCTTAGCACAGCGCCCATCTCATTCCTTCTATAAATACTCCTCCAACGGTGAGCTCCTTCCAAGCCGACTAAGTAATCTGCATTTGCCCATCTGAGTGTGTTGTCTCCCTTGTCGTCGCCATGGCCAGAGCCCCCCGGAGAGTGCACGTAGAGAGGATCCTGAGGAGCGCTCCTCGTCAGGTCAGCTTCTCGAAGAGGCGGCAGGGCCTGTTCAAGAAGGTGTGCGAGCTCTCCGCGCTTTGCGGCACGGAATCGGCAGTCCTCGTGAAGTCTCCAGGGAACAAGCTCTACTCCTTGGGGGAACCCGACGTCGACACCGTGGTGGACCGGTTCCTCGACTTCGTCGATCGACGGGGCCCCGCGCAGGAAGCCCGGCCGGGGGCGGGGGAGCCGGCAGGCGCCGCCATGGTGGCAGGAGGCGGGCAGAGGCGCCAGCAGGACAGGAGGCCCGTACGGGAGCAGGACCCAAGGAGGATCGTCGTAGAGGAGCTATATCGTGTACTTCAACTGCAGGACACCTGGCTTGAGGCAGCCGATGCAAGGCTGGAGGAGCTCAGAGCCGACATCAGGGAGAAGCAGGCGCAGCTGCCGCACCGGTGGGCGGCTAAGGTGGAGGACCTCGAGCCGGCCGAGGCCGCGGAGATGATAGACGCTCTGCAGGTCCTATCATTGAGGGTGAGTCAGGTGCTCGAGGCAAGGCAGATGCAAGAAGGGCCTCTGCCTGGCCAGGCCTCGTCTAGCAGCTACCCTCCATCTCCATCCAACCCCTGGGACCTCCCTCACGGATCCAGGGTGAGTCAGGTGCTCGCGGCAAGGCAGATGCAAGAAGGGCCTCTGCCTGGCCAGGCCTCGTCTAGCAGCTACCCTCCATCTCCATCCAACCCCTGGGACCTCCCTCACGGATCCAGGGTGAGTCAGGTGCTCGCGGCAAGGCAGATGCAAGAAGGGCCTCTGCCTGGCCAGGCCTCGTCTAGCAGCTACCCTCCATCTCCATCCAACCCCTGGGACCTCCCTCACGGATCCAGGGTGAGTCAGGTGCTCGCGGCAAGGCAGATGCAAGAAGGGCCTCTGCCTGGCCAGGCCTCGTCTAGCAGCTACCCTCCATCTCCATCCAACCCCTGGGACCTCCCTCACGGATCCAGGGTGAGTCAGGTGCTCGCGGCAAGGCAGATGCAAGAAGGGCCTCTGCCTGGCCAGACCTCATCTAGCAGCTACCCTCCACCTCCATCCAACCCCTGGGACCTCCCTCACGGATCCAGGGTGAGTCAAGTGCTCGCTGCAAGGCAGGTCCAAGAAGGGCCTCTGCCTGGCCAGGCCTCGTCTAGCAGCTACCCTCCACCTCCATCCAACCCCTGGGACCTCCCTCACGGATCCAGGGTGAGCCAGGTGCTCGCTGCAAGGCAGGTGCAAGAAGGGCCTCCGTCTGGCCAGGCTTCGTCTAGCAGCTACCCTCCTCCACCTCCATCCAACCCCTGGGACCTCCCTTACGGATCCATGGCAGTCGGCGCTGCTCCTATGCCTGCCATGGACGTCTTCCAGCCACCGCCTTTTGGGCCGTCGACAAGCACGGGTCACCTGTTCCCTTGGCTGGACGATGATCCAACGGGAGGGGCTTTCATGGCCGGCGGCAGCCAGCTGTTCGGCCAGATACCGCCATCCACAGTCTTCCAGCAGCTCGGCGACATGGGGGCTGGGAGCTCCTCCGGCTACCTGGCGCTTCCCCCTCCTCCTCTTCCTCCTCCTCCTCTATTTGGAATCCCCTACCCATCTCGAAGAGATGGAGAGGGCCCATCGAGTGGTTCCGGCCCGCCGAATCTCTACTGATCTCATGCTGTTCATGGAGGTCACATATGCAACCAATGAGTAACACAGTTGACCGATGAGTTCATATGTCGTTCAGAAGAACTTTCCTCAGCTTGCGCTCAGTCTGATTCATCCATGGCGTCTGCATGCCTGGGAAAACGGACCATCATGCCATTAAAGACGTGGCGCTTTGTAGGTTACATTCTTGGGAACATCATACGTGATAAGCCATTGCTTGAATGGGCAAATTATTTAATGGAGAAAAATGTGAATTTTATAAGTCTGATTCATGAGAAACATGAACTTATGTTAATTAAATCTATAAAATATCTCAATATCCACGGTGGCCTTTTGGGCACGTTGGCAGATGAGGTGGTGTGCCATGTTGGCGATGTAGGAAGTATGCTGTGATGTTCCCAAAACTTTGGAAAATGGGGCAATATTGGGTGGACAAGGTAATCGGCCGAAGGTGTGGTGGGCCCAGATAATGGGCCGGATCGGACTTGAAAGGGGTACAGGTGTCCGTTAGGCAGAGTGGATCACCAGGCGGGCATCGGCGGCGCAAATGCGACCGCCCGTTGTGGAGTCGGTAGATTCGCCACCGGCGGGTTGGGGGAGGGAGAAGAAGAGGAGCTCGGAGTGCGAGCAGAACGAGTGGTGGTTGTGCCAGTCCGGGCTCGCCGGGGCTGAAGAAACAGCTATCTCCGTCGAAATTCGGTTCCCCTCCGGCAGTCATGTTGCACTCCTTCCACGCTCCTGCCGGACCATCCATCTTCTCGCCCCGCCGGCGACGTGTTCCGGCCTCTTCTCTCCCCCGTCTCCGCGCCGTCTCTCTTACCGTCTGCCGCACGACGGCTTCCTCGAAGGGGCCCTCGGAGTTTGAGACCCTTAAATGCCAACTGGGTAGTGAGGATATGATCGAGGGAGGTAGTCCAGTCGTGGAGGAGTCTGGCGGCGGCGGGCCTCCTCCGCAGGTCGGCGAGGAAGATGACTCGGATGTGGACGACGGGAAGCAGGGTATTTCGGGCATCTATGTACCGAGGCAGAAGTATATCCCCATCTCTAAGGAGGACCTCCTGGATGGCATCCTCTCCATGTTCGAGTCGGAAAAAGATGCGGACGATTTCCGTCGCTTTGCAAAGTATGACCCCTCACCTGACCCGTTCTTTCATCATCCGCTGATAGTGGTTGTGGGGAGTTCATTCCTTCTGTCATGTAGAGTTTTCAAAGTTTTTTGTGTTCTGTGTTGGTATCAACACGCGTTTGCCATTAATTTTAATATAAATGGACAATAAGGAAAAAAAGCAGTCAGAAGGGTTCGAACGGAGAAATTATCTGAACTTGATTCATAAATCAACGTTGTGGGAAAATATTTAATGTGGGACAGAATGAAATGGCTTTATCTCCTGTGACTTGCATAAACTTTATTCAGCTTAATCAGAATGGTCATTGAAAGGAAATTACTGAATGACGCTAATTTAATTTTTACATCTGTAGTTATTTTTTCTTTCATTAGGCCCATCCATGATTTTTAGCTGTATTTCCATTTGTATAGTGTGAATTATTTTATTTTCTTGGAATGTATTTGAAAATATATTCAAACAAATGGAGTCTTATTGTTTCATTCATAACTTTTCAGCTAAGCATGGTTGAATTTTTCTGCCATAAACCAAGTAGATCCTTCTGTTTTTTAATACTGAACAATGCTATCAAGCTGTCATAATTCTTTTTCGGATGATATCAATTGATCATAATACTAATCAAGATTTTATGTCTTATATTCCGTTAAAAGGTTATATAAGGACCTTTTTATGCAATATAGTTCTATACTAGGAAATAATTTGACATTGTTATACTTTACACAAGGGATGCTTGAATTGATGTGTGCTTTGAATCTAACATGAGAATTAAAAAAAATGTTCAAAATGTCTCAACTATATCTAGCATGAGATCTCATTCTGTGCGGTTAAAGCCTGAACTGAACGGGGAAAAACTGAGGACAACATCTCTGTGAAGTAGACATATACAGACCATATTTCGATATGAATTATTTTCTTTTAAAGGAGACTAAATATGTATCATATTTCCTTCTATGCTGTTTTCGCTAATTTCGCTTCCTTCACTCTTCTTCCTCCTTTGCCAGCTGGACCGACCTTGCGACTTTCCTCCCTTCCTCTTCTTGACCTTTGGCCCTTCCTCCTGAGACTTTGCCCAGGCGGAATTAGAGGAATCAGGGAATTCAAGATAGATAATTTATGGGTAACCCGCCCTCTCTCTCTTCCCTCCTTTAACTTTCGAGAGAAGATGCAGGTTTCCTGTTCAGATCGAATTGGAAAAATCTTTATTTGAAAGCAGAACTAGTTGGATCAGCCCACGAATATCCCTCCCAACCTCTTGGAAATATACGATCTATCCATAACATGTAAGCATTACCCTAGTGATTAACATGTATTTTTATTTGTACGTGTCATCTTCTGCCAGAGGCTTTGAACAGTCGAAAAAAATCTACATTGGAAAGTGTTTTGCAGTTTAAGTAACTTTTGAAGACGTCATTGAAATTTCTTTTTGGAACATGTAAATCATCTTTCAAAACCTTGTCTCATGAAGCTAAACATGTTGCTGGAGGACTGGACAGGGCCTTCAAAATTATAGGTATGAAGAAATCTTCTGTGTAAGGCAGTTTAAGCGCACATGCACGACATGCCATTAATTCTCTTTTTCAGTGGAAATAGTCTAGGAAGATATTTAATTATGTTAAGATGCGTTTATATCTCTAGAATCTTTCTACCTTAGAGAAATTTCCATATTGGACATAATGTATTTTACTGGTTAATATATCTCTCAGCAATGAATTCTCCTCTTCTTTTTCTATTTTTTGTTAATTTTTTAATTTGGTGCTGTTGATTTTTTTCCCATCGTATGATTTGCAATTTATAAATGACTAGTTCACTGTTCTCAGTCTTGATATGAGGTCATTTACTTAATAATTAACGTCTATATAATGTTTTGAATGGTTTTACACTAGCAGAATGATTAAAATACAGGTGCTTGGACTTGACTCTCCATGCTGAGCACAAGGGTGTCCTAGAAGAGATGCGAACCCACTATTCGCTTATGCATACTGAAGAAAAGAAGGAAAATATTGCTTCCTTCGGCAGATCAAAAACATTCTTGAGCAATCCGGAGTTTTTTTCTAAAGATGTACACGCAAAGGGAGTAAATGGAAAATCAATGGAAAACAGTGCAAAGCTCGAAAGTTTCTACAATGACTTCGATGTGAAATCCCTTTTTGGCTCATCCTCAGCAAGCAGGACAAAGACAGAAAAGGCATCCAGGTTTGTTTCCATAAATCCGGTACATAATTCTTAATATAATTTGTTTAAAATATCCTGCAGAGGTGCTAAAAGGATAGTTGACTATGATTTCGTGTAAACTCTATTGACTATTTTATCTTGAATGGCATTATTATATAAGCTGCTACTTTGGATATATTTTCCATCTTTAAGGATGGTGCTCAAGGAGCATAACATGTATGTAACCCTTCAGACTGCTAACTTCTTTGTTGGATGTATGGACGGGGTGCAATATATAGATCCCAGCTCTCCACATTTGTAGAAACAGATGAGAAAAGATATAGAGGAGCATCTCAAAACAATAGTGTGTCCTCACCTGTTCTCTGTTTAGATGTTTTGGTTATATTTCCATTGTATCTATAGAGTAAACAATGTCTAAAGACAATAACTAGATCTCTAGGCTGGACGAAACTCAAAAGTGCTGTGCCAAATAAAGAGGGAAATGTGGAGAGTAATTTGTGCATACGACAGAATTGATTTGGGAAAGACGTTGCTTCCTAACATGCGGCTGTCTTTAGTCCTGTATGTTTTTTCATTACAACAAAATAGTGATGAAGTATTAAAATAGTCCGTTTAACAACAAATACTCTTGTTTGGGTAACATGGGATGAAGGATGAGCCAGCAAGCGGTTTCTGGTGTTTTCTGTGTACAAGTTACACTTTGTGGAGAATCTTTTCACATGGTCTTAGAATAAGATCACACATTGATCTACTGTCTCGATATCATTGAAAAATCTAAAGCCTTGTCATTCCCTGATTGTGGTGAACCATTTTGTCACAGATTGCATTCTCCCATGGGATGTCCCTGGGATATCTGACACCCTAACTCAAATTTATGGTGTCAGATAACCTCCATCAAGGATGAAGTGATATCCTGACCTTACATTTAATTCCTATCCTTCCCTGTGTGCATCCTATGCTAATTTGAGGTTGAAGAATTTTGGAGTTAATAGAAGGGTGAAGAAGAAACTCTTTTATATTTTTGTTCCTTAATAAGGGTGTGTGCTGGCCGTATTATTAACTTCCTTGTATTGCGCGTACGTAATTATGGTATAGTTATAAATATTAAGTCCTATTAGGATAATTATATAATTAGTGGCATAAATGAACAAAGGACAAAGTGCTAATTTCTAAATAAGGAGGTTACTAATGCCTGACTTGAGTTTTTGGATTCATTTAACCTCGGACCCTGCATACAGTTGAATGTAAATCTTCCAAGGCTTCACCACAGGTTGTGCATAGATATATTTAATGTGAAGCTTCTGTTGGTATCCAAATGATGAAGTTGTATAATATTTGACTGCCTGAGGGGGAACGTAGGGAATTCACTTCACTCTCTAAGATTTCTACGAAGACCATTTTTCTTGAATACTTCTTATCGTAATAAATTTTATTCTGTTTAAATTGATGTGCAGACTTGTAACAATTTCCAATAACACGAGCAACCACATTAGTTTCTGAGTTATATGTTTGTCATTATTTTAAAACAATGTAGTCATATTACGTTGGTATCTAAGGGCATAATTGCTTATTGCAACTTGGACCAATGATTCCACATCGAGCTGAGATTGTCCCTCTAATCAGAAAGGGTTGGGGATCCCTAGAACTTGTGAAGTAATCAAATGGTTGAGATGCAACTCATCACCCAGTTAATCCACCGCTAGTATGTAATAGCCTGTCTCTTGGGTGGCTTGCACCCTGGACGGTGCAGTAGAGCCAGTGTGGGCTCAGCAGTTGGCCTATGTTTCTTACGCATGTTTAGAGGGAGGATTGATTCCAGTAGTCTCACTGCACTGACCGTAGTAAACTTCTGTTTGAGCCCTGCCAAGGAAATGGCTCCTTTGACACAATGCAAACTAGTTCCATCATATGCTTTCTCAAAATCGTGCTAATAAAACTGCACAACCATCCTACTTTTTTTATCAGTGGATTGGTTTCTAGTAACTTCCTTCCATGAAAGTTGGTTGGCTTCTATCAAAAATTTATCTACCACCTTTTTCAATCTATTAGAGTCTTTTTTATTATCTCTCAGCAACCTTTGATAAAGAGAATTTGTCTAAAATCAGCAAGTTTTTCATCTCTTTATTTCGTGGTAATTAGGATCACAGAGGTAGAATACAAATCACGACTGCTTTGTACTCTCATCTGAAATTTATGAAATTTATGTACCAGTTCATGAGATTGTCTTTCAAAATCTCCCAAAAAGATCAAAACAGACACAAAGAAATACCAGCATAAATACCAGACCACCATATTGTAATCAATCCTTTGAAAGAGAGAAAAGGTCCTTTCTGTTTGAAGTTGATGTTTTCCCCACGGGCGCGAGGGTGGTTTTTCCGGTGCACTGGACCTAGTTCAATCTACAACAATAATAAGCACAGCATCCTTCACGTCTTCAATCGTGAGACGTTAATCAGAAGACATTTATCTATGTAAATCAGTACAGCAAACAGAGATGGAGATAAATAATTTATCGAAAATTAAGCTTTTATATTTTCTCCGCCCTCCACAATCTGACCTGCAATTTCAATTTGATCAATTTTCAGTTTCTCGCCCTTTAAGGTTGCCACTGGATGAAATAATTTGAACTCAGGTCACCTTTTTAATACACAAGTCTTTAGCCTTTGCCGCCTTTTTATTTTGTCCTTAAGTAATCTTCTATAATTTTTTTCCCCGAATGTGGATGTGATTTTGCTTCTTTAGGGTGTAGTATGTTCATTACGTTGACTTTCTATTTTATGGCACTGATTATTGTTATGCTTTTCAGCGTTATTCCTACACACTTTCAGCATACGTTCATGAAACTTTTACGCAATGCTCAGTTTGAAGAATTATCAGCTGAGGATTTGCTCCTGACATATGCATTGAATACTGATTACTTGTTAACTTTACCTATATATGTTGATTGGAAAAAGGCTTCTGAATCAAATGCAATAATATTCAGGTAACATCTCTCAATTCATTATTCAGTTTCTCATCAAACTGAAACTTTACCAGTAAGATTAGTTAGAGCCTTTGACTGTTATGCTTCATCATTACCGTTATTTTGTAGCGTCTTAAATTAAATTCACTATTTATGGACCTGATAAGGCATTAGTGGGCATGCTTAGTTAGAGCACTTTTATTTTGCATATCTTAATATGGGGTTATTTCTGCAACTTTCTCTTTGAAGTGTGTAGATAGATTGAACAGGAGATAATTCCTCTTAGTATGCACAGCCTCATGGTCTGGTCTGAACTGTGCAATCTCTTCTCTGCTTTCTTCTCTTGTTTTATCAATCCTTGCTGCTTTTTTGCCAGGAATTGTAGCGCTGAATGGTCCAGGATCTGATCCAGAACTAGTCTTAAATCTCTCAATTAGACCTTGCCAAAAAAGGAATTTCTTTCATGTGGCAACTGATTCATGGTTCCAAAAAATGCTAAACCCCCTCTGCTTCTCAACTAATGGACTCTCGTCTCTTCCCTATTATTTCCCTCTACTTTTAATGATGGACTACCTGGGTTTCATCATCATATTGATAATCCTGTTTTTGTATAAAAAGCCCTGTTCGTAAATCAAATGTGTTCGAGAGCAAAAAATTACACAAAATTCCCGATTTAGAGATCCGAGTTACTCACCGGTGGGTTTTTTCTTGAAGTAGTTATGCAAAACATAGAAGGATTTCTTGTTGTGCTTCAATTAGATTGGGCGTAACTATACAAAACAATTTCATCATCCCGAATTATATAAAAATGTTGATCCCTTAATGTCGTCTCAATTCTCCTCTAATTGCCTCCAAAACAAATGTCTTAATGTTAATTTCCCTTTAATTATAATTAATACAAATATGAAGGTTTTCCTAATTGAATCATTTGAGTGTCTAATTAGGTAAGGCCATGTATGGGTTTATTTCTCTTTTGGTATTTAGTGTGGTACACAAGTTAATTAGAATGTCTGAAATCCAATTTAGGATAATTTGCTCAAGTATAGCTTTTATGGTTTGATGACTGGTATATTTGTTTTTATGATTATGATTCCAGAATTAAATTTAAACGGTTAAACAGAATTTATTTTTTTTGTTATCACACTGTTATCCTATTTTGATAAGTGGAACGAAGGTACATCTAATAAAGGTTAAGGGGTCATGATTTTAGTTAATTAAGCTTTTCTTGCTAGACTTATTTTCATTATAAATTTCTGTTTCACTATGATTAATGTTTATATCGACTATGGATAAAATATATTCATCAATTTAATTTATCTTGTACCACTTTTGATTTAGTAATCATAAAATGTACTAGGATCATCATAAAAATAATTTCCTTTGTAAATTTGGTTTCCTTGGTTATATTAGGAAACATGAGTTTTATTACTATTTAGAATATTTTTTTTCGTTTTCTTTGTTTAATAGTTTACATGTCATCCAGGCGTGGCTATGCTACAGAGAGGCAAAAGGGTTTTCTCATCATAGAAAAGTTGGATTATCTACAATCGAGGCTTCTACAGAAAATCTTGTTCAATATTTCAAGGCCAGTGAAAAGGCTTAGTATTTGGATAAATGAGGTCACTCTACACTTTCGTGTTATTTTTTGATCTCCATTTTTTTATAATTTTAAATAAATTACTTCCATGAATTATGAATTTTCTTGTTCTTCCTCTTATGCTGGATATGAAAGGACACTTTCTCAAAATTGTTGAGTAGGTCTATGTTCTTGTCACTATTAAAAACACATGGTTTATGTTCTTATTGTGCTGTCCTTTCTCTGGTCAGTGGAATGCACCTCTTTATTCAAATGAGAATTTTACGATGAAAGTTCAAAATTTGCCACCATAATGGATGGACAGATCCCACAACCCAGTTACAGATGAAATTTTCGTTGACATCCTAAAATAATATGAAAACAACTGTTGTTTGCTGACCCATGTCTGATCAGCCCGTAATGAATATATTGCTTTGTTGCAACAGTGAGAACTTTTAAACAATGTGTTATGATATCAAGTCACATAAGAATCATCATGAGAGAAAGTTGGATGTAAGGATATCACCATAAAGGAAATTTTAACTAGTTTGACAATACCGTATTAGTGTCTTACAATTTTGTGGTACATATACATTTCATACGAAATCATATTTCTTATAATCATTCCGTATGTTATGCAAACCTAAAAGTGTTTTACTTATTTGCTAAGTTCTACATCAAGTCAACCTTGAATTTGTAATCCTTCTCCTGCAGAAGAAGAATATGGAACAAATCTTCTGACTCAGTAGTTTTGTGCTCATATATTGAGCTAAACAATGCATGCCACTTACGTATAACATGGCATGAAAGACGTGGCAACCTTTTTTATTATTTCACGATACTGGAATCATCATTGTAAAACCTCAGAAAAAAGTTAAATATCTTGGTCAAATTAAGAGGGGAAATTTCTCAAATTAGTGATTAGTAAACATGAAACCTTGCGATAGTGAGAGATATTCAATTTTTTTCTTGAAATATCCTATTATTCCCTGTTAACATCAAATATTGTATCCTCTACGTGTCGTTTTGTAAAATGTTTGCAAAATTCAACATAGGACAAGCCTCATCATGTAGTTTCTTCTTTACTGTGTTGTTAATTCATTTCTGGTAAGTGTAAGACGCCATAGCAGACATCAATAGCTGACACTAGTCTTAAATCCTCCCCTGTTCTTCTCCTTCCACTCCACCATCAAGCTCAAAACCATAAGAGTATTTATGTCATTCAACCGAGTATACAGAGAAGAAAATATATACAGCCGTTAAAGAATCTGGTGTCTCTCTTCCTTCCCCGATCCTCAAGTTTAAAGGCCATCCATAAAGGAATTGGTTGGTCATTGAATTGAACATGCAGAAAATAAGTTGATGAATATACCTGAAGATGCTACTGTTCAAATTGTCTTAACTTAATTTAAAATTTGAGGAAGAGCACGAGGTACAAGAGTACAAAATTGTGTCTCCTTTCAGTTAAGGTATCATCAGGTTCTACAAAACTTTCATTATTGGGTTAGCCATACACTTCACATGGTTCTAGCGATTTACATGGCATCATCAAATGATACAAGTCTTGGATAAGAATCTACGATGCACTGGAACGCCCTTGTTGATGATCCCTTACTCCAACAGCATCTAGGGTTCCTCTAACAATGCGCTATCTCACACTGTGTAAATTCTTTACCCTTCCTCCTCTCACTAGTATTACAGAATGTTTTACTGAATTATGGCCAGTACCAGGTATATAAGAAATGATTTAAAATCTAGACGTTAATCATACTCTGGCAACTTTGCATACGGCAGAATTTATTATAAACCCGTTTTATTTTGCTGGGGCGGCTTTAGAAACCAGCATCAGGGCATTTCATTTTCCCTGGACAACGTATGGGTATTCATCAGTAGTATTTTAAAACAAAAGAGTGAAGCCGTCAAAACTAATAGGAAAAAACCCTGCCATTTTCAAACTGTCGAAGACTATAAATTCCATAAGTTATCAAATCGTTCATTGACATCTAATTAGATGACAGGCTCTGTTGCCATAAAACACAGAGCCTTTGAAAAAATCAACGAATATTTTCTGAGGCGCATTAAACATGCATAAATTGTATCCATATGAAGATATGTATTTCTAAAGACTCTTCCTTACAGTATTTTAGTGTTAAATCCACAGGTGCTCTAGAGTCACCCTGAGGCTCTTTTGAATGCACAGGTGTTAAATACACAGGTGAATGGAGAAATCGTTAGGCTCTGTCTGGAATGACCTTGCAGAGAGTATCTTTCCAAATTCGTTGGCATCTTGAAATAGGTAGCCTTCTGGTGTATCAGTCCAGTACGGAGATTAACACCTAGATGATCGACTTGGGTAGTCAAACCATTCTTTGTCCTGTGTTATAATACAAGAAATAAATGGGAAAATATACTGCCTTAACAATATTATAAGGATAGACCCTTTCCTTCATCGAGTAAACACTAATACTGTGCTTGTAATGCAGACGTATGATCATAAGATGTGCAGAGTTATTGGAAATTAAAGCTATTTTATTAAAAGCTTTACTTTTTAATGTGTCTGTCTGGCTGGCCATCATTATAGAGTATATCTGTCTTGTTTTCGACGTTTAACATTATATAAATTGTTATTAAGTTTTAACATTGTTTTTTTTTCATATCCAAGGCCTTAAAAAACCCTAGTCAAACAGACGAACTAAAAGGTCTGATCGAAAGAGCTAAGGGTTGGCTTGAGAAGCACGGATTTCCAAAGGCCGTACACTCCCATTTTGAGGCTACATTCACCGATCAGCTGGAATATTCTCAACCAGAGGCTAGTGAGCTCCCAATCTGGCTTGCTTCACAAAGGGCATCGCTTCGTTACCAGGGATTTTTGTCGTCCATTGGACCTCGTGAAAGGCTTATGAGGAAATTCCTCACTTGGATTGGACTTATTCCTTCTATTCCAGAAGCATCAATAGATCACGACGCTGGAAGCAAAGTTTCTGAGATCTATCTGAGGTTTGCTCCATTCATTCCCAGTTTAAACTGCTATCCCTTCCACTAAAGTATATTATGTCTTGTCTGCATAAACGTACACACACGCACGCATGCACACATGCAGACAACACAAAAAGGGATTGGGTTTCCCCCTTGATCCAGTACGGCTTGTCTGATAGTTCCTAGTTGATTAGGTGGGATGATTCCTAGTTGTTAGAAAATTTCTCTTCAAATCCATTCCTATGACTTTCTATTGTAGATGCGTTGGCTGTTTGCAAAGATGAAGATGCAGTTAATAGTGGTCTGTATGATAAGTTGACAATGTTTCTTGATGGCTTGATCTTGAAGATAGCTCTCCGTGCTTTGGCAGTGACAGATGACTTGCAAGTTAATGCCAATTCGATGATATCCGTCTGAGAGGGGGGAGAAAGAGAGAGAGATAAGAGGAGAATGCCCCTCGTGGAAGCAACCTTACCCTAGCTTGATGTCTCTTGAGAAAATTGGAGACGATCTGGACGAACCATTTTACTCCATAACGATATAAGAAGTGATTGATCATTAGCTGGACATGAATAAATGATAGGCAGAGGAGAATAGATTTTTTAGCATCAGCATTAAATACCAAAAAAAATAACGTGAAAAAAGAGATGATATTCTCGGAGCGATGGTCTTTTGAATCAGATGCTAATCCATGATTTATGGAGTTAATCAGATCCATAGTGGGTTTGGATTGGGCCCAGATTTGTCCAGTTCGGGGGATAGACCAGTTTGTTTCTAAAAAGATACCATGATTTACGTTAAAAATCTAGAATTTTAACGCTATGATTACTCAATGTCTCAGCACTGACAATAGCATAGGCTTCAGTGTTAGCTCCTTGAGCAAACAGTTGGTTAGATATGAAAATCATGTCTCGTTACATATCCCCTGTGGTTATAGCCTGGTGTAGGATCTTTCCTTTCATGCCAAAATAAAAAGATAAAATCTTAGAGCTCAATATCACGTTTCTCCTTGCACATCATCGGAGATAAAAGCCTTGTGCAACATCTTAACTTTCATGTCGAACTTAAAAGGTAAAATATTGATGCAGAACCAGTGATTTTGTGTTTCTTTTAATTGTTAAGTTTGAAAATTGAAAATAAGTTTTAGCTCATCTAAATGTAAGATATAGCGGCTAGCATCCAAATTCAAAGATGGAAATAAAGTAACTGGTATATGAGCACTATTTAGGTGAGATATTCGTATGCAGTTTGTCTGGACAGTTTTCTAGATAATTTTTAAGAGTGGCAGACGAATTATTAGGGGTTCAGTAGTCCTTAGGAAGAGATAAGTATCACGCATCTCTTCCCTCCTGATGGATTTTCTATTTCTGTCCGATATTTCTGACTAATTTTTATTGTGGAATACATGAAAGAAAAAGTTCTTTTGAGATCTTTCTATTCCAAATGTGGGACAAAAGATGTTCCTAGTCCTTTGTCGGAAAACAAATTGAAAGACGTCTTGGGTAAATTCTTTTATCTCGAATTATTTGTCGTGAATAATAGGAAATTTTTGGTCCCTTTTCATTGATGCCTCACTAGAAGCCCCTGTGTGAAAACGTTGACATTCACCCATAGGTACAAGATCTGCGTTATTCCTATTGTTTATTTTATTTCCATTGAAACATCATACACTGGACAATATTTCTACTCACCTAATGAGTTTCATATATAAAAAATGTGGTTGGCAGGCCAAATTTCTTACCAAGAATGACGCTTACTGACATATGGGAGCCTGCATCAATGGAAGCTTGTGGGAGTAACATATGGAAAATGCTGAAAACTGGTGTATCTATTATTTTTTCAAGATCAGTTCTCCAGGTTTGGTACTATCACGTCTTATGTGCAAATGTCTTTGGATCCTGTTTACTAATGAAAGTAGAACTGGAACGTGTTGTCACTAAGGATGATGATATATATTGGTGGTTTCAGCTCGATCACCCAAGTCTTGGTGAGAAGAGACCGTTATGTTTTAGTAACGGACACATAATATTTCACTCTCACAAACATCAGAATTAGCTGAATTTATTGATCGTTGAAAATGATGTTTTTCAATATTTCTTCTTACAATTTATCATCCTGTGACTGTGGTTAATGATAGATGTTTAAAAAGAGCTGTTACTAGCTTGTGCTATCAAAGTTGTAAATGGAAGAATCCTATGGTCAACTAATCTTTCTTGTTATGCCTGAACGAGCTTGTGCTCGAAAACTCTAGCTTTTCTTTCTATGGATATAAACATGATGAAATATCATAATAGGTTTAAAAAATTAGCATACTTCTTAGAAATTACACTTTACATCAAATAGCATCAGAATCAAGATATACCTAAAAGTATTCCTAGTTTTCTCCATTGAAGGATATTCTGAAATGAACATTAGTTACTGGGAAAAATATCTTTGAATTAAATCCAGCCGAACGACTGAAAGTTGGCTCTAAAAAGCTTGCCTAGTTGTTTTTTTTGGTCTGTCATCTGCATAAGAAGCTCTGGTTGGAAGAATGGGACTGACACCCTTCTGTTAGCTAAGTCACGAGAAATTGGTCATATATTTTATCTGAGATTCGCATTATGTTGACTAAAAAGTCAATTGAGCTCTAAGATATTCTATTAAAATGAGATCACCATTTATCTCCATAGATTAGCTAATTTGTCTTGACGACATAGCACACGCTCGGGAATAAATGGTTCATCTTTAGGACTCGTCAGAGAAGAGTACAGCCACCTTACTTTGCAGTGTTTTATCCTAACGTGCTGATTGATGTGAAAATAATGAGAAAAATACAGGTATCTCTTCAATTTCAAGTTAGACACTAATTTTAGAACAGCTGATGAAATCCTGGAGGTATCTGGTAGCTCTGGTAGCTCTGGTAGCTCTGGTAGCTCATTCAATTCATGTGTTGCTATTCTTGAATTGAATAATTAATAAAAGAAATGGAATTACGGAAAAGGGAGGAACTAGAACTAGACCAATGTGGTGAACTAGAATAACAATCACTGCAACCATATTTGGAGCATACTTGTCAAACTAAAACCAAATTGTAATCTCTCTCTTTTAGAGAAACGAGGGGATCAAATTAACTCAGTTACGGTATAAATCAACTTGGCTCCAATTTGTAAAAGTCTACGGGAATAATACTTTTCAAGATACTTGAATTGTGAAACTAAGCCTTGCATGATTCTTAGTTTTGGGATCTTAAAGCTTTGATCACGCTGCTTCATGTCATTCGAGGCTAAACTGGCTCAGACAGTATGGTACAACCACTGATTTTATCCGCTGTGGATTTATCATGGGTCTGCCAAGGTGAGCAGTTAGTGTGATCATGGACGAACTTAAGTACTCACCCCAGAACGATGTAAACTTTTGTTTTAACAGAAATTATCGTTGAAAATCTCTGAATCTTTGGGACCCCTTTCTCACCCTTGTGCTTGAAAAGATATATTTATTGACATTTTGCCTTTCAAGTATTGTTTCGCATACTAACAAGTGAAATAGAGACGGATATGACACTAGTTTCACCTAGCATCATTGGCTCCCAAAGATTACTTCCGAGTACCCACATCTTATTAATAAAATTTTCAATTCAACTTTATTTCAGGAGCCAGCATTCCAAGAATTGATTCTTCTTTATACTGAAGAAGTCGTTCAGAGTGATTCTGAGAAGAGCGAAGCTAGGCCATTGCAATTGAAAATATACGAGAGAATACCCTATCCTGAGCTTCCAGTAAGTTCATAATCACTAATCTTATATTATATTAATGTTTTTCTATTTTGTTCATGGATCAAGGAGAATTCATTTTTGCTTTAAATATTATCGAGTGCATTCATATGTCAAGAGTGTGGCGTACACTTTTTTATTTCGTGATGTGAATATTAAAACGTTCACATTATTTATTCTCATTTTTTTCATTTTGCTTCCTTGCAGGTCGTTTTTCCCCACAAGAAACTATCATTCCGGATATTGGATACGGTATAATCACAATAGGATTCAATCACTGTCATAATTTCAATCTCCATTATTTTTAGTTTTAAATTTTAAAGATTAGCGAAAGCCGTGGTGAAGGGTAGTCAAATAATTTCATGTGGAACTTTATTTGAACTTTCTTTTATACAAGCGGCTTATTGACCGGAGTTTAGAAGATAAATTGTTCTTTTGAACTTGATTTAAAATCAATGGTTAAAAAAAAACTATTATGTTTTATGAGATCCTAATAGCAATATTGGAGCTGCATTAGTATGTGCTTTGGTTTGGTTTGAGTGTGGTGGTACATCATATGATAACTAGGAGAAGGAACTCCCTTGGAAGCATTACTTCTAATATGTAATAATTTACTGCAGTTTATAAATTTTACAACATTTACACCCAGCTGATTGTTTATTCTACATGATTTTTGTAGGTACGCTTGGATGTTGCGAGCATATTGGGACTTTTAGCTTACTTTGTCAATTACAAATTTGAGAATATTCTCTCATCTCCGTATGAAACAAATCTTTTGTTATCATTTGAGTTCTGTCATCAAGGGACCACATATTGCACCCACGTTCCACTTAAAACATAGGCCTAGTGATGATCCTATAATGATTGAAATAAATTTATGATTGTTGATCAGAAAGAAGTGAAATAATAGATGCAATATAGAATGAAAAGTTATGAGACTCTTGATGAAAGTTACTTCAACGAAAGTAAATATTGAAACAGAATGTGCAATTTTATATTGGATATTCATTTTTATTTTCTATTCAATTGGTGATTTCGTTTAACTTTACAGGCTAATGGAATTGTTTCAATGCTAAAGTTTGAGACTGGAGTGGAAATGGTAGAAAGTGGGAATATCGGAGGTCTCAGTTCTCAAGTTGGGAAATGGAATGGAACTGGTGGGAGGACTTAGAAAGAGGACTTTGCCTTGATAGCGGTTAAAAATACCACTTTGTATACTGAGCTTATAGTTTTATAGGCACTGGCGTCTATTGCTGGATACCAAAATTATTGCAAGTATTTAAGGCATGATCAGGTTGCCAGGTTGATACCTTATATGGGAAATAGGTTCATAAATCCCATATTTAATCTGGTGATAAAAACCTGTAATTTGAACCAGGAATATGTTTATTTTAATATTCGATGAATGATCTGCGCATAGTTCTACTCGTTTCCATAAATAATTTTTTAATAGCAATTTACAAGGGTAACCGAGCTGGCATGTCCACAAATGATACAAAGAATTGATAATTATGGTATAATGTGTCAAACTAGAGATTTTCAAATTTTGCCTTTTAGCTGACTGCACATGTATTTTACTTGAGGGAATATCTATGTACTTGATCTCTAGCCAGATGTGTGGACTATATGTTTTAGTCATCTTACTGTGAGAGGAAAAATCATTGGTGTCCAGGCCATTTGTAACTTTGGTTTTGTGACCTGCCTAAACCCTAATAACGTCCATGATCCCACAGTTTTGTCCAACTGAACTTCCATATCTCATGGAACTGTCACTGCACAGTTCTCATTGTTATATCACCTTTTATTAGCGAGAGTAGTGAGTTACTGTGAACCACGATCACTAAGGGCAGATCATGACTACATACTGAAAAAGTACATAATGAGACATGAATCTGATGGTACAGTCACTAATAACCTCAAGACCCAGGCTCTGTGAATTAGCTTGCATTCTGCTGCAATTGCTGCAGACTATCTCAGTACTACCAGTTGTCTGTCAAAGTATGGGTGAGTCTCTCAGAAAGAAACTATCCAGCTCTGTGATCATCTACGAAATGGTACTCAAACGTGCATGCACAAATATGGTCACCAGAAAAATAACTGGGACTATAATGAGAGGTTTTAATTTTTAAAGTGAATTACGCATTGTGCAGTCATATGGTGAATCAAAAATGACTTTTTGAAATTAACCTTCCTTATTCTTTTTCATAAATAATCATTATAGTCCATGGAAACTATATTAGACTTTTGCTACTTTGGCCAACTAGCATTTGCATCAGACTGTGTCTATTTTGTGGTCAGCAGAAATTATTCAAATATGTGATTGTTTCATCATTTTTTACGCCTTTTCTTTGTCCCCTCATTAATGTAATGACATGTTTATGGTGCTTTCCTGGTCCAGTTTTTTGTGCCTCACTTCCTTTCCCCAATTCTGTTGTTTTCCAGTTCAGCATTTTTCCTTGATGTAGTAGCCATAAGTGCACTCGTATTATTTATGACACGTGTGGGATTGGGCTATAAACAAACGTGGGATCGATACCAAGTAAGTTGCCATTTTTTAATTAACCTTCAAGTATCCTTTTTATAAATTTTATTTTATTTTTCATGGAAAAAGGTTTTAAATCCTAATTTTTTTCATAAACATTAGAAAATATTGACGCATAACCATAATAGTTTTTGCGTGTTTGTCTGTTTTCTATAAAATTTTAACACAAAACCGGTTTGATCCTCATCCTTCATTTACTCGTGTGTCTACAATATTTTAGGTGGAGAATTACTGTCAAGAGGTATTCTCCGATGGGCTGCCCTTTCAAATGGAGTTGTAGGAATTTTAGATTGATTCGGTTTACAATGGTAGTTTCAAGCTAAATAAGAAGAGCTCCTAGACTTTTCGGTTCGTACATACTAGCGCCCCCATGTAAGATAATTCTAGGTCAACAAATACTAATGCGCTGATAGCCCCCTTTACCGGATTGAGTTTGAGAGACTTGCGGTCGTTAGGCGTGAGGCAAATGTATACCTCATATTGGGTTTCTACGTTTTCTTGCACCAGTGTGTCTAGAAGAGAATCCTTATTCGGTTCCATCAGCTAGGTTGATAGACACATATAACATCCCATGAAAAGGCACAGATCTTGGCTCGTGCTTAATTTAAGATTTCTATGATGGTGACAGTAGAGAGGAGATTTTGATTATCTTTGGCTGCAAAAGCACCGATTTTTAAATTAGAATCTACCTGCTGATTTTATGTGACCCGTAAAAGCAACCAATTGAAGAGACTTGTGGTGGTACGCATGAGACACAATTGTGAGCCTTTTCTGCCTGAAATTAGTTCCACATTCAATTGAGATGCTTGATCAAGAGTATTTGGCTATTTATGTATTACAACTGTGAAGTGTTTTAGTTTCGTTCAGACAGTTTGTATGATTGTAGAGATTTTGCATCCTCTGTGAAGCATTCTGAAGCAGCATCTTTTATTTCAGCTTTTGGTCAACAGGACCCTGTATGAAAAGACACTAGCTAGTGGTTTCGGTTCTGTTCACTTCCTTCTGGATGCCTCTGAGCAGCAGCAAGTGAGTGAAGTTGATAAGTTCCGATGGATATCATTATCTGCTACAAACTTTTCAGAAACATATCATGTACCTTATCATAATATCATTTCCTTTTCCATGCAGTACAAAGAGGCAGTTTTGGCATATGCGATTCTTCTTCGCACTGAAAATTTGCAGGTTTTCAACTTCCTTTATTGTTTGATAATTCTAAACTGATTAGCCTCCAAGAGGTCTCTAACTTTTATTAAAAAATGGATAATTCTGTCAATTTCTTATGACAAAATAATTCACTTGAGAATCTTTGCTGTTATACAATAGGTATCAATACTCTAAAGAATCCTAGTTGTTATCAATAGGTATGGTCTAAATCTTTGCTCTCCGAGATGTGACCTGTGGAAGCTAGACACATCATATAAACTTAGAACCCATTTTTTTATGTAAGATATTTATTTGTTTTGCTTGTGAGGGTTCCAGCTGAACTAAGAGGTTATGGCATGTTTCTGGTATCAATGTGAATCAATGTGTATTTTGATTATTACGGTATCAATTGTGTGTGATTTACAATAGGTTCCACGCTCTTCAGGACATTTCATCAATTAATTTAGCAGAATATTCGTAATACATCCAAAAAATATCATTCAAATGTTTTCAGTTCTCCATCAAACTTACCTTTTCGTTTTTCTCTGAGGAACATGGATTGCTAGTTGGATTCTTGGTAGTTGCAATATGCAATGTCGACCCATAACCCAAGTTTCTGGATGTCACTGCCTTCTTCATGACATTAATGAACATTGGATATCTTCTCCAGTTTTGACCTGATTTAAAGCTCTTATATCTCCTGTGCAGCATTTTTTTTTAAAATTTTCAAATCCCTATTTAGTTGGATGAATAGATTAAAAGCTGCGTCACTTAGTCTCTGGCACTCCGCTGACTTTTTTGACTTCATATATCAAGGCCTCATTTTCCTAGATGTTACATTGTAAGTTTTAATACGGTTACAACTTCGGTATTTTAGATTCATATAATTTGAAACATAAAAGCCTCTTTTTCGAAGTTTTAGGCTACACTTGAATACCAAACTTACACTAATAATTGATAGGTGTCCTGTCGCAAGAGTCTAGCAGATGCCTGCGAGATATTCCTGTATGACAAATTCCACGAGAAGGTATGTAAGAAAGCATGTGCTCGCTGACTTTGAGGTGAAACAATGGTGGCTGTAATATTGCTGTATGCAGGTCGAAATGCCAATTGAGAATGCCATCAACACGTTATTGAGATTGGACATTGTGAAAGAGACTCAAACGAATGGAAGCGTTGGACTAAATGCTCTTCCGTCTCTCAAGGCATATAAGGCCCTCAAAAGTCGTTGGGACGACTTGATAGCATAAAAGAGCTTTGCTGCTCCTTTGCAGGTACTCTACTTTTCTAGTCAGAAATAGCGCAAATCTTCCCATACATCGATGTGCTGTCCTTTTTTTTTCTTTTCTTTTTTCCAGCCATTTTTTAGAGTTATAAAAACCATAATAATAGTACTAATGACCAAAACAACAACAACAGTAACGAAAGCTTGAAGAGATGTAAACACATAATATTCTAGGGATGAGAATGTACAGATTTTGTAATAAGCTTTAAGTCCGCATGGCCCTTATGGGCTGGGCCACACACATGCTACAATGGCAATTACAATGGGAAGCAAGGCTGTAAGGCAGAGCGAATCCGGAAAGATTGCCTCAGTTCGGATTGTTCTCTGCAACTCGGGAACATGAAGTTGAAATCGCTAGTAATTGCGGATCAGCATGCCGTGGTGAATATGTACCCGGGCCCTGTACACACCGCCCGTAATGTTCTTATTTCGACGATTTTCCTCATTGATCCACCAAAGTCATTTATCGAGAACGCTTCTATAGAAGGATTTAATTTTAGCACACCCCATTGTTCCTCCACTTTTATATCTTCACATATGACTAAAAACAGTCCATGTTCTCATTCATGCATGTATAGAGCTGACTTTATTTATCTTTTTTTCGTTTTTTTATTTCTTTATTATAGTTATTAAAAAACTTCTTATCATCATTATCCAATTTTCTGAGCAGTACACTTTTAACTCTTGTTCATCATCAAGTATTTTATGGTAAAAATTGCATCCTCCCTAAATTCCTGTTTAACTGATCTGTCCTGCTTTCAGGCCAGCTCCTTATTTTCCAAGCACAGTAAGCCTTCTAAAGAGTGTAACCCATTCATTATTGAACTGAATCATGAATGACCCATCATTTTTTTATCATTTGCTTTCAATCATCAAATTCGGATGAACATTGGCAAGAAGATAACTGGCTCGTATCGTTTTTTTGGCTAACTTTATGTAGGCTTTGTGAATTTGACGTATCTGGGGATGGAACTTCATTCAAGAGCTCACCACTTAAGGTCCTACATCCCTATGCTTACATCATATGAGTACAGAAGCTCCTGGGCACTCTTGTATGTAGTAATGAGCACAGAAGATTAGCTCTAAATGAGCCAAGGTCGAGATGAAACACTAGACACATGGTCCAGATGTGCTAATTCATGAGGATCTGAAAGAGACCAAGGGAACCACATCCACCTCAATAGCCCCAGCCTCATCACTGCTTGAAGGTCAAATATCCAGATAAATAGATGTATAGAGAGATAGATAGATCATCTGTGCAGGTCAAGTTCCAAAGATGATGGTAAGTGAAACTAGAGAAAATGCAGACAAAATCTGCATCGACAGTTCATTTTCTAGATGGTTTGTATGCATAGTATGTTTATTCATTCCTCCTAGTGTCCTTGTAAAAAGAAATTCTTAGAATTTTGCTCATTGATAATCCGTGGTGTACTTTTATACAGAGAAATCCTAACATTATTAATTATAGAACATTTGGATCTGATCTAATGTGTTGATAGGTAACCATAGTGTCCGTGGAGAGAAAAATATTCTCATATTTGATAAAAGAAAAAAACACCCTTACAAAGGAAGTGGGTTTGGTAGTTATATTAGACTCTTGTAAGGTTCTAGACCTAGACATATAACTACAAAAAACTTAAGGTATACTAGACAGTATATTAGACACATCTCGACAACACTCCCCTTCAAGTTAGTGAGTGGATGTTGTCCATTCCCAACTCAAGATGCCTTTAATAAGTATATCTACCAATTAATTTTGTACCAGTTATCGTGCCCACGGTAAATGTTGGGTAGCCAAGTGCGGAGTGGATAACTGCTATTTGATATGATTATGTTGTACTAAGTTATGCACAAAATTAGACATGATAGGGTGAATCTTTCACAAGTTTCTTGATAGAGATGAGATTTGTAAATAATTTTGAGACATGGAAAATATTAGTAAAGGATTCCAAAGGGTTCAAGTTTAAGGTCTCTTATATTAGCAACTATTAGAAAGGATCTATCTATAGTAGATATATTTTTTATCACTAGGACAAGGATTGTATTTGATAAAAGGATGAGAAAAATTTGTCATATGATATGTTACCCTTGAGTCCACTACCTAATTGTTAGAAATAACTCTAGAAGAGGATTTGATTTTAAGAGATTAATGAAACTTAAAATACTAAATTAATTAGTATTGGATCACTTTTGACTTCATCTTTTCCAATTCAACTCAAAATCGTTCTATCTCATCCATTTAAAATGAAGGAAGATGGTAGTTTTTTTTATTATTTTGATGGTTGTTTGAAAATCTAATTGATAGGTAATTCCACTACCAAATGTGCTTGACTTCCATGTTTTTTAGTACTGAAACTTTGTGATCTACCATGAAGTTTATAACATCTATGTCCAGGGTGACGAGGTTTCTTGTAATATCTATGTTATAGATTATCTTGAAAATCAAACTTTTAATTTTTTCTTTGACTAAGTTGAGGATGTAGAATTTGATTTCTGACTTTCTTCATAATTTCATCATATTTAATCATAAATGTAGCATTATCAATTTCAAACACTAATAACATTAATGTTTTATGGTTCTATTCATTCAAAATTATTGAAATAATCTCATTTAAATGATTTCCTCTCATGGCTTAAAATTTGTTGTCTAACATGATAAAAAATAGAGTTAAGTCCTGCAATAAATTTAAAGACTTTTTTTAAATCTTTGAAATTTTGTAGAATAGTAATCTCCTCAGTTTTTCTATGTTGGGACTAAGGTAATAGTCAAGTTACTAATATAAACCTTTCAATTCTCTAAGATATTCCATCATGAATTCATTTCCTTGCATTATAGACATGAACTTTGTCTCTAGTTGTATATATGAGCCTCATTATTCTTTGGTGAGATTTTTGTGTGAATTTTTTCTCACAAACCTTTAATTGAAGTCAACAAGAAAAAATCTTTAACTAATTTGAAAATCATTGTTCCGAGATCCAAGTCTTAATTAGTGCATCCTCCTCTCTCCCTCTATGGTTTTCATGAGACAAGGGATTTGGTTGCCCCTCTACTAAATGATGTAACATCTCTCTCTCAATCCTCTCGAATGTATTTTAACTGTTAGATCAAATTATATTTAGCTAATTTGAACTCTATAGGTATTGTAAGGAGTTATACTACTAATCGTAGAGTAGTAAGACTAAGGTTAGAATCCCTTGTGGAAGGAGGATCTCCCACAACTGATGAAGAAATATCTCTCACATTTGATACTTCAAGAAAACAACTAAATCTACTAAATCATTGTAAAAAGAAGAAAAGAAGAAAAAATGGTAAAAAAATTATAATTGTAGTAGAATGAATTATTGCAAAAAGAAGAAAAGAAGCGATCACACTTGGATTCACTTTGATACCATGTAAAATATTTGAATCTGATCTACTGCATTGATAGGTACCCACAATGTCCATGGAGAGAAAAAATATCCACTTATTTGATAAAGGAAAAAACTCCCTTACAAACTAAGTGGGATCTAATATTTATATTAGACCCTTACAAGGTTCTAGACATAGACATATAATTACAAAAAAAAGGTATATTGGATAGTATACTAGACACATCCTGACAACATTAAAGAAAAAATATTTATTTTATTTTCCTTTTTGTGCACAAAACCCTGTGGGATGGCAAGGATCCCTTAACAAAACCATATTCTAAGTACACTTGAAGCTCTAATTTATATATGACAAAATCCTGCCTTTTCAATTCCAACCCTTTGATCATGTTCTACTATTCTTCTTCATCGCAAATCATAGAGTAAGTTAGCATTGGCATGCCGTCAATGATACATAAGTATTCTTTACTTGAGCCAATTTTACTTTTTGGTTGAATGGCATGATTCTTGGATGTTGTTATTGAGCCACATCAATCCACAACTCAATGATCATGTTATATATACCAATGATTTAAGATCTAATGGCAGAGAAAAATATGTTGTCAAAGTTTCTCCATCGATTTCAGTCATGGTCTATTTGTTTCAAGTTTAATAGTAATTTTCTTTCACACATTCAATGTACCTAATTATGTACATCTTACCATTCTCTCATCTTCATGGATGTGTCTAAAAAAGAATTTTTTTAGCACTATTTATAGAAATATATATGCTCGTATGTCTTTGATGGAAAAGGAGAAACATGGTTATTTTTAGTATAAAAGCCATCCAAGAATCTTGACATTATTGTTTTTTAAGGGACCACATTGGAGGATCTTGCTTTATTTTAATCCAATATAATACGTGTAGTAATGTTAATTAGGCTAATAAAATAATATCTCAGCTCCAATTAATTTAAACTTCCTTTCTATCTACATGTATTAAAAAATATATGTTCTTAAAGTATTGACCCACGTATCAATAAATTATAGGTCCAAAAATGGTTGAACAATCTTCTTTGTTATTTCATTCTATTTAAATAAAAATAAAAATTAAAAATTGAAATAGCTGCCTTTTTCATGAGGATTAATCGCCACATTCTATTTTAGGAATGAAAACCTTAGATCTCTCATGGCTATGGAAATTATCCTTGATCTTGTTCAAACTGTGGTCCTCCCATTCAATAAATATTAGCTTTCCTTATTTATTTGTAATAAAAAATTCTTTTATCCTAACTACTTTTCTCATATCTTTTAGAATTTCAATTAAAAAAAATACATCTATTAAAGTGCATTATAACCCTTATAATTTTTTATCAACGACACCGGCTGTAAGTGCCTCTGCGGATTGCCTTTGGTTGAACCCTAAGCTAGAGAGAGAGAGAGAGAGAGAGAGAGAGAGGGCTAATAGTGTCTATTTCTGGCAAAAAATGGCCAACGCCGTCAAACTCAGATATACGGTATCGTATAGCTTCACCAGGATTAGGGTTTCTTCTCCTCCTTGAGCCTGCCTATATATTGGTCATCATCCTCGACCCATTCGCTATGCCGCGCCGTCTCTGCAGCAGCTTGGCTCTTGTAGCTCCTACCCGGTTCTCCCGTCGATTTTTTAGATGAAGGGGGGCCCTGCCGTTCCCCGATCGATGATTCCGTCCGTTTGTCTTTTCGTTTGCATCTGATCTCTCCTTGTTCTCGATCTCTGTTGGTTTCCTTTGTTGAGCAAACATTCAGGCAACCCCCTTGCCGCTAATAGCAATTCCCCTGGCATCGGAGGTGTTAATTTGCTCTTACAACGAAGAACAAGCTTCTGCTCTTCAGATTTGCTGAGAGGTTGGGGGTCTCGGCTCCCATCTTCTCTGAAGCTGGTCTAGTAAGCCTAAGCACATCACCATTCCTTCAACCCCCTCTCCCGCTCCTGAAGAATCTCTTAATCCCTATTCACCGCCTCATCTCATCTCGATCGAGGCTCGTTTATCTGCCTAACAGAGCGCATCCTGGCGGCCTCACGAATCTCCTTTCCTTTTGATTCTACTTCCGCGCTTGGCATCGTAGTCATCACCAATCTGCAACTCCAGAGTCCTTCGGGCTACCTTGATCCTTTCCATCCGATTTGCATCTACTTTCTAATACCGATGTTCTTGCAGATCCGTCTGTGGAAATCGCCACTTTTTTTCGACTTCGGTTTCAGATCCAAATCCAGAATCAAAAAATTCGGAGACCAAATAATTTCCTCTGAACGATTTTATTCGGTTGATAGGGCCTTTATAAGAACATATTTCTTGTAATTATCTTCCAAGTTGCATTGCATTATTTGAGAAATTCACTGGAAGGATCGAACCATTAGAAAACATGTTGGTGTCTCCAAGTTTTTTATCAAAAAAAAAAGGGAAAAATGCATTCGATTCAAAGAGATTTGTATTGAAACAGATCAGTTCGTTTGAAACCCTAAAGCCCTTATGATACCAATGAAGGATATTGTTAAGAGTTATGACTATAGAAGAAAAGCCTCATTGAAGCAAGAAAAATGACCATATTACTCAATGGATGAATTTTCCCCTTTTAGAAGGTGTACTAAGTGGAATACATAAGCATATGAACTTCACTTCCCAAGTAGGAAATAATAATTATTTATTATATAATAATGGCCTATTAAGCATGGTGCTCATTCTAAGCCATTAATCATGCCAACTTGATTGGCTAAATAATTTAACAAGTTATATGATTCCATTGGTTGGATAAAAAGTATGTATTCCATTTTACTTAATAAAATTTAGTTTAATTTATATATATATCAACATGGAATTTAATAATAGTGAAAACTGATTAAATATGCATTAATTTTTTCAAATACATATTAAAATTTATTCTTCAATATGAAGAGTGCTGTTGTAGAATAAAATCAAATACTTTTATAAATATACTGTTAAGAATGTAGGTTGTTTGGAAATATTGAGAAAATACACCAAGAAATTATCCTTTTCAGGCATCTTGTTGCCTATTCTGAAGGCTGCAACTTATCTTAAAGTTTTTTTCATATCATTGTTTTCATTAAAAAAAATTAAAAATTCTCGATTTGGTCATCCTTTCTTTAATTTTCATAGTCTTATATAACAAATACCATTAGCAGTCCACTACTTTGTAAGCTTAATTTGGAAAATATTTAGTTTCTAAATGGGGCCCATCAATTAATCCTAATTTTAGAATCTTTTTTACACCAATTATTTACTCTCGATTTATCTCTAAAAGTTCCCAATTCGTGAAGAACATATGATACTTGAAAAATATGGTGTAAAACATTTTGAAAAAACTTGATTTTACAAGTAATTAATAAATAGTTAATATATTTTTTGCTATTTTTTTCCTTTTTAATGAAAAAAAATCATATGATTTTGGGCTGCATGAGGATTCGTGCAGGGGGTTGCATGGAGGTTATTGGGCCACGTTTCCCAACTTCCCGGCCCATTAACACCCCATAATCACGGATCAATGCACCAATGACGACTGAGCGTAACGAAGAAAAGGAAATAAAATAAATAATTACGGTGGGGGTGAAAAGAAATATTTGGGCCTACAACCTTTCTTTTCTAAACTCGATCCTGAGGCCCATAAAAACGAGAGTAATTAGGCCGGCATTGGGCTTCCCCCGACCCATTATCACCCGGTCCGCCTGTACGGAAGCAAAAACAAAATAAAGGAGAAATTAAGGATACAAGTGTCACATCAGAATAATTTCAAACAGTTTCCAATCCCGTCCGACTCTAGAAAGTTCTAGAGTGGGGACCACCGGCTGAGGAGGATATTCCATTCCATTCAGACTAACCAACCGTCAAGGCCTCACGTGCCTGAGCTTTCGGTGGCAACCAGCGCGGCGTGGGGGCGCGTGTGGTCCCCACTTCACGAGGACCTCCGCCGACCACATTCCCCACCCCCGCCCCCGCCCCCTTTCTTATTACTTCATTATCCCCACACCAAGATCCTGTCTGTCACCCGCTCTCTTGCTTGCCCACCAGCTCGGATCCCCTGCCGCCAGCCTCCGCCGTCTGCCGGAAGCGAGGAAGGTTGGTGGGTGGTCTCCGGGAGGCTTGCCGTTCCTTCTTTTGTCTTTGTTGTTGCTTCTCGGCGGTTCTTTTGTGGCGGATCGGAGCTCCTCCTGCCAGTGAGGTGTACGTTTGCTTTTCCATGGTGTGAGAGCTGCGATCTTGCGTTCGGATCTAACTGAATGTTGTGGATCTTTTGGGTGCATGGGACCTGTTGTGTTGATCTCTTCTTGCTCCCTTTTTGAACCTCAGTGTGGTTTTTTCCATGTGGTCGTCTGATTGCTGTGGCGTCAATGTGTTGGGCTTCTTCTGTGTAGCCTAAGAGAGGCATGCGAGGCGAAGGAAACCTTCATAGAGAAGCCTTGATAGGCGTTTTTTTTTTCACCTCTGCAGGGATCTGATACCCTTTCCCACATTGTTCTTTATAATTTCACCTTTGCTTATGATGAAAGCATCGATTATGACTGTTGGATTTCTAAAAGAATCGAACACTGATCTTCCGTATCTCTGTCCAGGGAATTCTCTTTTGCGTCTTGGTGCTGAACCTATTTTTCTCGATTTTTTGCTGTCAAGCTGTTTTTCCTGGAAATCTTTGTTCTAGGGCATCTGAACTTGAGCCTTTCATAAGAGACTAAGCCAGTAAACTTGATTTTTGTGCTTAGGATTGCATAGTGTAGCTACATTTGTAGGTACGTAGGAAATGTGAAATGTCCTACTGAGAGATTGGCTTGCAAACGTGGGTATGCAGGAGATATGAAGCAAATGGGAGATATTTTGTGTTTGAGTAAGGTGTGAAATGCTTTCTATGATTTGGGATGGGGACCAAAAGCAATTTTTTTATCCTTGATTTGTAGTTTAGGAGCCATTCGTAGCATCTAATGGGGTATACGTTGTTTTATGGGATACTTTTGTTCAGTGTCATGGTTTCATGTGAGGAATTCACGATTTTCTTACTCCCATGAGTTTTTTCAGTCTAATCTACTAGAGATAGAGGTTTCCTCAAAAAAAATTTTTTTGCCATTCCCCTGATTTTCTTGTTTCGCGTTGGAGAGTGACTGCTCTCCCTCTCATTTTAGATCATCATTTTTCATTCTTATTTATCTTTCCTTCCTATTAATCTCTGGATAGGTGATCCCGTTTTATCTACCAAGCTCTGTGAGTGTTTCATATTGGTCCACTATCAGCAGATGAGCTGAACCATAAGTTACCCATTCCTCTTGGGACACGAGGGATAGTTAGTCATTTCGTGTAATTTTCTGCCATGACTGTTGCATACCATCTGGAGGAAGAGGAGCAAGTAGTATAACGACCATAGATATGTTCATCTTTTGTTATCGAGCTTATGTTGCATGATTGAGATTTACGGTGATCACGTGCGTCTTCTTGTCTTGTTCTCAACCTTGTCTCCTTGTCAGCCTAGGAAACACATGAGAAAGAAGGCTTTCTGTAATTTCCTTGCAGAATTGGCGAATGAATAGTGGGCGAGCATTTTGCGGCCCCATGATTAAGCTTGGTTGCTGCTCTATTGTACTTGTGTTTTTATTTTCTTGTTAGATTGACTCAGTAACCACAAATAATCACCAGTGATTCCTGTCCACTGTCTTTCTTCCCTTATCCCTGCGCATTTCTATGGTCTGCATTTCGACAGATCTCTTTTTTTTTTTGGGTAGGATGGTCAAGTGGTTGGGAAGTTTCATGCTTTCCCCCTGCATAGGCTCTTGAAACACTGATATTGATTTTTCCTCTCTGCACAGGCACATCGGCATTTAAATTCTCTCTTGAATCCTCATTCAATAAGCCATTTAGTTCTTCTTTCTTATATACTTGTGAAGGCTACCATCATGACATGAATGAAGGAAAGTTCCATGCCTGATCATTTTCTTTTTGAAGGGCACTGATCCATTACCGGATAAAAAAAATAGATTAATTTGATATATGCTTCTTAGTGTTGGCATCTCTTGGCAGCGAAAAGTTCTTTCAATTTTCTGTTGCTTTAAGAGCTTTTAATATTTTCTAGTCGGACTCTCTCACAGCCCCATCAAACTGTGTTTGGAGTGGTTCATTATCTATCCAGGATTTATGCTATTCTGGTTTGGTGCAATCTCTTCTCTCAAAGGATGAAAAACCTTCCGGTGAATGATCTCATTTTGTGCATTTTGATTTCAGATTGCTTTTTCACCTTATAGTGGGTATCTTAACTTCCAACAGTTACATTGTTGTGTGCTCATTAACTATTGTTACTGTCCATTCTGCTCCAGTTTAATTATGTCAACTTTTCTGACAGAGTAGTTATACACTATGGCTGATGTAGATGATATTCAGCCCCTCGTCTGTGACAATGGAACTGGAATGGTTAAGGTGATTTTTTTTCTTCTTAATTACTTGTAAATAAAAAACTTCATTTTAAGTTAAAGCATTATGGGTGTTGATGATGTGTAATTTTTATTTTTTTATCGTATTATAGGCTGGATTTGCTGGGGATGATGCTCCCAGAGCTGTCTTCCCGAGTATTGTTGGTCGGCCTCGTCATACTGGTGTCATGGTTGGCATGGGACAGAAAGAAGCCTATGTGGGTGATGAGGCCCAATCTAAGAGAGGAATTTTGACGTTGAAATACCCTATTGAACATGGAATTGTCAGCAATTGGGATGACATGGAGAAAATTTGGCATCACACTTTCTACAATGAGCTTAGAGTTGCCCCAGAGGAGCATCCTGTTCTCCTCACTGAAGCGCCCCTTAATCCGAAGGCCAACAGAGAGAAGATGACGCAAATCATGTTTGAAACCTTCAATGTTCCAGCTATGTATGTTGCAATTCAGGCTGTCCTCTCTCTATATGCCAGTGGTCGTACAACAGGTATGCAAAAGTGAAGAACCAGCTACTACAAGTTTTCTGCCTGCACTTTGTTTCCTACACTATTTTTATGAATCCATGCTTAATGTTCTAATTGGCGAATCTAAGTGATCTAGCTGGTATATTATATTACATTCGATTCACGTACAGAATTCCTTTTCAATACATGCCATCCTGGGTTGTGAAAGTAGTCGCTCTCGAAAGGAAGTATCTGGCATAGGATATTATATTCATGTGCATAGCTTTCTCCAATATACCTGCATTTATTCATGAATATATATATATATGTATTTTTTTCGTGTGAGGCGTTGACTTTTTCCGTTTTGTACGTTGTCTTAGAATGAATGTCTTGCAGGGCATGTGCAGCAATTTGATGACCTGAAAATGTCACATGGTTTGGGTTTCTTGGGTAGACATGCATATGATGATTTTAAGGTCTTGCACCACGGAAAGTTGACTTTTTTTGTTGAAAATTTCTACCTTTTGAGTTACAAAAAGAGAGAATTCCGTTGTGGCACATGTGGTTTGTAGGTCCGGTTAGATTCATCGTCGTCCCTTCTCTCCCCTCCCTGTTCTGATTCCCATCGTCTTCCTGGCAAGTTTACTACCATTCTGTCACTCGGTGTCCATTTCTCTGCAGCAGTTCCTTTTTTTTTCTCCATTTTTTTCCTTTTCCATCACCTGCATCCTCCGTTTCTTCATGGGCCGGCCTCATTTCTCTCTCAGGTATCGTCCTGGACTCGGGCGACGGCGTGAGCCACACCGTGCCCATCTACGAGGGCTACGCCCTCCCGCACGCCATCCTCCGGCTCGACCTCGCCGGGAGGGACCTCACCGACGCCCTGATGAAGATCCTGACGGAAAGGGGCTACTCCTTCACCACGACCGCCGAGCGGGAAATTGTGCGCGACATCAAGGAGAAGCTGGCCTACATCGCCCTGGACTACGAGCAGGAGCTGGAGGCGGCGAGGAGCAGCTCCTCGGTGGAGAAGACCTACGAGCTGCCCGACGGGCAGGTGATCACCATCGGCGCCGAGCGGTTCCGGTGCCCGGAAGTCCTCTTCCAGCCGTCGCTCGTCGGCATGGAGGCTGCTGGCATCCACGAGACCACCTACAACTCCATCATGAAGTGCGATGTGGACATCCGCAAGGACCTCTACGGCAACATCGTCCTCAGCGGCGGCTCCACCATGTTCCCCGGCATCGCGGACCGCATGAGCAAGGAGATCACCGCCCTCGCCCCCAGCAGCATGAAGATCAAGGTGGTGGCCCCCCCCGAGCGCAAGTACAGTGTCTGGATCGGCGGCTCCATCCTCGCCTCCCTCAGCACCTTCCAGCAGGTACCACCGCCAAACTCTCCACCCCCCCTCCTTCGTCCTTCTCCCTTCGCCTCCCTAATTCGGCTCATCTTGTGCAGATGTGGATAACCAAGGGAGAGTACGAGGAGTCCGGGCCCGCCATTGTACACAGGAAGTGCTTCTAGGTGGCTGGGTTGGTCGGTAGGTTGGTAGGTTATCCCTTTTCTTCCCTGCATACCCTCGCATGCAGTTTGATGCGCCCCCCTGTTGACGAACTGCTGGCGATCGGCTCATCTCCCCCCCCGCGCAAGTCCTCCGTAGAAGCCTATCTGGTTGGTGTATAAGACTCTAGGGTTTGATTTGCTCCCCCTCCCCCTGTTTTGGGGATCGATGGTATTTTAGTAGCTGCATCTGGTTCCGATCTTGATCCCCATCATCCGTCGAATTTTTCGCACTGTGGAAGTACTGGGAAGGGAAAGGGTTGTGGTTTAGGGTTCATAAATGCGCCACAAGGAATCAGGGTTCGAATGGGGACGCAGAAGGGGTTTACTTTTCTGTGTTTGGTCGGCTTGTCGTGATCTATTTATTGTTCTCTACGTTGAAAGGGGGTGATAAAGATGAGCTGGAGCTTTTGCAATGGGGCCCAACTCCAGAGAGATGCCGATGTTTGACTTTTGCCGTGGGACCGGGGAGCGAGCGCTGGGCGGGCCTTCCGCCGCTGGGCGCCAATGGTGTCGCCCGTCCATATCTTCAACTCCTTACGGAAGGGGGGAGAGCGAGAGAGAGAGAGAGAGAGAGAGAAATCCATGGGCCCTTGAGAGATGTGTTTGACTTATCGGGAGAGCACGGGTCATACAATTAAAGTTCTTTTTTCTGGGGGTGAGGAGGGGTGGGAGGGTTTTTAAGATAGGCTCGTTGGATCTTCCGCCTCATCTGATTAGTTGGCACCTTCTTGAACAAAGCGTGACTGGTACCCTGTTCTTGAACAATAAGGGAAGTCAACGAGGCCGTGTGCCCTCCACTCGCTTCTTACTTAGTATTCCGGAGGCTTCTTCTACCTCCTCTCTCGGCAGCGGCGGCGCTCCATCAACCGGAACGCCACCGCCTCGCCACCCGCCGGCCGGCGGGGAGCACACCCCTTCTTCCCTCATATCGGTCTCATGTTCTGAGGAGGGGACGGGTCCCATGAGAGGTCAACGGCTACGTTCCTTAAATATGCACGTTAATTCGATTTATTTTTTATCTTAATTACAAATGGGGGTGAGAGAGGAGATCTGGTGGGGGGCACGTGTTCCCTCAGAGACGGTCAACTGTCTCTCTCCGCCATCGCCATTCCGGGTTTTACTTTACATGGCAACCTGAAGGTGATTGGCTGGGCTTGGTCAAGCGCGTGCCGGCCACACGCCGCCCAGCTTTTTATTGCCACGCCAGCAGCATCCGATGGGATCACTTCCCCGTTCACACTTGCCCGCATCCTACGCGACGTTTCATCTTCAGCCACACGGCAGGGGTCGTGCGTAACGCTGGGCTGCTCGAACGACGAGCCAACCAACGGGCGTTGTCGTCGCGTTGCTCATGACGTGGCTAGGATAGCCTATGCTGAGGTCCGAGACTCTTTCTCACAGACACGCAGCTAGTTTGTGCTAGCTGATTAGCACGGAAGGTGTATACACCCTAATCGCAGTTTGGTGCCTATAAATAGAAGCGCATCCAGGACGCGTGCTCTCCACACGCCTCACCTTCTTCCGTTTCCTCGCTGCCATCGGCATCACCCGCAAGCTCGCCCTCGCTCTCTCTCTCTCTCTCTCTCTCTCTCTCTCTCTCTCATTTCCTGCTTTTCTCACCGTAGACGATCTCCATGGCGTCGAAGATGATAGCCAACTCCGTGGATACATCAAAGTCCAAGCCCCAGGAAGCTGACCCGGAGAGAGGCGAGGGGGAGGCGGTGGACTACCTCGCCCGAGCGAACTGGCTGCGCGCCGCCGTCCTCGGCGCGAACGACGGCCTGGTGTCTGTGGCCTCCCTCATGGTCGGCGTCGGCGCGGTCAACCAGACCGCGAAGGCGATGGTCGTCTCGGGCCTGGCCGGACTGGTGGCCGGCGCCTGTAGCATGGCCATCGGCGAGTTCGTCTCTGTCTACGCCCAGTACGACATCATGGTGGCCCAGAAGGAGCGGAGGGCCAACGCTGAGACCACTGGCGCTGGCGAGGAAGAGGAGACCCTGCCGAGCCCATTGGAGGCGGCGGGGGCCTCCGCTCTCGCCTTCGCCCTCGGCGGTGTCCTGCCGCTCGTGGCCGGCGGCTTCGTCAGGGCCTGGGCTGCCAGGGTTGGAGTGGTATGCGGGGTGACAACCTTGGGCCTGGCCGGGTTTGGCGCCGCCGGTGGGTTGCTAGGCGGCGCCGCCGTTGGGAAGTCCTCCGTCAGGGTGGTAATCGGGGGGTGGCTCGCTATGCTGGTCACCTACGGCGTGCTAAGACTCTTCGGGCTCGTTTTCCAGATGCAAATCTCCTCGGCCTAGTGCTAATCTTCATTTAATTTTCCATGTACTTATTATATGTTGGCTTTCCCAATGGAAGGAATTGTATGTTTCTTGGGAAAGACTCCTCTCTGTTACTGTGATTATGAGGCTCGCAGCTTTACTCCAACTCGAAGATCTCTCATCAAATCAAATCTATAAGTTCACTATGAATCACTGTTAATTAATTGCTCGACGACTTGACGCTTTAAGCGATCAGATTTTTTCATCACAAAATATTCACCCCGAATTATGTGCATGCACCGTTAATTTCTCTCTCTCTCTCTCTCTCTCTCTCTCTCTCTCTCTCTCTCTCTCTCTCAGCAACTCAGTCGATGCTAAAAGCTTCAGACTGAACGATGAATAATTCTTGAGAAATTCCTTCTAAGCGGGTTACAAGTCGAGTTTTCACGGCATTTTTATATTGATAAAAAATAAATATATATTCTAATTTGAACGTTGTCAACCTCTACCTCTCTTCAGCTACAGAAAGGAGGGAGGGAGGGGAGGGGAGGGGAGAGAGAGAGAGAGAGAGAGAGAGAGAGAGGCATGACAACGGCACCTGTCGCCATTGGATCACCCCTGTCGTTTCCGGTGGGTCATATGCCACCGTTTCCTGAAACTCGCAGCTTCAAGTGAGCGGTTTCCAGCCCTTGGGATTCCGTAGAAGCTTCTCTCAGATCAGTGGAAACTCAGCCTCGTGAGATCCGCCTCTGTCTTCTCTCTATCTCTCTCCAGATAAAATAATATTATTTTCATACATGTACCACTTCCTCCTCTCTCTAAACGAATCCTGTGAATGGTTTGCGTCGACGTGGCGTTGGGAGCCCGTGCACCGGCGGCAGATGTGCGGTGGAGCCATTGCCACGTTTTGGTCCTAGCCACCGTTCTTGCCTTTGGAAAACACTACCCCGTTGGATGCTCGATCCATTCAGAGGAGAATATAAAGATCTGGCACGTGCCAACCACGCATACTACAGTAAAAAAAGTCAAAATGAACACACGACAATAATCATGTGCTAGAAAAAGTTAGAAACTGATGTTATTATGATAAAGACTCTAGTACCATACCCATATATCTCTCTCTTGTTCTCCCCCCTCCACCAAACCCCCCCCCCCTTCCCCCCCCCCCACACACAAGCTAAGGGATTTACTATTTAAGATAGTTAAATATTCCAATCTCATTTAGGCTACTTTTACTTAGGTTCCCTAGCTCTTATTTCTAATAATTTTAAAGTTAAATAAAACTATTAAAATTTGTCATCTGCTTTTCATGATCAACAATGAATTAAGATCACAAGACCTATTAATTCTAATAATTTTACTTTTACTTTTACTTATCATCCTCTCTCTCTCTTTCTCTCACATTCCCGTCGAACATAGCAGATGTCAAGCTATTATATGTAGATGTCTGAATGTCTATGTGGCCCAAGTTCCATTTGATCTCTAGCTTTTATTTTTACTAATTTGAAACTTAAAGAAAAAATGATGTGTTTTTTTTCTAAAGAGAATCATTACGATTCTCCTCTTAATAACCTCAACGTTTGGTTATCATCTTGAGACCTATTAACTCCAATAATTCTATTTTTAGTTATCATCATCTCTCTCTCTCTCTCTCTCTCTCTCGCATTCATCCCAAAGTAGTAGATATCAAGGTGGTGTGTCTGCCACTCATATGTAATGAATTGATAATTCTGTTCGCTGATTGGATGGCAATCAATTACATCTAATGTAGACAGATAAATTGACTAGTCCTAAGTTTAAAGAAATGTAATTGAGAAAAGCCAAAAGCTCATGTCTCTTTCAACATCATGTTTTCTAAGAAGTTTTAATCAAATATCTAATAATGTTTCCATCTATTGATAAAAAAATAGGCACAAGAAAGATTAAAAATTTCTCAAGATGGAGTCATATGACTTTGTTAATCAATATTATCTTAAGTAAAATTTTCATCTCTTTTTATAAATAAGGATGCAAATAATAAAAAGTATTAGTGAAGATATAGGATGAATGATGTCAATATTATGTTTGATGAGACCATTAAGGAATCAAGAGGATGCAGTGAATTGGTTTGTGTTTTCTAGTAGGAAAGAAAGAAGATAGTATGATACAAAATATCAAGGATATTATAATTTGAGTCACATTGATATGAATGATTGAGATGATCAAGTAAGAGAACCATGTAATTCACAGTGGCTTGGTCATAAATTATAGTGATCCTATGGTGGTTTAGCCTCAACTATTGAAAGATATTTTCTGAGTTAAACTATCTACTGAAGTACAATGACTAAACACTAGGGATAAGTTTTTCTCCATTATATTTATAGCTCTTAAAGGCTGAATGCCTCAACACTTATAAAATTCATGCCTTCAGGTGAAAAAAACACCAATGATATTCCAGCACATCAAGTGTTAGCTCACCATTCTAAATTCATTTCTCTTTAAATGCCTTGGAAGTATTTGTCATTAATGAAAACTTCCATCATCATGAACCAAAAAATACAAAGGAGAACTAGATTGAACTCCTTTATAGTGTAATTCGTTGGTTTGAAATCAAAAGCTCTTAATGAACCTTCAATAAAAAGTCAACTTGAAAGTATTAATTTTTCATTAGCAATTAGTTGAATATCTTACAAATATCTATTCTGTGGCTTCTTAGTTAAAAATTTGCACTTGCCTGGTTACTAGCTACTCCTCTATCTACTATCTACTTTTAGTTCCATTGTATTTTTTGTCATATCATTAGTATGGATTTATTCCTTTGTGATTTTTGAACAAAGCTGATATTCCTCTACTTATACTATCTAGTAGTGGTTTTGAATTTTTGACTGATTTAAAAGTGCATGTATATAGAAATATTATTATGTCATATGTTGAAATATGACTTCAAATTCTAGACATTATGATAATGTGCTTCATACTGTGTTATTTTACAATGTAATTCTCATGTAATGAAATATTGTGGTGAAGCACAACATGCTAAGGTATATACTTCCTATAATTTATTATTTCACAATGTAAAATTCATGAATTGAAATATTAAGCTTCATATATTAAGTTATTTATGTACCACTCTTGAGTTTGATACTTATGTTTCTTAGTGTAAATTTCATCGATAATTTTTTTTCATCATATATTATTTACAATGTAACTTATGTACTGAAATATTGAGTTATTTTATGCAAAAATATTGAGTTTAAAAAATGTTTACTAAATAAATTATATTCACAAAGGTAATAAGCACGAATTATTCCAATGTGTTCACTATATCTTCTCATATACTTATAAATTAATCAAAATATGTTTCAATATTCAATGATGTAACTTCTCGATATAAATTTCCTTTGAAAAAATCTTGTGCTTGGCATACTAGATTATTGAAATATTGTACTTCAACATTGAGTTTTTTAGGTAGTACTCTTGAGTTTGATGTGTGTTCCACAACATAATTTCTATTTACAAGGATAACAAATTTGATGTAGTCCATATTTTGCACTATAATTTCTCATATAAAATAGATTAATCATTTGATTCTAACGTGTAGAGTACTACAATGGATAGACTGTGTAGAGTACAACTTATGATATATGTTAGAGTACTACAATGCACATGATGTGTAAAGTTGGCTAGACTGTGTACTAAGAGTGGAGATGAATTAGTTTTTGTTAAGTATTAGCATTTTTATATGCTTTAAAATTATTTCTAGTAATTATAAATATTGTGAGTCAACACACAAGGGATCACTCACATTTCCAATCATCCCTCTCATTTCTCTCTCCTATTGCCTCTCTCTCCTCTCTCTATTATTGCTTCTCCCTCTTTCTCTTCATTCTTTGTCTTCTTGCACAAACAAGCATTCTCATTGTCTTGTGGATTCAAAGAGATGTCATCTACTACTGGGAAATAGTGGACATTCATCTTGAATCCTAATTTATATTTTTTATTTTCATATATTTTTTTAATTTATTTATAGACGAAAATATTTTTCTTAAATATTTTCATGTAATTACTCTGAATTTTTTTTACCTTTGTAGAATATGAGAATTGTATGAGAAAAAAAATCAAATCATTCATGTGGATTCAATCTAAACTCACATATCATTCATAATTATATTTTTAAATATTAATTATAAATATAAAATTGAGTGCATCATTTGGCCTACAAAGATCAGTTGGCCTCAGCTACTCTCATACAATATCCTTTTGCTACTTTGCTACATCATGGTGTTGTCATTGCACTTTGTACAAGCAGGCTTTGAGGTTCATAGGATGCTCTCTATTCCATGTAAGCTGTATAGTCTGCCTAAGCCATGCATATCCACAAACCTCATACTCTCTACTTGTGCTGTGTTGTACCATGCCTAGGTGTGCTTTGGTCATGAGATTGAGAGAAATCTTTTGTGAACCTCACTCCAATTTGGCTTTGTCCATCCTAGTTGTCCATGACAAGTGCTTGTCACTTGGATGTGATACACCATGCCACTTATGTGTGCGTCATGTCAAACTGACATGATTTCGTTGTGTTCCCACATGGACCACAATGAATCCTCATGTATCTCATGTGGTTTCAGTCTCATAACCTTGTCCCCTTATACATTGTGTCAAAGCAGCCCAAGGGATGGTCAGCTACCACATTCCCAAAATATCTCCCCAAGTCTCTTGAATTGATGCGGGTAAACTAATTAATATGAATTATTTTATTTTTAAAATAAATCCCATCTCTTTTGCATCCCTTCCTGTCTTTAAGGGTGGTTCATATTTGAACTTTGGTTAGATTTATTTTTATTTAATTTAATTTAATTTTTTAGATGGGTGAGGGAGTGAAGATGCAGTGATTGAGCCTTAAAGCCTATATAGCAGTCCAACGCCCTCTCTCCATCTCTCCGTCTCCCTCCCATCTCTCTCTCTCTCTCTCTCTCTCTCTCTCTCTCAGCGGCGTCATCGAGAATTGTCCTTACGTGGCAACCAGATGGTGGCCGACGCCATCGGTTGGCCTACGTCAAACGCGTGCTAACCACACGCCGTCCAGCTTTATTTAATAGCCACGTTTTCAGCATCCAGTGGATCCCTTGACCACCACCATAACCCCGATAAGTTTCCAATTTTCATCCTACACCGGGTACCATTTTCGCTACACGGCAGAGGTCGTCCAACCAATGGGCATTGTCATTCATAACCTTTAGTGACGTGTCTTATACTGATGTCTGAGACACGCAGCGAGGTCGTGCTAGCTGATTTGCAGAGAAGGCGTAATAGTTTTCCACACCTCGTCGCACGCTTGGTGCCTATAAATAGAACTGTATCCAAGACGTGTGCTCTCCACACTCCTCACCTTCCAAGGTTTCCTCGCTGCCATCAGCATCATCCCCAGTCTCGCCCTCTCTCCCTCTCTCTCTCTCTCTCTCTCTCTCTCTCTCTCTCTCTTCCTGCTTGTCTCACCAGTAGACAATCACCATGGCGTCGAAGATAGCCAACTCCGCCGAGCCATCCAAGCACCAGGAGGCCGACCCGGAGAGAGGCGAGGGAGAGGCGGTAGACTACCTCGCCCGAGCGAACTGGCTGCGTGCGGCCGTCCTCGGCGCGAACGACGGCCTGGTGTCCGTGGCCTCCCTCATGGTCGGGGTCGGCGCGGTGAACCAAACCGCAAAGGCGATGGTCGTCTCGGGCCTGGCCGGGCTGGTGGCCGGGGCCTGCAGCATGGCCATCGGCGAGTTCGTCTCTGTCTACGCCCAGTACGACATCATGAAGGCCCAGAAGGAGCGGACAGCCTCCGAGTCATCCGGGGCCGGCGAAGAAGAGGAGTCCCTGCCGAGCCCGCTGAAGGCGGCGGGAGCCTCCGCCTTCTCCTTTTTCCTGGGCGCCGTCCTGCCGCTCCTGGCTGGCGGCTTCATCAGGCCCTGGGCCGCCAGGGTTGGAGCGGTCTGCGGGGTGACCACCTTGGGCCTGGCCGGGTTTGGCGCCGCGGGTGGTCTGCTAGGCGGCGCCGCCGTTGGGAAGTCCTCCATCAGGGTGGTAATCGGGGGTTGCCTCGCGATGCTAATCACCTACGGCGTGCTACGACTCTTCGGGCTCGTTTTCCAAATGCAAGTCTCCGCCTCGGCCTAGTTCTAGTGTTCATTTAAATTGCCATGTACTGTATGTCGCCTTTCCAAATGAAAGGGATTGCCTCTATAATACTGTGCTTATGAATCTGGCAGCTTTACTCCAACTCGAAGATCTCTCATCAAATCCTTATGTTCTCTAAAACGCACTGTTAATTAACTGCTCAACGACTCGGCCTTTTAAGCGACCAGATTTTGATATCACGAAATATTTACACACTGTCCGCAACTCAGTTCTTAATGCTTAAAGCTTCAGACTCAACGATGAACTTTTCCTGAGAAATTCTTACTTACTGGGTTGCAAGACGAGTTCTCACGGCATTTTTCTAGTGATACAAGTATAAATACCATCTTGCTAAACGCTGTCAATCTCTACCTCTCTGCACCTACAAAGAGGGGAGAGAGAGAGAGAGAGAGAGAGAGAGAGAGAGAGAGAGAAGGAGAGGGAGAGGGAGAGGGAGAATACATGGTTACGAGCATCCGTCGACCATTCCCGCCATCTACAATGGACCGTGTGCCACCATTGTCAATCTCCGTCTCTGTCTTCAACGACGAAACAGCAGAGAGAAAGAGAGAGAGAGATGCACGGCAACGGCACCTGTCGTCACTTGATCACCTCCCCGTCGTTTACGGTGGATCATATGCCACCGTTTCCTGAATGAAACTCGCAGTTTCAAGTAAGCGGTTTCCAGCCCCTGAGATTCCGCAGAAGCCTCTTTCAGATTAGTGACAAGTCATCCTCGTTGGACCCGCCTCTCTCTTCTCTCTTCCTCTCTCTCTCTATATACAAATAATATTACATATATAAATATTTGGCACGTGCCAACCACGCGTACTACACTAAAACTGTCAAACGGATAACCACGACGATAATAAAGACTCTTGTTGGACAAAGTTAGATGCTGATGTCATTATGATCAAGAGTAGGGTCGGCGACAACTCCCACTACTTGATTGATTCAGATGTATTTTTTCTTCCACGAAAAGGGATCTATTATTAACATAAACGTAAGGTAGTCAACAAATCAAATCTCATGTGGGCTACTTGGGATCTCTTGCTCTTATTTCTACTAATTTTAAATTTAAATAAACAAACTTTTCATCCTCTTTGCATGATCTTGACCTAGCAATTCAAATTATTCTATTTTTAAGTATGATCCTCTCTCTCTCTCTCTCTATATATATATATATATATCTGTCTCTTTCTCTTTCTCATATCACTATCAAAGATGGTAGATGTCATGGTGGCGTGTGGCCGCCACCTGCAACCCATGAAAAGGATAAGACCCTTTGCAGATTGGACGGTGCTCCATCACTTATTGACAGATTTGTGAATATATAAATTATCTAAGGAGCTGTATTTGATCTCAGAACACATTTCTACTAATTTTATGTTTAACAAGAAAATTATGAGCTTCTGCTTCCACAATTATGCAAACCATTATCCTTCTATTTTTAATATATGCCACCCTTTCATCATGAGTATCAACTTCAAGTCATTGAGTCCATTAATTCAAATAGTTTCATTTTTATGTATCATCCTCTTTCTTTTAACTCTTTCTCTCTTGTCACTATCAAAGATTGTAGATGTCATGGTGGCGTGTGGCTGCCACCCGCATCCCATGAAAATGATAAGTCAATTTTCAGATTGGATGGTGCTCCATCACTCCTAATATTGGCTGATGTGTAAATATAGAAATTGGCTTATGAACTGTATTTAATCTCTCTCTTATTTCTACTAATTTTATAAAAATTAAAGCTTCTACCTCAAGTAGTATGGAAACATTTCATAAAAACTTCTCTCTCTCTCTCTCTCTCTCTCTCTCTCTCTCTCTCTTATTTTTCTCTCTCTCACACATGTTTCTATTGTAGGTGGTAGATGTCAAGGTGCCACGTACCTGCCACTCACATCCCATGAAAATATTAAGTCCACTTGTTGATTGGGTGGTGATGCACTACAGCTGTTATAGGTAGCTGTGTGAATGTAGAAGTCATGTGACTTCCATTTGCTCACTAGCTTTTATTTCAAATAATTTTAACTTTAAAGTAAAAATCAGGTAGTTTTTCATTCTAAAATAAGAAAACCATTAATTGTTTCTAATAATATTTGTTAACTTTTGATGGTGAAAAATAAATTAAGATCTTGAGGCATATTAACTCCAGGAATTACATTTTTAGTTATCTTTCTCTCTCTCTCTCTCTCTCTCTCTCTCTCTACCAACCCCTACTTACCCAAGTCAATAGATATCAAGCTGACTTGTGCCTAGAACCTACATCCCTTGGAAGACAAGTCCATTTGGTGTTTGGATGGGAATCCATTACACTTAATATAGGCATTTAAGTTTAGTTTGAAGTTTCAAAAAATGGAATAAAGAAAAGCCAAAAGTTTGTGCCTCTTTCATTGTATTTTTTTAGAGGAAAAGTTAATCAAATATCTACTATTGTTTCCATGTACTAGGCAAAAAATACCCAGAAAACATCATCAAAATTTCTCACATGGAGTCATGAATTTCTTAATCAATTTTATATTAATTTCAACTTTTTACTCTGTTAAAAAATAAGGATACGAATAAGATAAACCATGTATGAAATGTAGATGAATTATTTTAGTGTTATGTTTGATGAGACCATTAAAACATTAAGAGGCTAGGCTGAATTGGTCTGAGGTTTCTAGCATGTTAAGATGGAAAGAGTATGATATGACAGTGTTTGGCCATCTTAGCCTATTCCATTATTGAGAAATATGTTCTTTGAGTTAAACTATCTACTTTTAGTGCAAAACATAAACACTACGCATCAGCTTGCCTCACTTATATTTTTAATTATTACAGGCTGAATGCCTCAAATAAAAATTTATGACTTTAGAAGGCAAACTGCCAAAGATCTTCTATCATTGGTTGCAAGCATTCTCACATCTACTATTAGCTCCTCATTTTAGATTCACTTCCTTATACATGTCCATGTACTCTAGCAATTATTTGGTGTTAATCATAAATTCCATCATCATGAACCAAATAATTTCAAGGAGAGTTCGATTTAACTTACAACCATTGGTTTTTGTAGCTATGTTATAGTGTAATTGTTGGCTTGAAATCAAAAGCTCTTCTTGAAACTTCAATAAAGATTAAATATGAAGGTATTAGTTTGTCATTATAAATTCGATAAATTTCTCAAACATAAGTTGAGCTTCTTAATTAAAAATTTGGTGCTTGCTTGGTAGCTATCCCCTCATTTCTATTCTCTCAATGTTATCTCCTAACTATGAAGCACTTGCTCCAGTACGGCTAATAGTCAATAGGACAATGTTCTATGTCATTCTAGTGATAGCTTGAAAACATCAAATGAATATTTTGTGATTTACAATTGGAATTTAGTTATCCCTTTGTGATCTTAGAGCAAAGGTTGATATTCTTCTACATGTACTATCTAGAAATAATTTCGAATTCTTATATGGCTCATAAAGTTGATAAGCATTAAAAAAGCTTAGGTGCTTCCTTGTTGACCACCTAAAGGGCATTGACTTTCTAAGGGTTACTTTGAAGAGGTGTCTTGGCCTTTTTAACCTTTGACCTTTAACTTTTCTCTTATTCAAAGATGATTCTGGACGTTGATTAGAGATAGTTATGGGGCTGGAGGGGTAATTAGAGTCACCTCTTCAAATTGTGCCTTAATGGGAGAGTGAGAGGATAGAGAAGAAGTAGCTTAGATGTCTCCTTTAAGTAGGCATCCTCCACCTCTTGGGCTTGGGCATAGACTTGAGTCTTTTCTTCATGATCCTAGGCTTAGACTTGGACCAATTCTCCCTGTGGTTCATCCTCCAATTGGTCTCAAATTGGTTACTTCTGAACTAAAATTTCCTACTGGTCAATGTCCTCCTAGTGTTGGCCCTTGACTCTATCACTATAATTATGTAGAAACATACAAGACTCAAGAGAAGTACTATTTCCTCACTCTATGAAGGCAATGCATTATGAGGAGAACCTCTCGAACTGAAACTAAAAACCTTCAACTTGACCTCACTTCACACTTTTGAGTTCCTCTTCTCTTAATTTTTCTTTCTAACAAGAAAATTTCCTCATTTTATATAAGAACACTATTGGATTATTGAACAACTTCAAATAACCTTATAAAAACCTCATAGAGCTATGAGATAGTGTCGGTTGGTGGGTTGGTATAACAACCCCAACCAATCAACTTCTTAATAAATGTAAATGCCTTATAGAAATCTTGACTTTTCATGAGGTAGTGCTAGTTGGTTAGCATAACTAACTAGTCGTCCATGCACACAAACTAATGTGATCCACATTTCATATTGTGTTGAGGCCATACCTGGTCATGCAATTATGTTTAGATGGAAATAAGATAAAAGTGTCTACCATAATCATTATTTCATAAATCAACAATATAAAAATAATAGTTTTATATTGATATCAATTTATTTAAAATTAAGAATTAAATTTGTATGTATAATGATTATATTTCATGATTACAGTTTTTTATATTCACAATAAAAATGAGATTTTTGCTCCAAAATAGGGCTAATCTGGTCTTTATGCATTCATGAACCAGCCCTAGGTCATCACATCCCCCCTCCATAGCTGTCAACTTTTTATATAAATATTTGATGCACCTCTTCTCTAAAATGACAATCTTCTTCTCTTCTCCCTCCCCATTTTTCTCATTTCGCCTTTCTCTTTTCTCTAAATCTTTTCCTGTGTGACAGGTAGGGAATCATTCCCAGCTCTTCCTTCAGATTTAAGTTCTTTAGTTTCCACGTTTTTAGTGAGCTTTCATGACTTTCTCACTCTCCCTTTTGCTCTTTCGCAAGTGACAGGTGAGGAATTCTTCATTTTTCTTTCATTTAGGACATGTTCTTTCTTTCCTTCCACTTCCTATTCTCTATTAGTTTTTTCACATTCCTGCTCTTCCATGTAGTTGTTTTCATTTTCTCTCCTGTGTCGACGTTCTCTACTACTAGCGAGTTTTCTCCTTTAGGGCATTTCCC